GCAAGGTTTCCGGTCTTGTGCGGTTGCGGACAACACGTCATGACCAGTCATGATTGCAGGTATGCGCAAACGTTGTGCATTCATGAGTATGCCACATGCATGGTTGACAAGGCCTGCTCACCTCATCTGTACCGCCTTCCGCGTCGTTACCGCCACCGCCGCCCTCCAGCCCGCCCACGCCGCTGCCAACCCCATCTGCAGCTGCATCGCCGGCGCCTTTCGTGCTTTCGCCGGCGTCCACGCCGCCGTCCGTGCTGTCGATGGCGCTCAGACCGTTACGCTCCTGCTTTGAGGTCGCTCCTGGCGCCTCGCGGAACTTGCGGATGAGCTCAGCCATCCGCGGCCTCTTGCTGCTGTCTAGGCCACCACCAATGCCGCCGTCACTGGGAGTACCACCGCCGCCGCCGCTGCCGTCGGGATTAGTAGCCTGCCGCTGCGGCGACTCTCCATGGCCGCCGCCTTGACGTTGTTGGTCGCTGGGATCTGCATGCAAGAAACCCAGTGCAAGGGGGGGGGGTGACACAAGCAGAAGGTTATATGGGAAGAGCAGTAGCTTTCACAGTTGTTGCCGTTCACGGCTGTTGCCACTCCACGGGTTGCCATTACCGTTGCAACTAACGGCTTACTCGACAAGTCTTGTGTCCAGGCATGGCACCGAATTGACTTACCATGCGTGTCGTCTTGTCCTGCGGAAGAGCCCAATCTAACTTGGTCGGTCTGCGTGGCTTTCTCCGGTGAACGGGGAACCGGCCAGCTCCCTGCAGCGGCCGTGATGCCGCCGCCTGAAGCGCCGGCAGCACCTCCTGTTGCGGTTGCTGCTCCTGATCCTAACGGTTCACCTCCCTCACGTGCGGTGACGCTGTCGGGAGGTGAAACGCGCTGCACCCATCGACCTGCGCCCACAACAACCATGTCCCCACTCCTGCTTACTACCCCGTACGAGAGGGTTTAGGCAGAGGACGTGGGCAAAACTTCCACGGTCTGTCATGCGTGCATGCACGCATGACTGCAACCTAGAGAAGTCCTACCACCCGCGCTGTCGCACCTGCACCTCCCTCGTCCCCACCACCGCACCACTCCCACCTTCCCTCGTCCCCATCTCCGCAACCCTCCCACCACCCAGCGCACCGGGGGACGAGGTCGTTGCGTCGTACGGCGCCTTAGTGGGCGAGGAGCGAGTCCAGACGGGGTCCGCTGCCGCCGCCTGGTCGGCGTAACCCACAATGCTAATCTACAAGGGCAAAGGGAAGGACAAGCCTGAGTTTGCGAGTCTGCCGACGGCAAAGTGGTCAGCAGCCTGAAAGCCTGATTAGGCAGGCGCCCCCCACGCGACCTCAAGCACCAGCATGAAATCAAGTACTGAGGCTTTAACCCACAACGACACAGGGGCCCTACCAAGGTTGACGTTTCTGCCCCCACAGGAGCTCTTACGCAGCTCGTCAACACCTACACCGGCGCACCCCAACACCCACCCACCAGGTCGGGTTCGTCGGTCGCCACCAGGATCGGAGGCGCGGGTGATGCGGACCGGGCGCGCCGCGCCTTGAGCGCCTGACGGCAGGAGCAATGTCGGGAGGGCAGGTGGAGCAAGAACCATGTTGGGAAGGCAGGAGGACGTATGATCTGGGCTAGTGTAAGTGACCCAGTGCATCAAGTCATTTCCAACTGCTAGGAGGGAGTTCCGTCGAACTGTTGACGAAGGAAAAGCGCCCGGCCCTAGGCCGTATTACCTCCTCCCGACTGTTAACACTGCTTCGCCCTGTGCTGCCGTAAACATGTATCACAACGCCCCACAGCGCTGCACTCACAGCCTTTTCCCCGGTGTGCTGCAAAACATGTACCGGTACCGCACCTGCAGCTTCTGGCGACGCACGCTGCCCGGCGAGCCCCCAGTCGTCGTTGTCGCCGTCGTTGCAACCGTTGAAGCCCCAGAGCTCGGTGACGCCATGGCAGTCAGGTAGTACTGCTCTCCTCTGGACGGCGCCGCAGCACTCGACTGCATGGGCGAGTCCTCGTAACGGGGCCTGGGCGGTGAGGGAGACCGGCCTCGGCCGGCCCCGTAATGCCCCTGCTGCTGCTGCTCATGATGATGATGTTGGTGTCGCTGATCATGGTAAGCGGCATGCACGCGGCGTCCGTACGGCTGCTGCTGCTGAGGGAGCTCCTGGGCAGCCGCTTGCGGGGCCTGCTGCTGCTGCCACTGTCGCCGGTGCTGCTGCTGTTGATGATGGTATTGCTGTTGTTGCTGCTGCCGTGACGACAGCTGAGGTGCAGCAGCGGGACCAAGCCGAGCAGCTGCCGCTGGGGCCGCCGCCACTGTACGGCCGTCCACAGCCCTTGCTGGTGGCGGTGCATGTCGCGGCGGATCAGCTGCCTGTGCGGATGCGTGCGAACGATTCGCCGCCGTGTACGGCACCTCATCTGAAGTGGCGTCATCATTAAGATCATGATCTGGATAAGGCGCATCATCTGGAGCGTGTGACGCTTGGGGTCCTAAACCTGCCCTAAAGGGAGCAGCTGCAGCGGTGGGGACCGGGACGCCCTCAGCGTGACTTCTATGTTGGTTGACCCTGGGAATCCGGGAAGCTGGACCCTGCCGTTGGAGGCGCTGCCGCTGCTGCTGCTGATACTGCTGCTGTTGAGCAGGCAGCTGTTGTTGCTGCTGTTGTGCTGCTGGTGGTGGTGGAATGTGGGTCACGAGCTGGGGTTGCTGCGGCTGCGGGGGGTGGTGACGGTTTGGCCCAGCCGCGCGCATGCTGCGGCCTGGAGGACCAATATCCGCAGCTGCTACGGCTGAGTTGGATGTCGACGCGACTGTTTGAGCTGGTGGGACAGCAACCTGGTTGGATCCTGCGTTGCGACTGCCTGAAGCTGCCCGGTTAAGGGGCCTGCGGCCAGACCGGCCCGAGGGTTGCCTGGGGGCCTGGGAGACAACGGCCGCGGCTGTGGGTGCAGGCCCAGGGCGTCCGGAAGGAACGACACCTCTGGCAAGGACAGGTTCAGCTGGGGCCCAGGCGTCTGAAGATGTAGAAAGGGAATATGGGACTGTGGGGGCACCTGTTGAGAGGCCAGGCGGCAGCTCGTCCGATGTCCCGCCAACACGCCATTTCCGGACGACTGGGCCTGGCGCTGCTCCCCAGGCGTCGCCTGGTCTCCCTGGTGCTGGCCCAAATGCGGATCCTGCCCTGCGGGTTATACAAGCAGCGCTTGTTAAATTGGTAGCGTGCTTTTTCGCGTTCCGGCAAGCAATTCCCACCATGGGTCCGCCTGCAACCCGTATGACGCGCTACGTCTGCTTCTCAGTTCCTCGAACGAACGAAACAAATCCGTGCGAGGCTTGACCTCCTCTGCAGCGTCAAGAATAGCAGCATGTGGTCAGCAAGGACCATCAGTGCTGTCCCTGGGACGTCTCAGTCCCGCACCCTACCAGCAAACATGAAATCAAAATCCGGGTCTCCGGTAACCGGAGCAGGCGCCAGCTTGCCATGTTTGATCATATTGCCGAATTAACAACCGAAGTTTGACAGCTCCTTATCATCGAGGCTTCTAATTAAGGTAAGTTCCCTGTTCATTGTAGATGTATGTCGTTAACTATACATAACGTTTAAGCACGATTTCGGACCTTGCAGAGAACCTTTGCAGAGAAAGTAAAAGAATTAAGGTAAGCATGGAAGGTACCTAACGTTGACAGAGTTCGCTTCTCTTCAGTGCCATTTCGAGTTGCTTGCACTGTTCAGAAGGAAGCTTGGATATCGTACGGCCCTTAGTGGTGCGCTATGCAGGACTTCAGGATGGAAGTGCTAGTATGGTCAAGCTCGTCGTGCTATGGCGTTTACAATGTTGCGTAAATGACATATGGCTGCTCAGACAACATAGTGGTGAGGGCCGGATGTTGCAAAGATGCGAACCGAAACAACGGTCAAAGCCTCAGCAAGCAGGGGTTCAAGTGATTATCGTCACGCTGTAAGATTCATTTTTATCATAGGGATGACTGTGCGATGACGCTACTGTTTGGTAAACCCAGGCGTACGTCCAAGATGCATGTCTGCTCACAACAAACGGCTTCCCTTAAACTACAGCGTGCTATCACCGATAACCACCCGGAAATCGTCAAATGAGCATTCCAGGTCGAACGATCCTTCAGCAATCATTGCCTGCCGCTCCAGCATTTCCTCAAGAAGGATTCGGCCGCCCTCATCCATTTGGTCTACGGATACCACCGGCTCGTCCGCGTCCACAGCTTCCTGCAGAACCTGTCGTTTGCATGCATAGCGTTACTTATACAGTCGAGTATTCAATAGATTTTCACGCACAGCGACGGTCACGCTTGGGAATCTGCTAACTACTCCTCCTAAGCATGCTTCTTGCCACCCTAATACTGCAAGAACTTGGCCTAGAGGTGCATGCTTTAAGTCCCCATGCTATCATAAGCCTGCAGCGCAAGCTTACCTGGTACAGCCCCTTCTCCTCTCCGCCCTCAAATACGGCCCTCCAGTAGTGCCCACGGTCTGCCTTGACCAACAGTAGCTGCCGGCAGAGGGAACAACACATTCAAACAACAACAACAGTGACAGCGAAGCAATCCAGAAGAGGCAGGCTAGGGGCTATACCCATGAAGGAAAAGCCGTGAGTTGCACACAAGCGCGCATCTGTGTACCAGTCATACCGTCAGTCTTTAACAAGCCATCCTACAAGCACATGAGCAGTTGATCCTTCGTCCTTAATAACCCAACCCCTCGCCATGCCTCAATCCAGCTTATCCATAACATGCCGCCATTGCACACCTGCGTTAACACCCACTCCAGTACATCTACCGGTGTACAAGGCAACCCCAACGCCCTGCTGCTCAAGCAAAACTCCCGAGCCCTCACCTGCAGCACGTCCCCCTCCAGCGTCCACAGGCAGTCAGCCGCGGCCACCCTCCGATGCAGCGGCCCATCCACCACCCGGCCGCACCAGCCCAGCCGCACAGTCAGCCGCTCAGCCGAGAAGGCCACGGACACCTCAGCGCGTCGGGTGCCTGTACGGAATTTGTACGGGGTAGTAACGAACGAGTGACGCGTATTGATACCATAGGTACCTGGGAATGGGCTGGTGGTCCCCGTGCGTGTTACAAGGAAAGCCCAGCGCTTCCCGACGAGGATTCTAATTTGCATGCATGGTGGTCATCATTCCGCTGTGTCTGTTAAAGGGCCTCCGCACGCACCTGGTGGCATCTGGATGTTGACGTACACATCCGTAGACGTCTGCGACCAGCTCACCCGCTCCCTCAACGGCACCGCCGCCCACGCAGCCCGCGCCGCTGCCAGCTCCGGGCCAGGTCCCGAGTTCCATACCGTCCGCAACCCATCCTCATCGTACTCCCCTCCCTCGTCTCCACCGCCACTGCCACCGCCGGCTGCTGCATGCTTCCCGCCTCCTCCTCCACGGGTTGGCGCATGAGCCGCCATACCCAGCGGCACCGATGTGGCTGCCGTTTGCGGCGTTGGCTTCACCTTCTGCTGTGGCTTCTTCTCCGCATCCAGCGGCCGTAACTCCTCAACCACCGGTACACCGTCAGCCGACGTCAGCGGTGCCTGCGCCTGCACCTCGGGCGCCTCCGTTCGAGGACACTCCGACGCCTCAGCGGGGCATGAAGACGAAAACTCTACCGGCCGCCCCGTGCGCTCTGCCTCCCGTGCCGCTTTCTCTAGCCGCAGCAACTCCTCCACACCTCCCGCTGCTCCCGCTCCTCCGGCTGCTCCCGCTGCTCCCGGAGGAGCCATGAGCAACAGCTCAGCCCAGAAACCTCCGCGAAGCCCCGCCACGAGCCGAACGGCGCTACCGTAGCACCGCTGCTGCTGTTTTTGTTGTTTATGCTGGTGCTGCCGTAGCTGTGCCGTTGCTGTGGATGTGGCAGGCATGGATCCAGACTGCAAGGTGATCCAACCCGTACGATGGGCTCGCTCCAGGCAAGCGAGGATTAGCCTGGCAGCAGCTGTTGTGACACCTTCCGCTGACCCAGCCCCGCTGCTGCTGCTGTTGGCAGGGTCAACACTGGCAGCAGCGGTCGCAGGGGCCTTTGCTACGCATGCGCTCCCAGCAGCTGCCGGACGAGTACGGCAGTGGTGGTAGCCAATCCACTGCAGTGATGTAGCCAGCGGAGCAATAGTGCCGCCGACCATCCCCGCATGCCGTAACTCCTCATGTTCAGGCGTTGTACGGCTTACAGTGCTTGTCGTACATGTCGCACGAATGTCAGTGCCGTAGGCGCTGGAAGCAGCAGTAGGACAAGGGGCGCCAGTGGCAGGAGGGTTTCCACGGCACAGCAGGGCAAACTCGTCCGGGCTGCTGCTGTCGACCAGTGCGCACAGTCGTCCCGCCGCACGGACCCGGAGGGGGAGGGGCAGCAGGGCTGGTGCCGGTGGCGGCGGCAGTGACGGGGAATGTGATGGGCCTGACGGCGATGAAGGCGTGTGTGAGGATGAGAACGACGATGCAATGGCAGGCGCGGGTACGGCGTTGTTATCGGCGCCCGTGGTGGCAGCAGCAGCCGTGGTGGCCGCGACGGTGGCGGTGGTAGCAGTGCAGGGAGGAGGGGAAGATGCTGCTGCTGCTGCTGCTGCTGATGATGATGATGATGAGGGGGCAGCTGCGGCGCTGATGGGTTGCGTGGGTGCTGCTGCGCCAGCAGGTGCGGGTGCGGATGCGGGTGAGGCCATGCAGGTCATCAGGGCCACCAAACCGCGGACGTCCGACCCGGTACATATGTCCTCCGCAGCAGCCTGAGAAGGCAGTGAGAGGGGCAGCATGCGTGGTTTCAAGTTCATGGCTAATAAAGGGTTAACGCTAGCTTGAAATGAGCATCTGTAAGGAGCTTACTACCGGGACTTAGCTGGTTGTCAGAAAGGTAGGCCGGTAATATGCAACTCGGGTACAGCACGCTCCCTCACACGGACAGGGCGGCAAACATATGAATACATGAATGCAGCAACCCACCTGGCACCGTGCCGCCAGGGCTACGTACAGGGCTTCCACCTCCGCCTCCAGCAGCGTGCCTGCTGACTCATGGGTCATCCGCCTGCCCATTTCTTCCAGCAAATCCAATGCACCCGCCGCGTATGCCAGCCTAGCAGCACGTCGGCTGCAGCCGCAAAGCCCTGACAGAGCCCGGAGAGCGACCACGACCAAGGGCTGTTGCAAAGCCGGGTGGAAAGGCCGTTGCTCCCAATGCTGCGGTTGACCGGGGCGACCGTTGGCGGTGGTTGAAGTGGAGTTAGTCGTGCTAACCGCTGTCGCACTGCATGGGTCGGCAGCGACGATGCCATTCGGGTCGTACGACGCCACCCGACCGTCTTTGCCGAGACGCGGCAAAAGGCAGCGGGGGCACTGTTGCAGCAGACGGCGAACCTCCGATACCAGGCCTGCAACAGGGAGCGGAGAACGGCATGCTCATCTCTGTTAAAAATGGTGAACCAAGCATAAGCCATAAGCCTGGAAACTGCATACGCCAGGTCATACTCAGGACTGTTGGTATTGCGGACTGATATCACATGCTAATAGAGGTGCCGTCATGCATCCGCAAAGGATACCTAGCATCCGAAACCTGCCCTAACTCGCTCACCGCGCACCAGACGCTCGGCATCTTCCTCCCTCGCCACCGCCGCCATCCCGGCTGTAGCACCAGCTGCACCAGCACCACCAGCACCAGCTCCCGCCGATGTTGCTCCCGACGCAGATCCGTATGCTAACTCCTGTCGTACTGCTGAAGGCGCCAACCGGCACACATCGGCTACCGCCGCTAGCAGCAATTTGCCAGCTAAGCAGCAAGCCGGCGCCGTTACCGCTCCTACAGTCATCAGGCCTGCCGTACACGTCTTGCTGGCGCCATGACGTGATGAGTCTTTGCTGCCGTGGTTGCGGTTTGCAAGGGAGTACAGACGCAGGAGTACCAATAGCGGTTGACCCCCAGTGGCCTCCACCCAGGCCGCCGCTCCTGAGCCCGATGGCCCAGCAGGCGTTACTCCAGTAACGCCCCCATCCCCGCCTGTTGCTGCTGAGTTCATGACAGCCAGAAGCGTGGCGGCTAGTTGCGCCAAAGCGCCGGCTGACAACCTGATGACCCACGGGTCACGGCCTCCATGCATGACCGCCCGGGCCACGCTGCAAAGCAGACAGCGACGGCGTGCTCCTCCAGCATGCATGTGCGTCTCGCGCTCTTCCCCCTCGACCCGTCCTCCATCTCCCGCTGTCTTCACCGAACTTCTCTCATCTTCTTCAAGGTCCTTCCGGTTGAGGTTCCGGCTGCTGCAGCAGTCCTGGTGTGAGGCCAGGATGGCAGCAGGACCCAGTGCGGAGCCGCAACAGGCAACGCCGCAAAAGACGTCCAGAGCGGCTGCATGGGCAGGAACATTCTAGCCTGGACACACCAGTAGTACAAACCGCCACAGCTGCACTGCTTGCAGTGCAGAAAAGCAACTGTACGACACACTGCTAACAGCTGCTTGAGCTGTTTTCAGTTGTCGTACACCTGCTTTTCTTTTTGCCAACTGGCTTCACGTGCTGTGCAACCGATAAGGTCATTATTCTCCGCATTCATCCAGATCAGCGAACCTGTGTAAGCCCCATTACAATCTCCCAACACTTACCGTGCACGAGCCCCTCCGCGCCATCGTTACAACCGCGGATCACGACGTCTGACAGCCGTTCCCAGAGCTGCGCCGGCGGCAGTAGCACCGGTGGCACTTCCAAGTCCTTGAAGCAGGTGGCTTCGGTGCTGCAAGCTGAAGCAACCTCACTTCTTTTACCAGTTGATGTCGGCGATGCCATGCCAGCTGCTCTCCACTTGGCTGCTGCGCTGACGTTTGGTGCGTTCTGAAGGATGGCGGACAGCAGCGCCTGCTTCAGGGCGTCCGCTGCTTCCGCGCAGGTTTCTGGCTGTAGCATTCCGGATACAAGGTGGCCGTAGCGGCAGTCGTCCACGTCGTCGTATGCTTGCGGGTCCGCTGCAAATGCTATCTTTGTCAACGGTGCTGTGACTGCTGCTTCAAGCTTGGTTTCCGCCATCTCCACTGATGGATAGATAGGCTGAAGAGGCTGACCGTTGTTGCCGTGCACGAGCCAGCTGGCAGTCCTATTACAGCGCCGGTTATGATTTCTTCTAGCAGCTATTAGAGGGTCTCAAGACAGCTTGCTGGCTGCTGCTCCGCGCGTGTGGCAGTAGTGGAGGGCCCAATTAGGACAGTCCCTCACGTTGCATTCTCTTGCATGTGCTAGCAAAGATTACAGCTACCGCAAATTAGTAAAGTAAATTGCACCGTGAAGCATTCACTGAATGAAGTAATGGGGCGTATGTTGGAGGGAGGTAGCAACAACAACGCTCGCTGCCTCGAGTTGGAGTTGCCGACGTAAGCATAGGAAAGCCCCTTGGGATGATACGGCTGTTGTTATCAATCCACTGCTCAGTTACTGCGTGCGCCAGCCTGGACCATCTAGCGTCCGATGACTACCCTAAATTGTTTGTTAGTATTTACACGCACCAACAGACCGCCCTCAAAGTCGAATGTCGCGAAGGGCAACTGCTCCGCGGGTCATCACACGTAATCCTCAAGCGGCTTAGGCCAGTATTGTGACAACCTCCGAAACAATTGTTAAATATTGTCTCACTTTCTGTCATTCGTCGCCGCACGAGTGGTAGAATGTTGCTCGTTGGGTAGGTACACTCCACGTGCAACGCCATTCAATAAGTCTACGCCCACGCATTTCATCCCCAAACCCTTCCAGTGCATACGCGCTCTCAAGGTTATAATAGCCAACACCTCGCCAACATCGTACACGGATTGAGTACTTCGGGGCTTCCAGCTGCCGCCGATGCTTCTTGTAGTTGATTTAATGTAACAAGCCCACTCAAGCATACCTTCTCACTCCTAAGCGGCCCAACGTGGCACAAGGCGAGTGCCCAATGCCGCCATGCCAAGACGTGCCTCGCTCCAACCGCTAGAACTTCTTTATGCTGCCATCTGCCAGCCCAGCCACCTCCGCGGCAGTGCTCTCCCGACCCAGGATTGCGTTCCGGTGCGGGAAGCGGCCCCAGCTGGCGATCACGTCGCGATGCGCCTCCGCGTAGCTCAGCGCCATGCGCAGGCAGCTGGCGGCAGCAGCACATGCGGGGCCCGCGGCGGCGGTGGTCTCGGTCGCGGTACGGAAGAGCTGCACGCCGCGCTGTGTGGGCGGGAGGATGATAGCAGGAGCGCGGGGAGTGCGGAAGGTCAGATAGGGAGGCTGGGAAAGGTGTGATGGCGGCGGAGGCCGCTGCAGCCGCGGCCACATCCCTCTGATAAGCTGACCCCTTATGTATACTCCGTGCGCACAAGCAATGTTTCGAAATCACGAACGCAGCCGTACGATCTGTGTACGACAGTACGACAGCGAAAACCTAATAGAACTGCCCTACCTCTTGTACAGCAAGGTCCTCCGCATGCATGTACGGCATGTAGACGAAGTAGCGCAGCATGGGAGGTAGGCGCTGGTCCGCTCCCTCCGCCTGGTGAGGGGTGAGGTGGCAGGGTGGTTGGCGTGATGGTGCGGGATTGAAGTTGTGCGAGAGGGTCATCGGTAGGAGCAAATGGGACATGGGCAGGAATGGTACATGGGCAGGGTTCGTACCCACCCACAACCCACCACTGCTCTGTCGGCCCATGCAAGGGCCTGCGAATCAAGCTGGAAGGCTGCTGGCTGGCCGCGGTGAATGTTTCTGAGGGGAGTTATATGGGGGCGAGGTGGATGAGAAGGTTTTGCATGTCGTGAACAATGTAGCTGTGAGAAATGAGGTGGAAAGGCAAAACAACCCGTTAATGGTTAACCCGTTGCAAGCGCCTTCACCTTTGCCGTACCTGGTAAACTGGTCCATAAGGACAATTCCTGCCAGCGTGCTTAGCGGGTTTCCGTTGTGACTCCAGCTGTCGTACTTTCCCTCCCCAACCAACCGTACGTCGTTACCGAAATGCTCGGTAATGTACTGCAGGCCGGCATGGCAATCAATACGGCACAACGATCGGATAACACAGGCGGTGTGGAACAAGGTTTGGGAGCTGCGGCTGGGGCCGTGGTGAGGCGTGGTACCACCCCGGCAAGAAGCCGTCAGGGGCCCCACATCCGCCTAGCCGCCCTCCCTCTAGCCCAGCAAGCGCTATAACCCCAGCATCCTCGCATGGCGGTAGCGGTGCCCTTATGAACGAACCTGGTCAACGTCGGGCCCTCCTTGGAACCAGAGGCGCATTTTGTCTTTCGGCACGAAGGACTCCTCCGATGTTGCAAACTCCGGTCCAAACCTGCAAGCGGTAATGACGTGGAAGCTGTTACACCTAAGCGATATAGTATCTTACAAGAGATACATTCCCACTGCTCGTAGTAGGATCGTTTAAGCATTTCATAGTAGGGTCATAACCGATGCAAGCATCCGGAGCTGTCAGGTGGGGAGACAGCAACATTTGCCGACTGTACGCTTTTGCATCATGGCTTGCATTTTTGAAAGCACATCTACCCACCAGTATTCAAGGACAGCCCGTGCGCGTTCCGGAAGCTCGGTGGACGCCATACTGTTCACACCGCGCTTAACAACACTGCCAGCAGTTATACTTTTACGAGTGTTTGATACACGCGGTAGTGATAAATATTGCAAGCGGCAGCTTTGTGCTGTCCTGTGAAGGGCAGCATGCATTCCCTACCCTAAAGAGACTCGTGACAAAAGCAATAAGTTACCTGGCGCTGTTTAGGACTCTCAAAAAGGCTTCGAAATAAGTACCTACGAGCAGTTGGCTGAATGTAGCGACTCCTCGATGTCGTACAAACGGGATGCACGGGGCAACATGCCTTGGCTGGTTCCCACACTGCGTGGGTCGCCTCATTTGTCGTTGCCATATCACAGCCTGCGGCCTGTTGCCAAGCGTTTTGCTCTATGCATACGCCCCTTCGTCTAAACCCTGACGAGGTGACAAGCCGGGGCTAAGACCTTCCCTTAAACACAGAGCGGTCTTACTTCCCTGAAAGGTCTGTTTAGTCGTACCAAGAGCGCATCACAGCATACTCACACGCAATTTGTAACAGCGCCATACGTACAGGAATGCGCAAGCAAGCGTGGGTGTTACATAGCATTGCATGGGTGTGCGCTAGACGTCACCCGTACAGGCAATACACGCACCAGAACCACGAGGGTGCTCAGGGTTCAGGCACAACATGTTTGCCCCCTGCTTCCTAGTCCCTCGCTCCTTACAAGCGTATCAGGCAGTGCCCCGCCAAGAAATCCAACAATGCAACCACCCAACCCATGCAACCATTCTAGGAAACCCTACCGTGTCTAATGCGTTACTACTCCTATTAAGTATCCGTCCGACGCCCTCCAATGTCAATGAGCCAATGACTGGGCGGGTTAGGTGCGCACATGGGCCACATCCAGCTCCGCTGAGCACAAGTTCGGAAGGATGCGCAGTTTCTTTAACTCCTCCACGTCAGACAGACTCTCTCAACAAATGCAGGATGTAAACCTCCGCTACAGCCGTACAAATGCGTTATTGCCACGTCCAAGTTGAGCCTGGTCTAACATCATGTGGGCAAAATTGGAAAACACACGGATTTCCGACTCCCAAGTCGCGCTTGGTTTGTGGGACCGACGGCAACGGACAAAGGCGTGTACACCGGGAGGAAAATGTGGTAGCGTAAAGGGTTTCAAAGTGCTTGTGGATGTTCCATACCTGCAGGCCTATCCCGGGCTTACACATCGCCCTTTCGGATTAGCAGGCCGCCAAAATTGAAGTTTTGTTTGATACATCCTGTCATATCCTTCGGATCCCCAATTCGCTCCGGGCAGCGATCCATGGTTGCCGCCAAAAAACCGTAAATGTACAGCTTAGTAACGATTCCGTGCAACGGCCGCTGCAACTGCTTGTTATTGAAAATACAGAGAGACGAACCACCATGCGACACTTAAAACTTAATCTACCGCCGTCAACGCTCGAACCGAGCCTCCTTGCATACCAACCGTGATTTTCCGTGATAACATTTCAGCCACCTCGTATTATCTCCTAGTCAAGAGACACAACCGCATAAAGACAAAGTGAGTTGATGCAGAGCATGAAGCTCATTACTGCCCAGCTTACCGCTTGACGACAACCCCAGGAACGGGACCTTGACACCCCAACAGCCAGCCTAATCCGCGTTCGTCCTTCAGCAACACCTAGCTCCTTCTCGTTGACCCACGTGCTTCACGCAAGCCTGTTAAGAAAATCCGTCGCCCCAAAGCGCAACAATTTCATTATAAGCATTAGCAGCGTTAATGATTATTAATGTAGTATTTGTAGCCATCTCACTGCCGTCCTTGTATTTTTGTACGGCACCTCATGCCACATAATGCGGCTTCAATTCTGCGGGGCTTTTAACATATGCGCAAATATTTAGTGCTGCATGCCCCTCTTAACCCCCAATGCACAGCCTCCCCAATGAAACCATCCTCTCTTCCCTGCCTCACTGCTTTTTCCCCACCACTATTTCCCCCTCTCTCTCCCTCTCTCTTACTTCCACACGCCTCCGCCCCTACCCTCTTCCCAGTTCTAAATGGGCAACCCTGCACTCCTCTATCCTCGGACGTCCTCCTCCTTAGCATCGACACCCCCCCACGCCTCGTCAGTTTCTCCTTATCTTTACCCCCGCGCCAACTATGGTGAAGCCTTATCATACAGTTCGTTAGTTAGCTCGTCAGTTTTTCTTAAGTTTACCCCCCGCGCCAATTTAAACCAAAATTAAACAACACCAAAAGGACTGTCCTCCACCTGCCTCTACCGCCATACCCTCCGCCTCTGTGCCGCAGCAGAAACAACCCGCATCAGGGAACCGCGAACCCAACACGCGTACCCAACATGGCACTCACCCAAGCACCATGCCGACCAGGAAAGCGTTCCAAACAGCCCACCTCTATACCTCCCCTTAACCCCTCTCATGTACATGCGAGCGGATTACTGTGCCGGCCCCGTGCTTCTGCCCTGTGCATCATTTAATTTCAGTACCACCAGTACCACCAGCATTAATCAAACAAAGGAAACGTGTAGCGTGCGCAAAGCAAGCAACTAGGCCTCGTCATATGCCGCGCCATTCTCAATGAGTAAGTCCGGAGGGGAACCGCAAACATCCAGTGAAGCAAAGCGTTCATCCTCCTTCCTCCGGCATGTATGTCTTGTACGGAGCGTTTTGTCATGCACAAAAACAAAGGCAGCGAGAGGAGATGAGGGAGAGGCAACAATGTCTTCCAATTCCTTTCTCTAAACCACCTTGCCCACCGCTGCCTTTTGCTTCCGAGCTGTCTCTTTTCCGTACGCCATAATGAAACGAAGCTGCAACAAAGGGAGCATAACAAAATATAAAACGCAGTATACACAACCATAAAACAACCACCGTGAAATAGCTTAGCCCAGCTCCGCCCGTCCACCTTCCATAATTAGCAAACATGCCGCAGTCCTGCTCGGTCGTAATGCCGTAAAATATTGTACGATATTACGACCGAGCAGGACTGACGGGCGTCTGCCAGTTCGACCCTCCAGTTTCAAGCTTGCTTAGCGGCGTCGCGAAGAGATCAATAACCTCTGCCTCCTGTAGGTATTGATCCCGCTGCTGCTGTTGCTCCCGCTGCAGCTGCTGCTGTTGTTGCTGCTGCTACTGCTGGTAACGGTATTGGAGGAAAGATGAAGGCCTAGGAAACTGTACCTGCTGCTGTTGTTGCTGCTGCATACCTGTGTAGACATGGCAATAGCCCTGTTGCGCTTGGCGACCCAGGCTGCTCTGAAACAGGAGGCCCCCGACAGGGCTACCGCCCATTCCGCTGCCTCGGCTGCAGCCGCCACCGCCGCCGACGGCGCCGCAGCCCATAATCGCCCCGTCCGATTTAAGATCAATAACCGTTACTCCGCAATCGTCACTCTCATCACTGCTGCCGTCCGGAATTCCGTTGCTCTCTGCGTTACTGCCGTTGGCTTTCAGTTGCTCCAATGGTACGGATCCAGATTCACGAATGCCGTACAAGCCGCCCATGGTGAAATTGAGGGTGGCAGTAGCAGCGGTGGTGGCGTCGACGGCAGGGCATTTGTGGGTCTCGCAGTTCACAGCGGCCTCGGCGGCGGTAAAGCTGCCCTTGCTGACACGTGCGATCTCCACTCGTGACCGAGGTCTTCCCGTAAAGGAAGCCCCCGACCCCGCCGCAGCTCTAGCGCCGTTGCCCGACTCGCCGCACGCGTGCCGTACACTGTCAGTTGCAGCTGCGGAGCCGCCCTGTACGAACGACGTAAAGCGAGCCGCAGCGGCGAATGCCTCCGTCGCCTCGTCGCCCCAAAAGGCGGCAGCCGCAACGACGCTGTCGCGGCTCCAACGAGCCAATGACGACTCGCCGCCGACTGCGCCGCCATCGCCGCCGTCGCGAATGACTGCACTGGGCTCCGGATGCGTGTGACGAGCGCCCATGGATAAGTCGCCGACGCAGTTGCAGCCGCCGCCGCCGCCAGCGCTACTGCCGGCCGCAACCGCCCACAAAGCCGCCGTCGCCATCAAGTCGCTCCCGCCGACGCCGCCGGCGCCAGCCTCACTGCCGTACATCATCCCATACGTCGCGTTCGTTGCGGCGGTCGAATTACCGCCGTAGACTGTTGTGGCCGAATTCCGTACGGCGCACGACACGTCGGAAGCGGAGGTGCTGCCGCGCGCCGCAGTCGCTGCCGGAGGCGGCCCACCCGCTGCTGCTGCCGCCGTCGGCGCCACCGCTAGTGCTGCCTTCACCTGCCCGCTACTGCTGCCGCCAGCGCTGCCGCTGCTGCTACCTCCGCTGGAATGCAGGGGCATCCCGCGGATCATGGAGAACCATTGGGGGCTGTTGCCCTCCTGCGGAGATAGCATGCCTCCACCACCAGCAGCAGCAGCAGGACCGAGCTGCAGCTTATCAAGAGCGCTGCTGCCCCCTTCCATCATGAACCTCCCGCTCAGGCTACCGTTACCCGATCCGCTCATGCGACCCGAAGAGGCTGTCATGGCACCGCCGTCGTGCGCGCTAACGGACAGCAGCTCCATCGGAAACAAACGTCCATCTGCCGCGACCGCCGCCGCCGCACTGTCGCTTGCGACGCCTCCTGCTAGCGCTGTCATGGGAACGCGCGCGAAGCAGATTTGTGGTTGTTGTTGGTTGTACAGCGTTGGTTGCCGAGCCCTGAAGGCAACTGCCGGGTTGTGCTGTGACGTCGTCGGGTGGCTGTCGGCAGTCGCAGCCGCAGCCCTTGACGCCGCCGTGTTTGCAGCAGCAGCGGCGGAGGCGTCGGGAGATTGCAGCTGAGGAGATGGCACATTAGCCGTGATCGAGGGAATGCCGAGTTCGCAACCATAGTTGCCAGCTGCTGCTGCTGCTGCTGCTGCTGTGGCGGCGGCGGCGGCAGCACCGGCCAGCATGCGTGCGGCGCTTCCCCGGCATCCGGCATCCTCATTCGACGTTCCCTCGGAGGCTGTGGGAATGGGGCCGCTGAACTCAACGCACGACAGGCTGCGGTTACTGCGGGATCCGCGACGTTCCGATGAACCCGCACGTTGCTGCTGCCGTGACGGCAACGGTAGGAAGTCTCCCAGCTTTAATGGATCCCGGAAATCGCCTCCCGCGAGAACAGCTGCTGCTGCTGCTGCTGCGGCGGCGGCGGCTGCCGACGGCAACACCGTGCCCGCGGCGACAGCCTGATTCACGGCTGGAAGTGCTGATGAGATCTGGGCTACTTCGCTCAGCAAGGAGGCTCTGGATCCAAGATTTGAGGTACGAGCCGTACCCTCGGCGCCGCCGGTGAGCGCTGAGAAGAAGGTACCGTCGGAGGCGACAGACGCCGTCGCATTGGGTGGTTGCGGCGAGGACGGCGGCTGAGGCAACGCTGCCGCCGCTAGCGCCGCCGCCGCCGGCGGTATTGGCGGCTGCACGCCGGCTGGCGGGTTGAGCGCCTGGTGGTGCCAGCCCTGCTGCAGCCGCGCTAGCCACCCGCCACTGGCATGCGCTGACGGCGGCGGCGGCGCCGGCACAGTCCACGTAAAGCCCGCTGCCGCAGCCGCCGCTGCTGCCTGTGCCTCTAAGTGATCCCTGCCTTCATCCCCCTTGCGCCCCTTTCCGCCACGCCCGAACGCCGCCGCCGCTGCGGCTGCGGCCTTCAGAGCGGCTGCGGCCTTGGAGGTTTGCCGTCGGTGTTGTTGCTGCTGCTGCTCCTGCGGCTGTGAAGGAACCGTTCCTGCCGCCGACGATGATGCCGCTGCCGCTCCGGAGCATGCAGCGGCCTTGCCGTTACCTTTACCGTTACAACAAACCGATTGTGCAACGGCCTTGTCCAGATTCAGCAGCTCCCCGAGCACCTCGTGTGCGAAATCTGATACGGATTCGTACCGCGCTGCCAGAAGGCGGTTGTTGAGCAGTTTGGCATGCTCTGAAACCGCGTCTGGCACGACGGGTGACAGCTTGAAGCACAAGTCCTCCAGCTTACGAAGCAGCCTGAGGGGCAGGTAAGGAAGGACGGGCAGGGGGAAGCAGGGGGCCAGTTGAGGACGACCCAATAGGTACGCTGCTGGGTATGAAGCAGCGCCCTCACGGAGCATGAGCCATGAGCCCAACTTTGACTAAACCGTCCGGTCAGGATGGTCGCACACGATACCGTACCCGTAGAGATAGACCCCATGCCACCAACCTTTCCCCCCAACATGCTGCTATGGAACCCGCCAAGCCGCTTCACGACCACATCCCCTACTCGCAAGTCATAACGCCACAACTCCCGACCCCCACCACCACCAGCCCCCCCTCCCTCAACTCACAAGTGGTCCAGCGTCTTGTGCTTGCTCGCCACCACCAGCACCCCCGTCACCTCGCCCGCCGCCAGGCAGGGCAGCGCCAGCACGCTGCGCATGCCCACTCGCCGCAGCCACTCCGCATCCGCCGGCAGCCCGAATCCGTTGAGCGCCGAGGCGCAGTCATAGTACCAGGGGGACTTGCTGGTCGCCACGTCCTCCACACACCAGTTGGAGTCGGCGACCTGGTGGGGGAAGCGAGGGGCGGGGCGGGGAAGGGAGCGGGGGAAGGGAAGATGGATGCGGCCCGTGCGGTGCGGGTGATGGCAGCACGCAATGCGCCCACGCGAGGCTAGAGGGGGGCTGGTCCAAAAGCTGCAGTCCGGAAGTAAACCGGAGGATATACCTGAAGGCAACCCAGACCGCGTCCCTCCAGAATGCACTGCCAACTGCAACCAACAACCCCAATTGCAATCTCCCACTAGCTTCACGTGTGCTGTGTGTGTATGGTGCTCCTGGGACCCACCTGGAACACGCAGCGGGTGAAGACGTTGAGCACAGGCGCCGCGCCCGCCCCCGCAGCAGCCGTACGTGCCGCCCACTGCGCCGTCTCCTCGGACAGCAGGGGCGGGTAGAACTCCGCGCCCGCGCCGCTCAGGGCCACCACGCCAAAGGTACGGCGGACCGGATGGATGAGGTACACGCTGCGTTCGGCAGAGGGAAAGGGAGAGCATGAGGGCGGGGATGGGTGGGTTGCGAATCCCACAGGCTGTGTGGGCGGCGGGAGCCGGGAGGCTCAGGGAGGCTTGAGGGAGTGTGCGGCATGCGGCACGGGAGAAGGCTCACATGGACGCCGTGGCATAAGTAGGAAAAGCAGCAAATGTAGTCAAGGCGGGTTCACATTTCAGATATGAGAGTCCTTACCAACAGAATTCCATGAGGTCGGTGCCGATAAGACCACGCGCGAGAGCACGAAGCTTGTCGCTTGCGGAGGCATGCCGTAGGGAACTCGCCAAAGCGCTGTCAACCTGGGGTGAAATTTAACCAAGTGTTTTCCATGCTTATGGCTCGGCAATCATAATTTCCTACAGCGCGCTCTTGCCGAACAGTCGCGGCGGTTAGCGACATTGTCGAGACGCCTTGACTGCTACCACATCTTGCTTGCCGAAAAGCATCGCGATTACCTTATAGTAGCTCTTCAAGTGCACGTCGAGGCTCCGTCGAATTCCTTGCACCACGTTGACCCAGCGCGTCCCTTGCTGCCTGCCTTGCTGGTGCGGCGTGGGGTGGCTCCGCCCGCTGGTAGACGCTTCATCATTTCGAGGCTCTGCAGAAGAATTGTTCATCGATATAGGTGATACTGCGGCCGCAGAAGTCGAAGTAACTTGCCGTGCTTCCGCACAGTCGCGGACACTAAGCGAGGATCCTCACAACCAGTGACAGCACTATTCAGCTATTCGTAACCTTGAAGACATTTACGCAACGCCGTACTTGCGCCTACTCACCACAGGACGCCTCGTTTTCCAGCCATTTGCTCCCCCAAGGCGGCATATTTCGGGTCCCTGAAGGACGCTCACACTATCTTAACGCTAATTGTACTGCTTTAGCAAGGTAGCCCTTGCCCGAGCTTTTGATCCCGGTCAGCAGCTTTTGATCCCAAGCAGACAAGGTCGACTCCTTGCAGTGTCTTCTGCACTTTCCTAAACGAAGTACCGCCAAATGGAAAATATATTGTCAACGGGTATAATAACCATAGTGCTATGGCAGCCACGAAAGAGCGAATATTGCGTATCTTTGCCGAGCTGGCGCGTGTACGATCGCTTGTACGAAGCGCATTGCCAGCCAGGCCAATATCCAATGCGGAATGTCAACCGTTATTTACTGAGCACCGTTGAATAATAGTCATCCTATCATACTTATGGCAGCAAGTGCCTGGCTTATTCACTGAAGGATTCTACATTAGGCCTCCAGTATACCGTTACGACTTACGAGCCCCAGCCTTCTCTTTTTGACGCGGCCGTGGATAGTTTCCAACGTTCCGGATATGCCATGCGGCCCACCTGGGATGCATTGGCCCCTTCACCAGTTCGCAGCATGGACAGGCTCCAACGTCAGGCCTCTTGTCCAACGTCGCCATCCCACAGAACCCCGCACCTCCAAATGCAAAAGCGAAATGAAGGCGACCATAAGGAATGCCGCTTTGTTTCTGTACACTGGCGACTAAGTTAGGGCCAAGGGGGCATGGGGCCTCCGTGCCAACCCGACGGTCCCTATCCGCTGCACGCCCATTGCATACGGTGGCGCATAACACAAGTCTGACTGGCCCCCCCGACAGGCGGTATAAATAACAAATACAGCGGGCCGTGCGTATCCCGCATGGCTCATCTCACAATGACCTCAACTGACACCCTTACCCCTGAGGCCTGAAGAGGCTTTTTTGGGATGCCCCTCTGCCTACAACGCGTCAGAGGTATCCCTTACGTAGTGCCATGCAAGTCCGGTGCAGACGACTGCATGCATGTGCGGCAAGTCTCCTCACATGCCCACTGCACGGCTGGAGGATGAAGGCATCCATGATACGGTATTCGGCGGTGTGCATGTCCCTTTTGAGTTCTCAAGCAGTATTCTCGGCGCCAACCACCAACCAATAATGACGCCAATAAGCGTCACCTAAACACTTCTGATGAGCTGCGGTGTCTTGAGCATACACGTGGGTGTGCGCCTTCTGCGCTAAAGAGCTGGGAGGCAGGTATCTTGGCCTTCAACACGCACGCAACGACCCATTGGTCAGTCCAGGAATGGATGCCGGCGCACCGTAAGGCCTGCCAAATGGCAAACCCTAGGCTTGATTCACGGCTTGATCCACTGATGGGCCGCGAACTGACAGACCATGTGTGCAGGAGAGGTTACTGTACCCTTCCCTTTGTTTCTGCCTTAACGGGAGTATCACCAAGGTCAGGTGCTTAACAAGGACGCTACTTAACACGAATCCTCATGCACACGCACTCTGCACATATCCGACGTGCCCATATGTGCCGTAACATCGGCGCGGCGACACCTGTAAACGACGCCCCGCGTAATAACCCTTAACACGTCACAACCTACCCTGCACCCTGAGCCACCCAACCAAAGTTGCCTTTGCTGGCAATCATACTTAAGAGGCATTGCAGTTAGCAAATCACGGTCAACGGAGGCCCGAAATGCTGTTCACTATGTACACCTGTCTATTCTGTGAGCTAATGCCAGCACACATACATGCATAACACCCCCACCACCCTCACACGTTCCTACATACAGAGCCTACAGAGGGCCAGGCGGGATGCTGGAGCCCTACCCCAAGAGTACTACATCGCTCGCACAATGGTTGCACCGTCGCTACGTCCCTATCTCTAGAGTGGCCGCACGCTGAAAGTGACGACACACCGGATACCCTTGCCATGCATTAACACGTCATAGTCCCCAGCCAGGTCAACCTTTCAGCTGAGCTCCTTGCTGGAAGTGGCAGGCATCTCTGATGTGCCTGCTTGTTCTAGAAGCTCCGCAATGGTTGCCTCGAGGTTGTCAATCTTCTGACCCATATCGTCAATTTTCCTGTGCGGGATGAACACGAAACACGTTGGCCAAGTTCAGTCCTGCGCGGAGAATGGGCAAACTCCAGGACCTAGCACACTCTTTCTATGCTGCTGGATGGTAACACAAGAAGCCCGGCAGCTTACATGACGATATTGCTGGACATGGTTTGGAAGCGAGCCTGGATTTGCTGGAGAAGGCTCGACACGAAGTTCGTAATTTCAGCACTGTTGTCAGCACTCTTAGTATCCGACATCTACACGCAGCAGCGGTGCAGAAGGTTGTGAGCGGAGAATGTTCTCAAGCCAATGGAAAGGCACAATACGTCCAACGCATAGGCAACAACCTAATTGTTATCCAACCATCCTTACATTGTGAAGTATACAAAAAGCCCTGAAGCGTGAGACAATAGAATTTGCAAAGTTACAAGTTAAGTTCGCGTACCGGTACAGTGATATTGCTGAGACGACGGTGTTAGTATTAAAAAATTAAAGGTCTTGAGCGTTGCAATAGACAACCAAATCAATAGACTTCCACCATGCCGTACGAACGCCTTTACGACATACGTCAAGACCCAGCGGGCAACGGCATACACATGGTAGAACGTACGTACGCACACAAGGTGACCCACCCACCTTCAATGTGCACGTAAGCTGTTAGCCCGTGTAGACGCGGTCCCCCAATGCCACCCCGTGCTGTAGCCCATTGCCCAATGCCAAGTAGGCTGCCACGACCTGCAGCAGTCAGCATGTTCACGCGCCCTGTCGTTCCCCCTACCCTGGCTACGCGACCCGCCTGCCTACGATACCTGGCTTCCTGCCTGTCTCTTGTACTAGGGCGGCATGGAAAACGTGCAGGTGCAGCGCAAGCGGTACCCTATGAATGAACATGCTGACTGCTGCTGCGCATGCACCTTGACAGGCGCACAGTAACAATTCTGATGTTTGGACCACACAATGCCAGAACCAAGAGGTTACAAAAACAAGGCTAACCACCAATAACCAACCGTAGGTTCGAAATGCAATCACTGGCACGCGTTTCCTTGTTGGAAACAACGACCTGCTTCCCTCCACCACCCCACTCCAAAGCAAGCCGTCAGCCGCTTCCCAAGCGCACACACGGCACCAAACACAACAAAAACCGTCCAGGGAACAAGACGAACGATTCCGAGCTCCTCCACGCATCCTCCACGCCTCCCTCGCGACCACCTTTCTCCTCAAGCCACCTGTACCTCCTGCGCCGCCCCGATCACCGCCACCACTGCGTCCAACGACTCCCTATCCGCCCCACCACTCTCATTCCCACCCGCGTCCCTCCCCCGCACCAACGCCTCCCTCCCCTCCTTGCACCCCTTGCCCATTATCTCCGCCAACGCGCCCCGCACACGCGCGTACGCCTCCCCCGGCAGCTCCGCCCCCTGCGCCTGCACCGCCTCCGCCCCCGCCGCGCACCCGGCCGCACAGCACTGCTGCAGCGAGGCGCCCAGCAGGTAGGCGGACAGGAAACCCGAGGTGAAGAAGTCGCCTGGGGGGGGGGTGGGGGGGTGAGGGGAGGAGGGCAAAGGGGAGTAAACCGAACGGGAGGGATGTGAGGAGAGAGGATGATACACAGATAGGACACCGGAGCGGTGCGGGAGAGAGGGGTAGGTCCAACGTCGCCTCCAAGCTTCACCCTCACCCCTCCTGACTCCTCTGCGCTCTGCATGGATTCCACCCCCTCCTCCCTCCCTTTCCCTCCTCCATCCCACTCCCTTCCTTTCCCTCCTCCCTCCCCCTCCTCCCTCCCCCTCCTCTCACCCGCCCCAATGGTGTCCCGCACAGGCACCCGGCAAGCCGCCGCCGCGCCCTCCTCCCCGCCCGTGCCCCGCGCCACACACCCGCGCGCCCCCAGACTGGTCACCGCCACCCGCACTCGCCCGCCGGAGGGCGACAGCAGGAAACGCTGAGCGGCGCGGACGGCGGCAGCGGTGGGGTCGGAAGCAGCGGGGTCGGGAGCAGCGGAGGAAGAAGCGGAGGTGAGGGCATTTGCATGAGGGGAAGAGGAGGAAGGGGCGGCGACATCCGCTGGCTGTTGCTGTTGCTGCGGCTGCTGTGATGGGTGTTGTTCCTCTTGTTGTTGTCGTTCGCGGTGTTCTTGCGGTTGGTCGAGCAGTTGTAGTTCGTTGGCGAGGGTAACCGCCTCCTCCTCATTCGCAAAGATCAGATCCACCAAACCGTCCTGTTGTGGCAGGTTGTACGGCATGCACCGTGGTAAGCCGGCGACGAGTCATAGCCAACCTACACTCCCCCCCTGCACAACCTAAACAGCAGGAGCCCTACTAGCAGCCGTAGCGGCCACCTCCCCTCCACTTATCATTCACCCCGCCATGCCCCTTCTGCCGTACCTGCAACCGGCCCCCTCGTAACCCTGCCTGCCCCCCCCTGCCGTACCCACCTCCAGCAGCCCCAGCAGCGCCCCCTTGCAGTTGCGCACCAGCTCGAACGAGGCGAGGTCCAGGGAGACCAGGGCGCCCCGGGCGCGAGCAGCGGACATCACCTCACGTGCAAGCTGGGGGCGGAGGGAGGGAGGTGGGAGGGTGGTGGGCTGGGGTTTCGCAAGAGGGGTGCAGGCGGGGGCGGTGGGCGGGACAGCAGACGATGCCAACGCGAGGTGATGGCAGCATTGGGTGCTGTTGCTGCTGTGGAGCAAGAAGGGGCGGTGGAAGGGGTTCAACCCATGTTCCGCTTCCTTACCATCCCCTGCTTCGCCCCTTAAACACACCTAACACCACCCCTCTCCAACACCACTAACACCACCCCTCTCGCCACCTCCCAGCTCCCCCACCTGCGGCCGGTACAAGCAGTACCCCTCCGCATGCAGCAGCGCACATCCCGCAGCCCAGTGATCGCTCCCGCCGTCGCTTGCCGTCTCGTGCTGATCCCCCTCCTCCTCCTCCTGCTGCTGCTGCTGCCCCGCTGCTGCTGCCGCCTCCACCGCCGCCCCTGCCTCCTTCTCCTTCCCCTGCACCGCCAGCTGCATCCCCTGCATCTCCCTCCACGCCTCCGCGATCTGCCCCTCGCTCCGTAGCTCCAGGGATGCGCCCAGGCAGGTGCGCATGGTGCGCTGCCCGTCACCGGGAGTCACCAGGCAGAGCGAGGTGGCGGAGGGGGCGCCGCTGCGGCTCTCCTGCATGGTGGGGTGGGGTAGGGGGGTAAGGAAGGGTAAGAACCGTGAGATTGAATCGGGAGGTGTTGAAGGAATGGGAAGCGTGAAGGAGAGGGGACTGGAAGACACGGAAGACACGGAAAGGGTTGGAGTTCGATGACGTGGCGGGGGCGTTGCACATTGAAAGTCCCCCTTTCCCTTTCCCAGCTTTCTTTCAGCCAAGGAACCCCACACCCCGGGGCCCAGTACGACACCTCACCAGCAGCAGCGGTGTGACCCCCTGCGCTGCCAGCTTGCGGCGGTACTCCGCCCCCGTGTCGTCGCGACCTATCATGCCCACGAAGCGGCACTCCACCCGCCGTTGTTGCTGCTGCAGCTGCTCCGCAGTTCCCTGGGCGCCACTGCTGCCGCTGTCCTCGCCGCAGCCGTTGCAGCTGTCAGCCCTAGCGGTGATGGTAATGGTGGTGCTGCTGCTGTGGTCACTGCTGCAGCTGCTGTCGGAGTTCATGATGTTGGCGATACCCTTGACCACGTTGGCCGCACTGCCGCCGGGTATCCTGCAGGAGAACGGAGGGACAGCAGCAGGAGAAGGGAGGGACAGCAGCAGCAGGTGGCAAACAAGACTGTATGGTGTCGGAAGGAATACAAGGATTGGAGTTGGACGGATGATGTGAGGGGTGTCCGGGTAGAACAGCTGCGGCGTTGGCGCGTTAACAGGTCCTCGCCTTTAGCTGTCCGTCATCATCTTACCGTACGAGCTCGCTCCGCTTAGCAGCTTCGACTAATAGCTGATCCATCACATCGGATTCAACTGGAAGACACCCGCCAGGCTCGGAGGTGACGGTGGCAAGCCAGTCGGCGGATACGCTTGCAAGCACGTCCATGACGGGGTCGCCCAACCCCACCACGACAGGGATATTGAGCAAAGCAGAGGTTCCTTCTATCCCCATGTCTACTGTTCCTGAAAATTAATTGTTAAAGGTTTGCGGGAGCTAGTTGGTCGATTGCCGCGGCGCAGCCGGCCGCTGAATTGATATGCTCCTATAAAGGGCGAGCTAAAGCAAGGACGGAACAATCGACGACAATTCGCTAGTAAGGTGCTGTCCCAATGGCGCTGGCAACGTTCAGGTCCTGCAGACTGAGGAAACACGGAATGGGCTCCGAAGGTGCGTACGGCAGAGTTCATATTTCCCTCCTGTCATTTCCATGCCTGTAAAAGATGACCTGCTGATGTAAATTAAAGGGTAGACAACCGTAGAAGTTCCGGGTGTGGATCCAGGTCCTTGCATGTCATTTGGGTCTTCATCGATTTGCAAGGCGCTTCACGTGCTGCTAAATAATTAGGCACACAATGCACCAGCCATCACGCTGCTGTAGCTACAAGGGTAGCACAAGTTCACCATGTTTGCAAGCTTACTATCAAGCCGGTGGCTGGGAGGGTCTACGCTGTCCACGCCGGCAAAGGCGATCTTCTCATAGCAGTGCAAGCCCTGTCCATGCGCGGCGAGCGATGGTGGTGCGCTGCGAATCTCCGCAACAGTCAGGAGGCAATCCCTCGACGCAGGACCGGGTCATCAACAACCTGGTAGCATCAGGGCTGGCAGGATCTGTTGCCGTCATGGGCGCCGGGGTCGCCAATATCGACTTGTTCGGACAGTTCAACTGGTGCGAATGCTTCCGGGCTCATGAGCATTCGCTTGTCATTACACAAGAAGCTAAACAGCTAACCAACAAAGTTGGTGCACACTACCAATTCACAATGCCAACCCCACCCGTTTATGCCCTCGCGCGTCTTCCACCGCTTGCAGTTGACTGCAACCCCGTCGTCCCCCCTCAACTGCACTGCCCTTCCTGACCGCTCCCCTGGCCCCCAAGCCCATGGCGCTCCTCCTCCTCGTTCTCATATCACCACCTCAAACAGTTGTGGTTGCTTGTGCACCCTCCTGTACCCCATCATGGCGCCCCAGGTCCTCTCCCTCCGACCTGCTCCAGGCGCTCTCCCTGGCCTGCCCCCTGCTGCTGCTGGAGGCGCTGCTGCTGGGACCCAGGTGGGAGACAGGCGGCAGCAGCAGGGCAGGGGAATACCGGGGCAGAGGGATGCAGGGGGAGGTGGGCCTAAGTTGTGAACACTGGGGATGCTTATCCTGTGTAATATTGATGTGGTGCTGGGACCGACAGGTGGGACCGGCTGCTAGCGGGAGGAAGGGACGGCGACAGGCAGGAGGATCAGCAGCAGCAGCACCAAGGGAACCGCAGCAGCAGCAGGAGGAGGAGAGGAGTGGCAGGGCTTGCACTACGTACGGATGACGTGGACAGGTTGTTGTCGTACGACAGCTTTGCGGCGACGCTGGTGCTGCACCAGGCGTGTTTGGTGGGGGCGGAGGTGGGTGGAGTATTGGTGCTGGGTTAGTTGGGTGAAAGGAAGGAGGCATGAGGCATCACGTGTGGGCGCAGCGTGCCGAGAGCAGGGGCTGGGAGCAGGGGATGAGAGCAGGAGCGTGCTGAGAGTCGGGGCGCAGCGTGCAAAGAGCAGTCGTGCCCCTCACGACCTTCGCCCTTCCGTACCCCACCTAGTCATGGAAGCAGTAACTCCAGTAGCCACTAAGTTGCTGCTTCTCGCACAGTGCAGATGGTGCGGGCTCGGGGCAGTCGTGCGGCCGCGGAGGCTGAGGTAGCCGCAGCGGAGGAGCAGGCCGGCGCAGGAACCACCACACCCTCCTCCTCCCCCTCCTCCCAACCTCATCCCCGCCACTGGCAGTCCCTGCTTGCCGACGTGTCGCTACTGCTGCTGCGAGACACCTCACGGGAGCTGCTGCTGCGGGGCTTGGGCTTCACCCTGGCAGCTGCCTGGCTGGCGGACCGCGCCTTCGAAGCAGGCGCAGAGGACCTCATCCGGCTATCGCTGCCGCTGCCGCCACTTCCAACAGCAGCGTTGCCGTTCTTACCAACGCCGTCGGTGTCAGCATCCCTCTGGAGCCAGGACGTGTACCTCACGGATGCCGTACGGTACAGTGTTGCGGCGCTGCTGACGGGGCTTATGTTGCCGTACACGGTGCTTACGGAGGCGCGCGCGCTGTCGGTGGGTGTGGGCAGCAACCTGGCATTGGTACGGGTGCGGGTGCAGCGGGAGAGGGAGGAGGAGGAGCGGAGGAGAAGGGGGACAGGAGCAGCAGGAGGATCGACAGAGCAGGTCGCTGGAGGGGAAGGAGGAGACGGCGAAGCGGAGGAGGATGAGGCGGAGGCAATGGTGTGGGAGTTCCGCTTGTTGGAAGCGTTGGAAAGGTGGGTGGAGGGAGAGTCGGGGAAGAGAGGGCCAAGGGTTGAACGGGACTTAATTGACCGCATGAACAAGTGCTACGTGGGTTGCCTCCGCGCCTTGGATGACAGGTGTCTGACCCCCACCCACATATACCCTCCCACTCCTGCATCATCCAGAAGCACCGCTAGCGGCCCTTCGCGGCTCACATACGCGCTCACGCTGCTACGAGGACTGCTGCGCTTTGGCTGCGTCAACCTGGTGAGCGGCTCCCACCTGCGGCAGTCTGCATGTAGCGGATAGAAATATCATGGGGCGGTTTGGGCCCTCACATGTCCGTGCACCGGGTTAGAACGTACAGGAGTCGAAACAGGTGCATATCTTTCATTCACCGCTAACCCAGGACTAACCTACTTGTTGTGTTGTTGTGTCACGGAACCCCTTAAGCTAGCGGTAGTCCTAGCTTGGCTTTTGTCCCTCATTCCATGCAGGTCTTCGCTGTAACCGGCAATCTAGCTGCTTCCTGGCTTGCTACGACCCTTCCCGGCGTGCTGTTGTACTGCTATGTACGAGCTGGACCCAAGGTGCTGCTGGAAGGAGGCGTCGGCAAGAACGGAACCGGTTCGCAGCCTAAGTAAGCTGCAGCCTGATATGTAACACAGATGGTGTATTCAAATTTCTATGGTGAATCTTGCGAACACCTATGGTCCCGTATATGCTCCCGTTGACCTAATGGGTGCTGTACTGTTGTAGACGGCTACACGTGCTGTCATGCGTGCAATACGAAGCAAAATAATATCGTCATCCTCCGTAAGCGTTACAAACCCTGCCGGAGAGCGTAGCGCTCCATCAGAACCACACAACCACCAGTTACCACCAGCCGAAGCAGGCGGCCACTGCCTTGCTTGGAAGTCCCGGTGTTTAGGCCACCAGGGTCGAGGCAGTTGAGGACTCGTACTTCCAGTTGGGGGGCAGCTTGCGGACGCGCTTGTAGTAGCGAGCCAGGCGGTGGATGCGGCTCTCCACCTGTACGGGGGTGGGGGAAAGTGGTCGAGAGAGGCTTGTTAGTATAGCTGTGCGGATGCAGTAAGGATAGCAAGACATGGGCGTATGACAGCATGGGGCAAGAGCAGCCTAACTCTTCCAAGTGTTGCCCATACAAGAAATACCTTTCCTTCTGTGCCTTGGATGGAGCGGGTAGGAACACCCCAATGTCTACTAAAGTGTGAAACCCATCTGAGCATCCACGTACCAGAATGAGGCGGAACTTGCCGTCCTTGTCCTTCCGGTTGCGCTCCAGGTGCTTGCGGATAGACACTGCGTGCAATATGGCGAAGCGTCAGCCGTGACCGAACGCTTGCCGGGCGCATGCGCCCTCTTGGCTCGGTTGCTGCTGCAGATGCTATTCTCACCAGCCTTCTTAATCAGGAAGTACAGGTCCTCGGGAATCTCAGGGGCCAGACCGGCACCCTTCAGGATCCTCAGAACCTTGCTGCCGGTCACGCTGGTGACCAGGGGCACGCCGTGCTGGTCACGCAGGACAATGCCGATTTGCGAGGGGGTCATGCCCTTCCTGGCAAACTTGCAAATCATGTCCTGCACCTCAGAAGAGGTGGTCTTGCACCATCTGAGGGCGACAAGAAATGCGGCTCGGTTAATAGTTCAAGAAAGTGCGCCGCACTAGAAGTCGGCGGCTGAAAAGCGCAGCAACAATACTTACGAGGGCGGCGACCTCTTGTAAGGAATGGCAGAGGACGACTTGCCTGCGTAAAGTAAAATTCAGGAAGTTGGTCTAGGCTGAGCGATGGCAAAAAAATGCGGCGGTTCCTAAGTGTCTCACCCTTGCCGCTGCTGTGCATACGACCCATGGTGGCGAGTCGTTGGTATACGGCCGCTCAGCGGTTCGTTTAGGAGAGAAAGAAGGCAGGAGCGACTGCGGTCTTTTTGGCAATGTTTATTGGGCCCACATAGATGCCGTACACTCTGCTGCCATACAGCTGTGGACGTTGACATATCGTTTTGAGCGTAAAACCTATACAGCGAGGTATTGATTGTGCTCCCCTGTTAGGTGCTAAATTTCATCACTACACTCCATTGGCCTTATTTTGACCTCAGCCATGTCGCCTTCCGCTGCCGCTGCTGCCGCTGCTCAGGGTAGCCGCTTTGCGCACCCATGGCTCAACCCCCTGTCCCCTGGCCGCTCCCGTTTCTATGACTTGGTGTACAAGTCCGCCGCAACCGCTCTTATTGGCTTCGCGGCGTTCACCTTCTTCGAGGTCGGTCGCGGCACCTACTACGTTATGCACTCCAACCAGGCGCGCAAGCAGCAGGAGGCAGAGCAGGTTTGTTTTGGGCCAGGCGTCATGGATGACGTGGGTGCTGCTAACCGGAGCGTAATCTTCTTTATTTGCCTCAAATGCCGCATAACAGCTGAGAAAGATGATCTTGTGATGCCTTGCCTTGGCGTTTTGTGGCCCCTTTGCGGATTCGAGGCGTTCGTGTTAGAAATTTAAGCGAGTTACGTGTGTCGTTATCGGGCGCTGGGTCATGTATCCTTTGAATGTATACCCATTCTTTGACATGGTGGTATGCCGCACGCTTTCTTGGAGCGTCCGTTGAAGATGGCCCCTCTCTGCCACATCTCGCCCGCAGGCCAACAACAGCCAGTAACAGGTCAACGACCATCGAGAGTGTAGCAAGAGCAAGCGCATGCAGTAGCAGGACTGGAGCAGTATCATTGCAGACGCGGACATTTAGAACAAGGAGGCTAGCACGTAGTCAGGATTTCAGCAGCTTGCCTACGGTTTGGGGCTGGCGCTTAAGCGGGGAGCTGTCGATGCCGCCGGCTCGGTGGCATGCCGGCTGGCGGCCTTGTGCGGGTTTGGGTTGTTTCACGTCTTTTGGGGCAAATTGGGCAGCTCCGCAACAGCTGAGTCCAAGGTCTCCCCTTCCCCCCAGCACAACGGGCTCGGCTACTGCAGCGTACATCGCACCTCCCTGCCGGCTACTCGTATGGGGAGAACGCCGTTTAGGGTTTGGGGATAGCCTGGTATGCTCGTCTTCGGGGCACATGCACAGCCGGATACCAACTGTAATGGCAACGCTGCCACCCACCGGAGGAGACGGCTTTGGTGCTGCTTTCCCCAGCGACTCGACTCAGGTTCAGTGGCATGATCATCCTAGCAGTGGCGACGTTGGTCAACTCCTGACCAATGCTGCAACAGGACAACCACAGCCAACTTCGTCACAGAACCCATTGTTATCCTCTGATCCCGGTGCAGCGATCCTAACAGCTGCTGTGGACCTGTCCCGCTGGGACCGCGCCGTGTTCGACGCACGCTTTTCCGACCTCGTTGCCATTCTACCGGACCTACCACGTGTGCTACCTTCCCTGCCACCTGCGCATCTCCTAGCAGCCATGTCTGACCCCCGGACCATCGCCGACAAGGTAGTAGCCTTGAAGGCTGTCCTGCCCTCAGTCAACGTGGGCATGCTGCTGCTGTCGTACCCGCCGGCTTTGGATCCTTTGTACGGCGTCGACAAGCTGATGGCAGGGGTTACGCATGCAGACAGGGTGCTGGGCGGTCGAGCAGTGGTAGCAGAGGTGCTGCAGTGGTACCCGCCTTTAATAGACCCTGCAGTGTTGGACACGAGCGTAGCGGAGCTGCGACGGTTGGTGCCGCAGCTGGCACGGAGGTGCCTGCCATCGGCCGGAGGAGGACATGGGTCGCGGGGAGGCAGCATGGGGGCAGCAGTGGGCGGCGGGGATGCACGACAGCTGGTGCACCTGCTGGGCATTGTGATGCAGACCGAGGGGGGCAGTGCTAGGGCGGGTGAGCAGTCGGGAGGGAATGGCTCTGGTACGGTGTGGTGGGGCTGTTCATGAGGGCTGTGTAAGATGAAGAGAGGGTGTTTAGTGTATCATGGTCGTACAGGTGTACGTAGATACTATGTATGTAGGTGTGTGGGGTTTCGGAGATGGGTGTTTGTTGGTGGGGTCACTGAGGGTCCCGTGTTTTCTGCGGATGATGCATGTATGCGCTTGCCGTTTAGCGCAGTATAAGACAAAATAGGGTTTGGTGTCTGCTGTGAGTGCTCGGTTCGTCGCATTTCCCGACATTGCATCGAATGTATTGTAAGAGGGAGTCTGCAATGTTTCGGGGGTCTTCCTTGTACGGCAATGAAGGCTTTTCCCATGCGCACATGGCGATGCATGCGTGCAGTCCTGCAGCTTTTACGTCGTGCTGATCTGCTGCGAAGAAGGCCAAATAAAGGGCAGCACGCTAACTACACAACGCGATTACGGAACAGGTTACGACACCGTCAAGGTCGTAACGGAAAAACCGTTGCTTTGCGGCTTAGCACAGCAGGACGGAGTTGTGACCTTACTACCTATATAGCTGCCTATAAGCACTTGACGAAGCCAGTGATTCAGGTCTGAGAAATGGCGACAAGCCCTTCGATTAGCATCTACCGTCAGCTTATACGCACCATTCGGAAGAGTAAGCCTGCACACGCTATACGCCTGTATCCTTCCCTAATGCCACAGTATAACATGGTTTCGATGCCCGCAGCATTTGCTGGAGACCCTCTAGCCATCTCGGCCGCACGCAAGGAGCTCAAAAGCGCCTTCTGGGTAAGTGGCGAGGCTCAGAGCAAAGAACCATATTGTTCTGTATTACGACGGCAAAGGAGTGAGCGCGGATAACTGTAATGGACCGTCATGCACGTACGCCAGCCCACCCTCTTCGCTGCCTAGGGGTGCTATTAACGTGGGCTGGCTGGGATGGGCTGGCGTACGTGCATAGCCTACTAGTTTGCCATCCACGTTCACGCAGCGCGCACCTTACCTGTAGCCAGTTGGCAAGGGGTATTACGTCCCTCTTCCTGCCCCCGGCATCCGTTCTCCATTTCCCCGTCGTGATACCCCGTGCCTTCCTCCATCCAGGCCAACCGTCACCTAACCGACAAGCGGGAGATCAATGCTGCGGTTGCCGAAGCAGTTGATGCCAACGAATTCATTCGCGAAAACGTCATCCAGGCGGTGAAGAAGGACTGCGGCTCGTACGGTGAGGCCGCTGCTCTCAGCCGTTCTCCTCGTTGCCCTGCATGCAGCGTAAAACTGCGTCCCCCCGTAGCCGTCCTAACCTCACATCGCTTTCTCCCTTCCTCTTCCCTTCTTCCCTCCCTGCCACAGATATCGACCCCGAGAAGGCGAATCAGCTGAGGGGCATGGAGCCAGAGCAGCGCCGCCCTCCGCCGAGGGGTTGAGCTGCAGGGTGAAGGGGAGAAACCCCGACCAGAGGTGTTCCAATGCAGGGGCCTCCGCTGTGGCCGGGTTTAGAAGGGAAATGCCATGCCGACCATGGGGTTGCGACAGGGAGGTGAGGGGACCCGTGTAGGCCTGTGAGGGGGGGTGGGGGTGCGGGTAAGCTTGGCTACGTGCGCGGTGCTCGGGTACGTTGGAGCCGCCGCAGCAGAGTCTACGTGGGGTTGTAGTCGGTACGGCATTCGAGTTGCATTTGGTGTGACAGGAGTGCAGGACGATAAGGGTGGTGCATGGGCAAGGAACGTGGTACGGGAAGTGGGCGGAAGGAAGGGGGGATTATTATAGATAAGTGCAACAACGCAGTCCCAATCCCGAATCCCGACTCATGCAGTGAGCGCATTCTAAGAAATTAAGCGGGGGGCGGGCGGGGTTTCTGTTTGCAGTTGTGGGTGGACGGAACATGGACTGGACGAAGATGTGAGGTTGCAGAGGTGGATGTGTTTGTGTAAAAGAACAGCTCAGGGATGGCTAGATCCCTACGGTAGGGGTGTTGTCATTGGGCCGCGCTTGGGGTGCGAGTTTTGGTCCTGGAGTTCAGCCCTCGCGTCGCAATCAGCAGCGTATCTAAACCAACAAGAAATTAAGAAATTCAGTACTTAGCGGGCAGTCTTGCTTAACACCTTCCGTGGAGAGGAACGGGTCACTCAGCTTGCCTCCTACCTTCACCCTCATCAAAACACGCTTGACACCTCTTTATACAGTCTAGCATGGACCCATGCATGCCTGTCTCTCTAGCCTTGCCCACAGCACTTCCCGCGATACCCGGTCAACTGCTTTCTCAAAGTCGATGGGGCACGCTACCAGCGGGGCACATGGCTGTTTCCATGTCGAGGCAAGGCAAACGAAAGTGTTGCGGGGTCTGCCTCGTGAAGGATATGGGTCGGTGCGAGCCAGTTCGTGAACCTGCATGCGTGGTGGGTGGCAGGTATGCATGGGTGCTACTGACCCAGATCAGCCTTGCGCGAGGCGGTAACGAACTGGGATCGCATCGTGCATACAGTAATGGCTAGGCCTTCCTGCTTGGCCTTCCAGACCCACCCTGCTGTACGACCGACTTTGAGAGCCCCAAACGTTTTCCGTACAATTTGGATTACAATTCTGAAAGCGCATGTGGCATGCTCTTGTTGAGTTCTTTACTATGGAAGCATGGGGTTATTTTGCAGCGAAACTTCCCCCCCCCCATGCCAGTTCAACATGGAAAGATAGAAGTTGAAACTGCCCTAGCATTCAATCATTTCAATGTGTTCTAGGTGATCCAATGGGTACCAGTAATCACCCTGCAGACCGTACGGCAGCAAATCTCTGTGTGTCCTTTTTAATTACCATGGGGCTCTCTCCTCTGGCCCTCTCTCATCGCATGCGACACGCACTCACGCCCCCACGCCCTTCTCCCACATTCATGCAGCTCACATAACACGCACTACGATGTGGAGGTGGCAAGTGGCTCATAGCTAGCTCAATACATGGAAAACAATGATAACACTCCACTCCAGGGCCCCCTACCGGTATCCTCATATCACACTCCCTCACCTCATCCCTCCGCTCCCCATGCTGCCCCCTTCATGCGAGCCTCTCTCCTAGTAACATCCAACACAGGTATGGGAGCAGTTGGCAGCAGGAGAGCGGCGCGCTACCAACATTGCAGCAGACTGGTAACCATCCAACTGCTTGCCCAGCAGCCTATTACTGCTGGTCAAAACAACCCATGTGTTACCTATCATCCCTTCCCCTCCTCGCACCTCCCCGCTCCTCCTCCTCCTCCTTCACCTCCACAACCGCATCCCGTCCCACCTCCTCACGCCGGCAGGAACTCATTCGTGAACATCGGCCCCACATCCACCGCCTCCCGAGGAATGCGCTCACCCACATCCCCCGACCGCAGCCCATCCAACGACGTAATGAGGCTGCTGCCGCTGTTGTCAGTACCGCTGCCGCCGCTGCTGCTGTCGGCTCCCACGCTGTCGGTGCCAATGCTGCCTGCTTCCGCAACCGCCCCAGATTGTCCGCTGCCCTGCTGCTGCGGTTGCTGCGCTTTGCGACTGGGTACTTTGGTGGTGAGCAGCCCGGACTGCGACAGCCACTCCAGGAAGGCCCCCCACACGGAGGACTGCATGCGGCCCCAGCGCCCCCGGGCGTCTAGCAGGTGGTGCGGGGAGAGGTAGGCCTGTGGGTGGGGGGTGGGAGGTGGTATTATGGGGTGTGGAGGCGTGTTAACTGCGATTGGCTCGAGTTGTTAAGCTAGGGGATCATCAGCGGGGTTAGCATCTTGCAGATCCGGTGGTAGGCGGGGATGCGGGAGGTGCTGTGTTTGCTGACACGCTCAACCCTCTTTACCCCCTCCCCTTCCCCTTCCCCCACCCGCTCCCTTCCTCCTCCTCTCACCAGTGACTCCCGCACAAGCTGCGGGTCCAGGGGCCTCAGCGGTTTACCCGCACCTCCTGACCCCGCCTCGCTCGCCCCCTCCGTCGCTCCTCCTCCTCCCTGCTGCACCGCCCCCGCCCCCTCCCCTGTCCCAGCCGCGATCCCATGCTCCGCCTCCACCGCCGCTAGGAAGACCTCCGCCGCCTCGCCCGGCTGCCCAGCCGCCCACTCGTAGGCGCGAGCGGTAGCAGCCAGGAAGGAGCGGACGACGTGCGGATGGTCCCTGAGGAGGTTGATACAGGGGATTGGGAGGTGGGGAAGCGGCAGCGAACATGACCCGTCAAACGTCCACGCGTGCCAGACCCACCAACCCCCACCAACCTATAGCTTCTTTCTTCCTCCACCTCCTCTTCTCACCCCGCACAACCCAGATCGCCCCCCACAACCCAGACTTCGCAACCCACCAACTGACCTCAGCGTGTCAGGATGTGCGACCAGCAGGGGGCTGTAGCCATACGGCACTCCGTACTGCTCCAAAGGAAAGCAGTTGAGCTGCACGCCCTTCAAACGCGCCTCGATGCCCTCCTGTGTGCATGCAACCAGGCGGTTAGGAGGCGGTTAGTTGATTAAGAGGCGGTTAGTAAGTCATATAGCGGTATGCGAGCCGGCGGGCGTGGACGCTGGTTGGCCTGATAAACAGCTAGACACCGTCCCATGCAACACACCCCCAGTCGTGGGAGTTATGTTCCTCTCATCTCTGACCCACAGTCGTCGTGAAACCCCTCCCCCCCGTCCCCGCCCACTCCCAGTACGACACTCACCCAGCCCATGAAGACCCAGGTGGCGTCCGCCTCACCCTGTGGTACGGCAGTGTCACCCTTAGTAACACCGTAGTACGGCAGTAGCTTATGTGAGTAACGCTGTGTAGACATGTACTGCAGTTCAACACGGTTACTAATCCCACACGGCCTCCTCGCCCTCCCTCCCAAAACTAGGGTGGGGATTCCAGTGCTTCACTTCTCTCCCAGTTATACCCTCCCCAACTCCCAACTTCTCTCCCAATCCCCTACCCCAACTCCCAAACCCCCCCACACACACATCTCACGGCCAGTGTTATCAACATACCTTGAGCAGGGTCTCCCAGATACCCAGCATGGGCGGAGTCACCTCTCGGAACTCCCCTCGGCCGCCGTCTGACCGAATCACCTGCTGTACGACACGCCCCTCGAAGCGGGCGCCGTACGAGGCGTACGACATGCCGTCCAGCTGGGCTGGGCGGGAGAGGCCGCTGGAGGCTAGGGTGACGATGGCGGAGGTGGAGTCCTGGGGAGGAGGGTGAAACGAGCAAGCTGGATGGGTAACGATAATGGGGAGGTGGGGGAGAAGGGAGGCGTAGGAAGAGGACGAGGAGGGAAGAGAGGAGGAAGCAGTGGAGGAGGGGAGTGTTGCGAGTGGTTGTGCAGTGACGAAGGGAGAGGCCGGATAAAGCATGTGTTGGGAGGCGATTGCTGGACAACGATGAGGGATCTGAGATTGATCTGGGTCAGGGCGGTTAGCGGTGTCTGGGTTGTCGCGGGTTGCAATTGAGGGCGATCAGCAATGACCCAAATCAATATTGTCGTTTTGCGCGTGTGGGGCATACATTTGTGGATCGAACGTAGCGCTTTCTGGGGTGTTGTTGATCAGGGAATAGGCAGTGTGCTGAATGCGGCGTAAGGCGTGCGATCGCTCCTTTTTCAATCGCTTTTAATACGGCCTTTCAACCACAAGGGGGTATCGTCTTTGCTGCGAACATCAATGCGCGTTACAGCCAGCGCGTGGTAGTATGTGGAATGGCGATGGCCATCCAGCAAGCGTACAGAGGGCATCGCACCTGAAGAATTGCCGCTACGGCTACGAGTTTAGGCTTTGCGCCGGGAGCATTGCCCCAGGTATGTGCTGAGATGACGCTCTCCGATGGCGTTACGCCGAACATGCATGAGCCATCGGCTACCCGCGACGCCGGCGTGGTTTTGTACTCGTCTACGTGCGGACTAACCAGCCGCACGTCCAATCCGGCCTCAGCGTACCATCCTTTTTGCTTTGCAATGTAGAATCCAGCGTGGTTGGTGTTCGGTGTCCAGTCGAGGGCGATATTCACGATTGTGCCCATCTTCATGCAATACGCAGATCACTGGAAAGCAGGCAAGGCGCGTCACCATGCAGGTGTGTTGGCATAATCGTCATGGTTGGAGCGCTGCATCGGAATCAACTGCCGTGCAGCAGCAACGGTGTCCGTTCCGCCGTCGCTAAGCACCGTGTGCTCACAACAGCAACGGCTTGACTTTGTAACTTATATGGAGGTGGCGTAGGGCTGGAAACGAAGCCCAATAGTTGGGGCCTAGCCCTGATGATCTCTCTTTAAGTGTCGTCTTGTCCCTTCATGGCAAGAAATTGTTCAATTCGTGAAGTTACCTAGTTATACAACTGCCGCGGTGGGGCCTGCTCTTGGTATAGGGCACGATAGCAAGAATGTTACAAACAGGTCTTGCTCGTGTCGAACGCGCCTCCCCGGTACAAGTCTCCAGCCGCACAGATAAGCTTATGGCGCGTATTGCCCTGGTAATAGTAGCCAGCGGTGTACTATACGGCTGCTACGCTATGGGGGGACCGGTCTATTGGAAGGTGTATGCTACGCTTATACACCCGTACCAGGACCATCCTCCACCAGCTGCTGTTACAGGTGTGTCTATAGTTTCCTGGGGCTGTCGGGGAGCGAAGTCAACCCTTTGGTTTTCAATTCCTTGCATTGCTGACCTTGTGCTTTGCTTATCGCCCTTCTTGTTTTGGGGATACTTGGTTGGAATGCGCCAGCCGCACCAGTCTCGGGTGGTGTGAATGGAACTGGAGGGGCTGCTGGGGCGGTGGTTAAGAGCTCGCCCTCCCCATCAGCATCGTCACCATCTCCGTCACCATCGCCTTCTCCAGTTAAGAAGGAGTTCAACCCGGATGACTACCCTCTTACAAGGTGCGCATGCCGGCGGCCCTGCCGCGAAGTCATTCTCAATTCTCCACAATCCTCTCCCCACCGGCTCATTCGCTTATTGCGATTAACCACCCCATTGAGCACGTTGCTCATCTGTTCGTCTGCCCGCATCCTCACAACCGTTACCCCCAACACCGACACCTCTGCAGGGAGCGCGTGCAGCCGCTGCTGCAGGACGGGTTGATCATGATCACGTGGGCCAACCACCACTACCTGGACTTCGCCAAGAGTTGGGTATACAACTTGAGAAAGGTTGGTGTCCTCGCACCTGAGGGAGGTGGGGTGGAGGAGGGTACGGGGAAAACTGCTTATGGCTATGTTCCTCGTCTAGCCCAGGCCGTACCATTCCCCACCTCCGGCTCACTGCCGCATCCGTTCGACCGCATCCGCCCTCATTAGGCAGCCTAATGAGGGCGGATGCGGTCGAACGGATGCGGCAGTGAGCCGGAGGTACGGCCTGGGCTAGACGAGGAACATAGCCATAACGATGAGGGTCTGCGCTTTAGTACCTCCTCGCCGTGCTTCTTCTCCTCCCTTCCTCCCCCCCGCGTCCGCCCCTCAAACTGGGTCTTCTCCTCCCCCCCCTCGCCCTTCCGCCTCCGCCAACCCCCCTCCTCCCCTTCCCCCGCAGTCCGGTGTGACCGGCTACATGGTGGGCGCCATGGACGACGACATGCTGCGCGAGATGGTGGCACTGGACTTCCACACCTGGCGCATGAACACCGGCATCACCAAGAAGGACCTGGGATGGGGCAGCCAGAACTTCCACCTCATGGGCAGGTAGGGGGAAATCATATATAAGTGCAACAACACAGTCCCCATCCCGAATCCCAGGGATGGGCAGGAAGGGGAGGGGCGGGGAGAGGGGGGAGAGGAATGGGTTATATCGCACAGGGCTGGTTGGGAGGAGGCGGATTGAAGTGGATGGGCGTCGTGGGCAGGCTGTGGGGAGGGGGCGGAGTGAGAATGGGGATGCCAGGTGAGCGCACGTGGGCGTGAAACCCCCCCGGCATTCGGGAGCATGCAACCCCAACCCACGCCCTCGCCCCTTGCCATATCATTCCTCTCCACCCACCTACCTCCCTGCCTCCCACCCCCACCCCCGCCAGGTTCAAGATCAAACTCATTCGCGACGTGCTGTCGCTCGACGTGAGTGTGGTGGTATCGGACATCGACACCGCCTGGGTGAAGAACCCCATCCCGTTCTTCCACCGCTACCCCGAGGCGGACATCCTGACCTCCACCGACCAGCTGGCGCCAACCGTCAGCGATGACTCCCTGGAGCGCTTCCCGCATGCGGGCTCCGCCTTCAACATCGGCATCATGCTGTTCCGACCCAACAGCAAGGCGTTCGTGGGTGAGTGGGGCCGGTGTGCCGTACATGGGTCAGTTGGCGCCGTACATGGGTGGGCAGTGGAACGATGCGCATACCCGGTACGGTGCTTACAGAACCCCTTGACAGCCTCCCTCGTTCACAACCCAGGTGACCCTTTTCCTCCCGTCCCTCCCCCCCTTCACCGTCCTCGTCCCAATGCCCCTGACGGCCTGCTCCCAAGACGAGTGGGTGAAGGCGCTGGATGACCCCAAGATGTGGGACCAAACCGCGTTCAACGACCTTGCACGCAAGGTAAGGCGGCGGCGGCGGCAAGAGCGGAGTATTTGAGTATAGGCACTATTGATCGGGGTTTGGTAAAGAGGAATACCGGTGTCCAATGGATGGGGGAGGGAGGGTTGGGGCGAACGCTGTGCTGCAGCGGCCGCGTGACCACCCCCTACCTCCCAGTCCTCAACCTCTGCAACCCCCTCCCTGCCCCAGGGTCACACCGTGTCCGAGGCGCCTAAGAACCTGTGGAAGGGCTACGAGGGCAAGCTGACGGTGGGGGTGCTGCCCTGCGCGCTGTTTGCGAGCGGACACACCTTCTTTGTGCAGGTGGGTAAGGGTGGGGCGCTGAAGGGGGGGGTGCGCGGGTGCCGGGGTGTGGAGTCCAACTGAGCCTCATGGAAGCACTGGAAGGCAAGGGGAGGGTGGGCAGGAGTTGCGACGACTGGGTAAAGCTGTAATTGTGTTTAACGCCACCCGCTTAGGGTTTCGCAGGGTTGAACCCTTTCCCCTGCTAATCCCTCCCACTCCCCCAGCGCAAGTACTCGGAGCTGGGTTTGGAGCCGTACGTTGCGCACGCCACCTTCCAGTACAGCGGCACCCCGGGCAAGCGGCACCGCTTCCGGGAGGCCATGCTGTTCGACGACCCGCCCGAGTACTACGATGATGCCAAGGGCTTTGTGACCATCGAGTGAGTGGCCGGCTGGCGTGGGGTGAGACGGATGCATCTCCCCATCTTACTGCGGGGTGTTGTTTGGTGGCCAGTGAGTGGGTGAGTGAGCTGTACAGCAGGGTTGATCACAGTCCATTGCCTCATGTAACCCACCGCCCCCCCCCCGCGCCTCCACCCCATGTCCGCAGCATGGACATCCCGCAAGCCCTGTTGGACGCCGCCGGCCGGCCGCTGCAGGGCCCCATGACGGCCGACAAGCTGGGCGACCACTTTGCGCTGGTGCACCACCAGCTGCTGCGGCTGCGGGGGGCCATTGCGGTGGCGCTGGTGACGGGGCGGGTGCTGGTGCTGCCGCCCATTTGGTGCCAGCTGGACAAGTACTGGGCGCCGCTGTATGATGGTGAGCAGGAAGGGATGGAGGAGGAGGAGATGGGTGTGGTGTGGTTGGCGTGAGGGCGCCGCTGTTTGGTGGCGGGGTAAAGGTGGGGTGGGGTGTGGGGGGCGCCGCTGCTTAGGGAAGGAGGAGGAGGAGAGGAGGCAAGGAAGGAGACCTCCCACACGACCCTCTTTCCCCATGCCAACCCTGCTGCTTGTCCTGCCCTGTCCTGGTCTCCCAGGCAACATCCCCGGCTCCCACTGGCGCAAGCCCTTCATCTGCCCAGCGGACCATGTGTTGGACCTGGAGGGCGGCTGGCACCCGCACCGCCCCGAGTTCGGCAAGCACCTGGCGTATCGGGAGTACTCGTTCTTCAACAACCCCAGGTGGGGGAGATGGGGGGGGAAGAGGTTTTTCCAACCCTCGGGTGCGGTTAGGGAGGGGGAGGGGTTGGAAGTACAGCGCTGCAGATAGCCGGGCTGCTCACAAACCGTAAGGTAGGGGGCTGCGACCCGCACGTGTCAACCCCAACCACCGCTTCCTTCCCGCTTTCCTGCGCCCTCCCGCCCTCCCTCCCCAGGATGAGCAAGGCGGTGAATGAGAGCCGCGTGGTGCTGACGGTGTGCCAGCAGGGCGACAAGGACTGCGCACAGGGGGACGCGCCGGCACCGATCAAGGTAGGAGTGCGATGGGAGGTCGGGGGGGCTCTTTCTGTTGTGTGGGGGCTGACGGGTTGGGTATGCAGTGGGTGAAGGCCCTTCTTCCGTTCTCCCCCTTCGATGACTACATACTTTCCTCTCCTTTACCTCTCCCTTGCCTCTCCCTCACGCCTCCCCCGCCCCCTCTCCCCCCCAGGACGGTGTGGTGCGGCTGGCCCCCCGGCTGCGCGACGACCAGCTGTACCGCGCGCTGGTGGAGGGGTCGGAGGTGGCGGGCAGGAAGGTGCTGGTGGTGCGCGGGGCGGCGGAGGTGTTCAAGGACTTTGTGAGCCCAGACGTGAGTGAAGAGGGGCAGATGGCGGGGGCAGGTGTGACGCAATGCGCATGCACAGCGGGCATGGCGGATGGAAAGGGGAGATGCGCATGCACGTATGGCAGCAGGGGCAAAGCAAGGGAGCGGGAAGGCAGTGAGATGGAAGGAGTGGGGAGTTGGGACAGGGGGATGTTTGCTAGCGATGGTAGGCGGTTGTCTCTTGTCCAGGTTCGCATGTCGCAGCCGCCTCAGCCTCACCTCCCACACTGCTCTCGGTTGACTAAGACCCGTGCTCTGCCCCTCTCTTCCTCCCTCCTCCCTTTCCCCCGCAGGAGCAATCTCGGTTCGAGAACCGTCTGAAGCACTACACCTCGGTCTTCTGCTGCTTGCAAGAGAACCCTGGGTGGATCTGGTGAGAGGCGGGTGGGGGCAGGGGCTGACTGGCTGGGCTCATCCTAACTCCTTACTATCTATCACTCTAGAGACACCTAGCCTGCGTTTCCCATTCTACTCCCTTTGTTTGGAGAGGACTTAGCCTCGCTTCCACTCCCTCCCTTCTCTCTCCCTTCCCCCCCGCTCCCATACACACACACGCAGGTACGACTTCTTCGCTGACCGCCCGCACGCCGACCGCTTCAACCGCAAGTTCACCGACAAGTGGCTGCCCAAGCACGGAGACACGGACCGCAACGTGGCGGGCTACAAGGAGCCCCAACCGCTGGCTGCTGCTGCGGGTGCTGCTGCCACCGCCACCACACGTCGCGCCCTGCTAGCGGAGGAGGAGGAGGTGGCGGACGTGGTTGTGATGTCGCGGGACCAGCACGTGGGGGCGGGGGGGCTGCGGGTGACGGAGCTGCAGGGGCAGTTGGGGCTGGGGCGTCGGCTGCAGGGCGAGGAGCGGGAGCAGCTGCAGGTGGGTTTGGGGGGAGGGGGGAGCATGAGGGTAACGTGGGGCGTGTGCTGTGTGAGGTGAACGGGAACTCCTATCAGCATGTGTCCAACAGGCAGTGCCCTCACATGTGACCTCCCGTCCCCCCAAGCATGTGTACCGGTAACCGACCCGCATGCGCCGATGTGCCCATGTGCCCGCGTGTGTGACGCTGTTGGGCCCCCCTCAGGAGGTTCGCTTCCTGCAAGCGCTGGAGCTGGACGCCATGTTCTCCGGGCCCTAGAGGCGGCAGCAGCAGCGACTTGGCAGCAGCAGTGGCAGAGCTCTAGACAGCTCTAGACTGTCTAGAGCTCTGGCTGTACGCATGCTGTTCGTGTAGGCTGCGGGCGGGTGAAGTGATTACATGGATATATGCATATGGACTTGGGGAGGAGTGCTGGTATCGGTGAGATGAAATGGGACGGTTTGGCAGAGCTCTTATGAGCTCTTATGACGGCGTGATGCCGTAACGCGAGATCCGTGACTCCGAGGAGCATCTCTAACTTGACACCAAGACCCGACATGACGGTGTGATGAGATGGTATATTGCTTTTGCGTTTATGCTGTACATGGCACGTAGGGATCGGCGGCCTTCCTTCAGTCGTGGCATTACACTGCCGCAGCCTCACGTGCTGCTTGCTGCAACCACTCAGGGGTGGTGCACAGTAGGCCCCACAAGATGATATCCACCGGATTTTTAACAAACATCAGGCCATGCAAGCTCATCCGCCCTCAACGTCATGAGTACCAAGTTCCGCTCAGCATCTCTGCTGGCGCGCGTGCAACCCTTTGGAAAGTCAAGCCTGCCATCAGCACCCAGTAACCCGCCATTAGCGACACCCGATGCGAGCTGGCGGGAAGCCAGGGCCTTCAGATCCATGTACACCCCGCATGCTGTGTCTTCATCAGGCTCGTCAACCGCGCGACCGTCTGCTCGTTCCCATGCCAACCCATCCGCGCATCGCTAGTCCTACAGCTCTGTCACGACGTGTCACACACAGAATCGATAGCAGCAGCACTCAAACAAGTCAAGGCGCTGAACCACTGCACGACTTGCCTTCCCCAAGTCCAAACAATTAGTCCAGGAAAACACAGTGTCTGGCTGGGTGTCGGATACGTCAAGGAGTCAACAGTTAGCCGCTGAGTATATATCCCGCAAGCAACCAACTTCACCTGAAAGGTCAAGGCTGCTAAATGCCACGTTCCGCGCCATCCCCCATGAGCCATAACATACTCCCAACAGCAACCTGGCAACCTCACGAATATAGCCCCATGCATACGCTTTAACCGTCACCCCAAGCCCACGTCACCAAACAACACGACCCCTCATTGCGTCTTCTTGCTCTCCTCCCTCACCGCCTCCCCTGCCTGCTTGGCTGCCCCCTCCTTCTCCTTGCCCTCCTCCTCCGGCGCCGCCTCACTGAAGCTCAGCACGGGCTGCAGCTCCCTCGCCAGCCAGGCGTGACCCAGCACCGCGCCCGCCACACAGGGCACGATGTAGAGCAGCGCCGGCTGGGCGGCCTGGGGGGGGGGTGAGGAGTTGGGGTGAGGAGGGAGAGGGTGTTGGAAGCAACCGACTGTGTTCCCGCTTCTGCTCTTTGCCTTCTCCCATCTCCTGCCTCCGTTGTCTGCTAACCCCGTCCTCCCGCTCACATAAACGGCCATTCTTTCCCCTCCGGCCTCCCGCTAGTCCTAACCCCCTCCCGCCCGCAACCATGGCTAGCTCTTCCTCCTGACCCTCCTTAACACCCCAACCCCAAACCCCCCTCCCGCCCCCCGCCCCCCCTACCTGGAACACGTTCATGACCACAATGGTCGCCGCCAGCCCCGCCACGTAGCCCCCGAACGCGGAGCGGAAGTACTTGGAGCGGAAGTTGCGCTTCACATCGTAGCGCAGGATGAGGGCCACGAAGATGCCTGGGAGGTGGATTTGGGTGTGGGAGGTTGGAGGTTGAAAAAGGAGGCCTTCCTCTTGTCAGGAGGCCAACCCTAACCCATGTGTCCGCACCTGGAATAACAATGTCCCCGAGGCCCAGCATCGCAAACGGCCGCTTTCCATCCTCCAGCACACCAGAGCGAGGGAAGAGCAGCTTGATGGGCCCGTCAAAGTTCTTGGCCACCGACACCATCACAGGCGTGCAGAACACCCAGAAGATGTCATAGAAGAAGAGTCCCCCCAACAAGATGAGGCCGACATGCACTGAGCCTAGGCTCAGATGCTCGATGCCCTCCAGGCAAAACGCCAGACCCAGCATGTTGTTCGCGAACCAGTGCTTTTTCGCATAATACCAGCCGCAAAATCCCACGCTGATCGTGGCCAGGATAAGCTCAGGAACGGTTGGGCGCATGCTGCCATCGGAGTTGTCAAAGACGTGTGGAACCTTAATGCGAGGCAGCGCGATCTCCATGTGCTGAATACGTTCAGGAAAGAAGTCCAGCACGTATGGCAGTATAGCTGACGTGAGGATGAACACGGCGATCCCTCCCAGGTAGAGGGACAGCAGCGCATTCACAATCCACTTCGGCACGAACTTGAACAACAGGAAGAGCCCAAACAACACGCAGCTTCCGACTATGGGGAACCGCATAGCATCCTTCTTGGTCATGCTCTCCGTGGGCGGTGCCGGTTTGACAGATCGCCATGAGCCCGCATACACGGCCAGCGCAGCGGTCGCAACGATGTTCACATTTGTCGGTACGTTAATGACTAGAGGTGCTAAGCTAAGGGCAAGGAGCAATAAGTGAGCTATCAAAGCAGGCTTGTCGCTGGCATACAAGGCCGCATGGGAAGAAACAGGCTTTGCGTCCGCCATGGTTACCGGTCAATTGGGTAGTGCGGATAACCGGCTGCTTAACGTGTCAGGGTGGCATGATTCGTCATATGGAATAGGATACGGCACGACTGTTCATATGCTACAGCGCCTGTACGAAACGCGTACGACAAACTTGCGCTTGCCCGCAATCCCTTTCATTTCCTACACACGCTTCCCCCTGTAACCCCACCGAGAATTTAACGCCATCCAATCATGTTTTGTACGTGCGTGACCGTCATTCCGGGTGAGGTTAGACCTTGGTGTAACCTGGGGACGTCCGCAGCTGTCCAATCCTTAGCGCAGCCGTCTTGCGATCTGGTCCCGTGATACCTCGACCAGTTCCGCTTCTTGGAACCCCCTTAGGCAGGCAGCCATCGCAAGTACTCACGTACGGTAATTAAACTGCTTCCTTTCAAACATGTCAAGCCAGGGCTAGGGAAGTGAGGGTGGATGGGATTGGTGATGCAAGCACGGAAAAGGAGGGCACAAAAGCCGCATAAGGGTTAACAGCCAATCACTGCACCATTTTGAACACCTGCCCTAGGCGGTGTCCTAAGCCCTTATGGATAGGAAAGTGCACTGTTACCGTCAGCATGCTTGCACACGCTTTCCTGGCGTGTCATGTCTATTCGCCTCCCCTTCATCCCGCTACCTCCTGCCCCCAAAGCGGCGTTGCCACATCTCAAATGTTGCTGCATTGAAACGACGACCAATGATGGCAGACGCCCGCAACCCAACAATCCCTGCAAAAAACACGCAAGCGGGGATCCCAATGCAGTAGTATCAAAACATAAGCACACCCCCTACAAGCACCTACACAAGGAGAAGCGGTTCCTCCCAAGTCCACAGTTCTCTTGTCAGGTTGTCTGTTGTCAGTTGCAATGGATGGGTTTTACCAACCGAAACCTACGCTAACAGCCGATCATCGCGCTATGTACACCACCCACCTAACTATCATGACTGGCTGGTCCGGCCTCCACCCCAACTGCTGCTCCTACTCTCTAAGGGTGATCCGCGCTATGAAGGACCCCCACCTCACACAGCACCAGGTATCACGCACACACGGAGACACCATAACTGTAACTGGCACCCCAACCCGGGTCTCAGCCTCAGAGCTCCCCAGAGCTCTCAGCTGGTCGGTGCCGTATAACATCCGCAACACAGGGGCTTCACCAACAAGGGCATCAGCACCACCACCGCACCTCTCCACCACCTCCATTGCCTCCTCCACCACTCACAGCCCGCGTCCCTCCGCGCCCCCACACTCCGCCTCCAGCTCACCCGCCACCAACCCACCGGCAATCAACAGCACATCAGGCGGCAGCGCCTGCACGCGCGACAACACCTCCACGGCCCTCACCCAGAACCGAACATCCACAGCAGGCGGCGGCTGCGTGCCGAGGAGGTCTCCCCCGCCGCCGCCTCCCTCTCGGTCGCTGTATCCGCCACGAGCAATGCCGCTGTTGCTGTGGGAATCAGGAATAGCATCATGCCGTGCATGCTGCTGGTGATGCTGTTGTTGCTGCTGTTGCCATTGCTGCAAGGCATCTGCCATGAGGGTGTTCGTAAAGGCATGTGCCTCCGCAGCCGCTCGCCGCCGAAGTGACCCGTGGGTCACTTCCAGCAGCGCGACCCACCTCGAGCCTCCCGATCGCGGGTAGCCCAGCCGAGACAGCGAATCCACCGCTTCAATGCACCTCTCGGAGACAGCTACCACTGCCGTGGCAGCAGCAGCAGCTCCGACAGGGCCGCCCCTCCCGTCCTTGTCGCTCGAGGTGTTGCCCGTGTTGGCACTCACCCACCGCAGCACCACGTCAGCAGCTTGGTCCAACAGCCCGTTCTCCCCAGCTGCCCCAACCACATCCTGTGCTAGGGCCACACGGGAGCCTCCAGAACCACCGCCACCGCCGCTGCTGCTGGGACACGGAGACGACACGGTAACCGCACTCCCTGGCGTCGCCGCGACAACTGTTGCTGCAGCAACGTGCCGATGGTGGTGCTGCTGCTGTTGCTGTTGCCGCATTGACCCACGGGTCAGTTCCCGCAGCACCGCAGCAACCTCCTCAAATCCACACGTCGGCCGCCGCAGCCGCTGCCAGATGTTACGTCGCAGAATGGGCGCGAGGGCCTTATCGCCAATGCAGCCCGCGGCCGCCAGACGAACCGTCGCGGACAGCGACGCGGCCAACTGGATTGCGGAGAAGTCCTGCGGATGCGTCTTCAACCGGGCAGCGGCGGCGCGCACCAGTTCCCCCGCGTTGTTCCCCCGGGCTGTGTCGGCGGTGCGGGCAGTGGCAGCGGCGGTGGCGAGGGCGCCAAGGGAGCGAACCAGCAGGCTGGGTCGCAGATCCTGTAGGTTGTGTACGGCAAACAGCGAAGTGAACAGTACGACAGACTGTCAGAACGGAGCAAGGTAATAAGACATGAACAGGAGAGGTGCATTGCCCTTCACAAAAACACAGCGCCCTGCCCCCATCGGGCGCCCCCCACATGCCCGTTCCCAATCCGCCCGTCCACCCCACCTTGCAGTCGAACAGAAGCATGTCTGCAGCCGCCTCCACAAACCCCGCGTCCGCCGCCCCTGCAGCCGCCATGCTCTCCAACGCTGACACGCGGGAGTCCATGTCGGCTCGCAGCAGCAGCCGCAACACCTCACCAGCCACCGCCGCCAGCGCAGCACCACCGGCAGCCGCAGTAGCACTGCCCGCATCTTCACTGGCACCGCTGCCATTGGTGCCGGCATCAGCTTCAACGGCAATGTCAGCGGTGGCCTCGGTCCCCTCGTTCTGCGACTCGCCCTGCCTGCTTGGGTGGTGGTTGTTGGTAGTGGTGGTGTTTTCCGTCGCCGCCACCAGCCGTCTGGCTTCCTCCAGCAGCTTCGCCAGATTGACGCCGTCAAGCACGGGAGCGAATGCCTCCGCCAGGGCGTCCATCAGGGGGTGTTGTCGGCGACCCAGCGCAGTCATGACCGCCGACGCGCGCTTGTACAGCTCCACTGCAGCAGCTGAGGAGGAGGGTGCGGAACGCCGAGTACTGGAGGAGGTGGAGGAAGGCGGTAAGGAGGAAGACGGCCGCACCGGGCAGCTGGCGTGGTCGGTATCTGGCCTGGGGTTGGTGTCATCCGATGACGATGATGCGGAACCGGAAGCCTGCTGCTGCTCCTGGTGCTGCGGCTGTTGCTGCTCCGGCTGTTGTTGCTGCTCTCGACTTATCCGCTGTTGAAGCTGCTGAACCAGCTGCTGCAGCGATCGGGGGCGTTGTGGAGACCGCTTATCGGTGCTGCTGCTGTTGCTGTTGCTGTTGCTGCTGCTGTTGCTGCCGGCCACATGAAGTATAGGAAGAAGACCAAGAGGACCACGAGAGGGAGGAGTGACAGGGGTGGCAGCAGAAGCAGGGGTGACAGCACCAGCAGCAGCGGCGGGGTGCCGACCCATGGGTCCGTCCCGTAGTAGCCAGGCCCCCACGCCGGCAAACAAGCTGTCCGTGAGCTGCGGGTTGCCGCTGTAGCCCGCTGCGGCCATGCGCTCGAGCAACCACAGCCGGTCAGTGACACTGAACTCCCCGGCCTCTGCTGCAGCTAGGATGCAGGGCGCCAGCATATCCCACATTTCCACATGCTTGGGTTGGGACTGCTGCTGCTGCTGCTGGGTGTCCTGCCGGGGCGGGGAGCTGGGTTCGAACCGGGGTTGCAAAATGGAGGATGCGGATGCGCCAGACGGGGGCTGAAATGCCGCCCCTGACAGTGGCGACGATTGCTTGTGGATGTGGCCGCTGCCGCCTTGTGAGGCCTGTCCTAGCAGGGAAAGAACGTCCGCCGCTTCAAGCAGCAGCTCCCGGCGAGGACTGCTGGTGCCAACGTCGACGCTCAGGACTCCCGAATCGATTTCGTCTGACAACTCGGCTTCTAGTTTGTCCAACAGCTGTTTCACACGATCCTGTAGCTCCTCCTCCCCTTGCTGCCGTACCATTGAACGCCGCATTCCCACCTGCCTCCCCATCCTCTTTGCTGCTGCCCCTGCTCCTGCTCCTGTAGAAGCCTTAGCTGCTGTGCTCGGTGTCTCGAGCCCTAAAAGTGCCGACAATGGAAGCGCCGGTAGCACGGCAGTCGCCATCGCAGCCTCCGCGTCTCCCACCACATCTGCAAACAGTCTGGGCGGCGGCGGTGGTGGCGTCAAAAGCTCCAACACCTGCGCATCCGGAGCCGCCACCAGCGCCGCTAGCCTATCCCGTACGGCAGTTAGTAGCTCATGTCGTACAAGGGGTGAGTGTACGGCAGCCCCGTCAGCAGCAGCAGCGGGCTGACCAAGCAGCCAAGCAGCCCTTGTCGCCGCCGTTGCGGCTTCTGCTGCTGCTGCTGCTGGTGACGACGTCATCAGACCTCCAAAGCCAACACCAGCACCGAACCTTGAGGTTGCCAGGTAGCCGCTGCTGCTGCTGCTGCTGCCGCCCTTCCTGCCGAGCTGCAGCGGCGCCCCAAGCAGCCGCCGGAGCCCCTCCTCATCCTCGTCTTCATGCCCCTTCTGCTGCCCCTGCCCCTGCCCCGCATGCTCAGGATGAGCTCCTGCGCCCCCGTCTGCAGCCCTTCCTGCTCCCCCTCCTTCCTGCGCCCTCATGGCACCCGAGGGAACGCCCAGGGCAGCGGCAGCAGCGGCCGCGGCAGCGCCGGACCCACCACCTCCATCCTGCTGCTGCCCCCGCCCCGCAGGGCACATCCCGCGACCATCATCGTCACCCCCACCATGCAGCTGCCGCCGGGCCACGACTCTCCCGGAGGAAGGCGAGTGGTGAAGGACGAACGGGTTCTGGGTTGCGCTAGCGGCTAGCCCTGCATGAACCTGCATGTCGTGCGTCAAGCCGTGCTCCTCCCTCCATAACGCCAGCTGCTCCTCTACCTCCTCCAACAGTAACCGGAGCTGTAGCATGACGCGTTGCTGCTGTTGCTGCTGTTGCTGCAACCTATCGGCCTCTTGCTGCCGCTGCTGCTCCCGCTGCCGCTGCTGAGGCGTAGATGCAGCTGCGCCGCCGCCGCCGCCCTCCACCTCCCTCCACTGCTGCATGTACGACGCAACGGCAGCGCTCTCCATCCAGCCCTCCACTGGCGGCCGAGCGAGTATCGCTCGTGCAACCTTCAACAGCCATGACAGTCGTGAACCCTGAGCCTCCGACACAGCCTCTCGCCCTTCCCCTCCTCCTCCAGCTCCTCCTCGCTCCTGAATGCTGCTGTGTGGCCTGTCAAGAGCCAACCCAAGCAGCTCTTGCAGCAGGTCCGACCCCTTGCCCGCCATAGGCCTGCTACTGCTGCCACCGCTACCACCGTCCCTGCTGGTGCTACAGCCGAGGAGGTTGGGGCTACCGATGGGGCTACCGATGGGGCTAGCACTGCCGTACAATTGCTGTTGCGCAGCTACTTGCAGCAGCTGCAAGTGTGCGCAGGGGCTCGGCAGCAACAACGGAAGTCTGCGGGAGGAGGACGAGGATGCGGGCGAGGAGGAGGAAGAGGGCGCGGAGGCCGAAGCCGCCGCCGCCGTCTGAACGGGTATCGCCGCCGCTGCCGCTGCTGCTGCTGCCGCCGCTGCGTCTCGCCCGGTCGGCGACAGCTTTAACGCCGCAGCAGCTGATGCCGCCAACCCGATCCCCTCTGCAGCGCCACGGTTGCCGCTTATCGCACTCCCGCCGCCGCCGCCACCGCCGCCGCTAGCAGTCAGTACGGCGGCTGCCGTACCTGACGCCGCCGCCGATGACGCCGACGACGATGACAAGGGCCGTACCGGCGGCGCCGCCAGCGCCTGTTCCGCCAGGGCCACTGTGACGCGACCCGCCAGATCTCGTACAGTTCGAGCCAGGGGGAGCGCCTCCACCTCCCCATCCGTCACCAGGACCGAGGCCAGTGCATGGGCGACCCCCAGGGAGAGCAGCGGCGGGTCGGAGGTCGTGACGACTCGTCGGTCGGCAGGCAGCGAGCGACTGGCGGCGCCGACCGCTGCATGCGATGCGGGCGGTCCTAGGGCGGCGGTTGCAGAGGGTGGTTGGTGTTCTTGACGTAGTGACGTCAGCTGGTGCGATGGTGACGTCAGCATGCGGCGACTGATGGCGTCGAGCAGGCCCGCGAGGGCGATGCTGGCGGGCGGGCAGTCCTCGTCTGAGGAGCGGTGCCGTGATGAGAAGCGGTGATGACCTATGGGTCGTTCATGCTGCTGCTGCGGCTGCTGCTGCTGCTGCATTACTGATCGTTCGAAACCTTCCGGGAAGCCTTGCAGGCCGCCTGCACCCGGCATGCGGCCTTGTGGGAAGGACTCAGGAGAAGGGGCGGAGGTCGAGAAGGAGGACTGGTTGGGTTCGTGGAGAGACGGATGGGATGCGGTTGCGGATGAAGTGCTGCCGTCGGGGGCATTCAGCGACCCAGCATCCGACTCTGTCGAGGCATGCCGGCGGCTGTAGTGCACCTGCATGTCATGTCATGTCAAATAGGGGAGCATTACAGGAAGGAAATACAGCCCCCGTTGCCCATCACTAACTACACCACTACCGCAAGCCCTTCCACCCGCATGGCTACATACACACTGAGACCGTGCGCCAGTTGCACCCTCCCAACCGCGGCCGGGTTTCTCCAACCACCCTCACCCGCAGTCGGTTGACAATGGCTGCCAGCGTGTGCGGGGGCAGCAGGTGCAGCAGCTCGCTGCGGACTGCCAGGGTCATTAGGTCGGCGGAGGGCAGCAGCAACACCTGCAGCAGCGGGGGGGGCAGGTAACGGGGGTCGTGAGGTAGCGGGGATCATGAGGTAGCGGGGGTCATGATGTAGCGGGGGTCGTGAGATAACGGGGGTCGTGAGATAACGGGGGTCGTGAGGTAACGGGGGTCGTGACTCGTAAGGTTATAGGGCGCGGGGCCGGCCAGGCATGCAAGCAGGGGCCTTTGCGCATGCGTTGGGAGGCTATCGGGGGTCGTCCTGGTAAGGGGCGGGAACGCAGACAAGCGCCCAACGGTTGGCAAGCAAGCCGCTCGGAGGAGGTACCGCTACCTAACCGCTACCCAACGCCGCTACCCAACAGCGGTTGCATCCTGACAACACGCGGCGCCACCCACCTGCTCCCGCAGTCCCTCCAGCAGCTCCAACCGCACGGTGGGCACGCAGCGGTCCGCCGCCCGCAGCAGCGCCTCCGCCAGGCGCCAGGGAGGGAAGGAGGCGTCGCGCAGCAGCGGTGCACCGCGCAGGTGGGGCTCACAGGCCTCCAGCAGCCTGCGGTTGGGACAGGAGGGGAGGGGGCGGGTAGCAAACAGGGGGGGAAAAGCTGCGGGGCGGGGCGGAGGGATGAGGCATGCGTGTGCGCACGAGACACCAACCCAACCCCCAAACCCTGCCACAACATGCCCGCTGCGCCCTGCAGCGCCCAACGCAGCCGCCCTCCTCCTCTTCACCCCGTGTGAAGGGACCCCTTCCTCCTCCGCTTCCCCCTCCTCCTCCGCTTCCCCCTCCCCCGCACCTCACTCCCCTCACCTGGCGACCAGCCACGACAGCCCCGGTGCCGCTCCCAGCTGCGGCAGGTGCGCCACCAGCAGCCGCAGCTGAGCCATGGAGGGAGGCGGAGCCGGCGCCTCCCAGCCGCCTCGTTTGGCAGCCACCATTGCCGCGTTGGGACCAGCACCAGCACCAGCACCGGCACCGGCAGCTGAACCGCCGACCGGAAGAGCTTCCAACACGCCCAGAAACAGGGTCTGAAGGGCGACGGAGGCGTCTTCTTGAGAGGCGGCGGAGGCGGCGGCGGAGGCGGCGGCTCCGGAGGCAGAGGCGGCAGCGGAGGCACGGATGTTGTTGTTGAAGGCGGCGAGCTGCGCGCGCAGGGGGGCCACAGCGACCAGTGCTGCATTGCGATGTGCGGGTCGGAGGCGGTCACAGATGAGCTGGACGTCGTGCAGGAGGCCTTCCAGGAGTGGCAGCTGGGGGTGGGGGGGTGCCGGTGGGGGTGCTGGGGGTGGGAGCGGTGGCGGGGAGGAGGAAGGAGAGCCATGCGGGTGTGGGGGGGCTGTTGCCGCTGCCGTTGCCGCCACCGTCGGTGCTGTTGACAGCGACGGCTGCAGGGATGAGGGTGGCGAAAGAGGCGGCGGCGAAGGAGGCGGCGATGACGGTGGCGGCAGCTGTCCCACCTCCCGCTGCGCTACCGCCGCCATTGTTTGTACGACAGACCTCACCAGCCCCCCCTCGAGTTCCGCAAGAGGTGACATGCGCGCGAAACATTGCAGCAGCCGATACATCAGCTGCAGTGGCAGACTGGCTGCGGGTGCTGCTGCTGCTGTTGCTGCTGCTGGCGCTGCTTCTGCGGCTGCTTCAAACGAGGAGGAGGAGGTAGGCATGCTGCGGTTCCCTTCCGCAGGGCCTTTTGCGGCGCCCCTGATGGCATGTTGCTGCTGCTGCCCCACCGCCGCCAAGCCTCCTCCTCCTGCTGCCCCTCCTCCATCACACCCGTACAGCACCAGCGCCCGCCGGGCTGCCCGGTTCACCAGCGGCGGCGGCAGCAGCTGCGCCCGCAGCAACCCCGCCAGCAGCTGGTCGAGCTGCTGCGGCCCCAGCCCGGGGAGCAGCTCCTGAAGGGCGAGCTGCAGGGCGGCCTGTGCAGGGGGCGTGAGGGGGCGAGGGAAGGGGGTAAGAAACAAGGAGGCAGGTGAAAGGAGGAAGAAGGCGGGCACATGCGCGCACACCCTGACCAGCAACCGGCATGCACACACCGTACACCCGTACTGCACACCCGTACCATACAGTACCGTACACCCGTTCAATCGTACCGTACCGTACCGTACCGTACCGTACACCCGTACCGTACCGTGCGCACCAACTCGCGGTGCGCACCGTACAGACGCACGTACCTGTGTGGGCAGTGCGATTGCGGCGCTGTGTTGCGCGTAGAGGCGCAGCAGCGCCAGCAGCTCTGGATGGCCGGAGGACTCAGCCTGCGGGAGGAGGAGGAGGAGGAGGGGGGGGGGGGAATTATAGAAGTGAAACAACGAGTCCCAATCCCATATCCCGACTCATGCAGTGAGCGCAGCGGTTGGGGGGGAGCAGCAGGGTTCGGCGCGATAGGGCTCGAGGATACGGGCGCTTCAAGCAAAGGTTAGGGAAAGGCTTTGGAATGCGGAAAGGAGAGCCTTATGAAAGCCCTTAGGCGAGCAGCACCGCCCGCTCCCCTCTCCGCGACACCACATCATACCGGTACTCGGTGGTTGGCCGCCTCTTCACCCCCACCCTCACACCCCCACCCTCACACCCCCACCCTCACACCCCCACCCTCACACCCGCATCCCACCTCACCCCCACCCTCACACCATCATCCCACCTCACCCTCAGCCCTGACACCCGCATCCCACCTCACCCCCACCCTCACACCATCATCCCACCTCACCCTCAGCCCCGACACCCGCATCCCACCTCACCCTCAGCCCCGACACCCGCATCCCACCTCACCCTCAGCCCTGACACCCGCATCCCACCTCACCCTCAGCCCCGACACCCGCATCCCACCTCACCCTCAGCCCTGACACCCGCATCCCACCTCACCCTCAGCCCTGACACCCGCATCCCACCTCACTCTCAGCCCCGACACCCGCATCCCACCTCACCCTCAGCCCTGACACCCGCATCCCACCTCACCCCCACCCTCACACCCGCATCCCACCTCACCTTCAGCCCTGACACCCGCATCCCACCTCACCCTCAGCCCTGACACCCGCATCCCACCTCACCCTCAGCCCCGACACCCGCATCCCACCTCACCCTCAGCCCTGACACCCGCATCCCACCTCACCCCCACCCTCACACCCGCATCCCACCTCACCCTCAGCCCTGACACCCGCATCCCACCTCACCCTCAGCCCTGACACCAGCCGGATGTTGATCTCGCGCTGCACCGCACTCAGCGACCGACGCGGCGGCAGCAACCGCTGCTGCGGCTGCTGCCCCCCGGCCGCCTGCCGGCCCCCCAGCAACATGCCCACCGCCGCCGCAGCTGCTGATGGTGACAGCGCGGGAGTGCTCCATAGCGCGTCATCACCGCCAGCACCACCAGCACCTCCGCCACCAACAGCAGCGCCAGTAGCACCATCCCTGCCATTCCCCAGCTGCTGCTGCTGCTGATGCATGGTTATCTCCTCACCGCGCCTGCCCCCATTGCTGCCCCTGTTGCTGCTACTGCTGCTCTGGTTGCAGCTGCTGCTGCCGCTGCCGCCTGCGCCGGCACCGCTGCTGCCTCGGACCCGCTCGTGAGGGCTGACAGGAGAGGGCGGGGAGGAGGGAGCGGCACACAGCTGTGCACCTCCCGCATCCGCACTCGCCTGCTCCTCCGCCTCGTCTGGATCGGACCGCAGGCCCACACTCCTGCTCGCAGCTCGCACCGCGGAGTCCAGCGCGACAAGGCCCTCTTCCGGAGTAGCCGCAGCAGCGCCGGTAACAGCAGCAGTGGCAACACGTTGACCATGCCTTACAGGCCGCTCCTGCATTCCACCTCCTCCGACCGGTGCATCCGTGGAAGAAGAGCTGGCGAGGAGTGACGTTGGAGGCCCGACGCCACCTCTGTCCGGGGCGTTCGCTGCCACTGCTACTGCGCCGTCTGCTGCTGCTGCTGCTGCCGGCGGCGGCGGCGCTGCGAGTGTGGCCGTTGCATAGCCTCCTTGCAGCTGCTGCTGCGGCGCCACTCCGGCAGCCCCCACCTCAGCCGCGGCATCCTCCTCATCCGCATGCAGCAACTCGGGGTGCCGTTCCAGAGCGGTTAGGAAGTCGTTGTACGGCAGCGGCAAAAGCAGGTGTCGTACCGATGTTACGGGCAGCGCCGCTAGCTGCTGGGAGAGGTCCTCCAGCAATGCCAGGTGTTTTGGGGATCCGCGCAGCACTCGAACCTGAACCTTCTGGTCTTCGGAAAGTGCCGGAGACTGCTCCAGATGCCGCCGCTTGGGACGCGCGTGACGAACCTGGTGACGTTCGTGTTGCAGCTGTTGCTGCTGGCGTCGCTGCGGTTCAGATTCCGGCGGTCCAGATTTAGCAGTGCTTAGCACTGGTGCCGCCGTTGCCGCCGTCGCTGACGAGGGCGAGTACGACACTGCCCCCCCACTGCCCCCGCCGCAACCGCTGACGTCGAGCAACGCCAGTCGAAACACTGGATCTCGCAGCCACTCTCGCCGAGCCGCCCTCGCCCCCAATACGAGCCCCACAACACGATCCACGGAAACGGCTCCGGAGGTGACAGCGGCGGAGGTGGAAGCGAGCGGTAGCACGATTAACAGCGCACGTGCCGCCGCCGCAGCCTCCATCGCTAGCGTTGTCATGGGGACGTGCGTGTGGCAGGTGGTGGGCCCCTCGTCGCTGGTGGTGTTGGTGCTGGTATTGGTGTTGGTGCTGGTGGTGGTATTGGTATTGGAGCCAGGCGATGACGGGGGTTGTGACGTAGGTGTTGAGGCTTGGAGCTCGTTCTCAAGGGCCTCTAGGGCGGCAAAGTACGGGCCAAAGTAGGAACGTGCGTTAGGGACGGTTGCGGTTGTTGTTTCGGCGGCGGTTGTGGCGGTTGCTGATGCAGGTAGGCCGGCGGTAGGTCCAGCGGTGGCGGCGACATCGGGAGTTGTTGTTGTTGTTGTTGTTGTTGTTGATGGTGCGCGGGTGCCTCCGTACATTTTGGTTGCTTCGTCGCAGATACACTTCATGAGCTGGGCACGCAGGTCGGTTGCCGCCCGCCTCAGCTTGTAGCCCACGCCTTGCAGCGGCTTGGCTCTCAGGTCCTGCAGCAAGAGACAACAATCGAAAGAGAGGGGTGGCGAACTTCGGCAGGGCAGTAAAACACAACTGCGTGCGGTTACGGTCATGCGCAGCGCCTTATAAGCACGCAAGGTGCCCCAGTCAGCGTGCTTGTGTCCGTGCCCTCATCACCTTCGTAACATCATAGGCCATTCCCAATAGTCGCCTTCCCAATGTCATACCACTCAAACGCCACAGACGGCTGCCACGTCAAAAGCCACACCGCCCCACTCACTTACCTCAAGCGACCGAACCAGCAACGTCAGCGGCACCGTCTCCCCCGCCTCCAGCCGCTGATGCAGCACCCGCCGCAGGTACAATACCAAACCACCCGCGTGCACCTCCGCCACCGCTGCTGCTGCCGTACCAGCAGCTGACATCGACGACTCCTTCGCTGCTGCCGGAGATTGTTGACGGGTTGGCAACGGGTCCGCCGCCGGCGCCAACGTCGTCGGCTGCTGCTGCTGCCGTACATGCGCGACGGCGACGTGCAGCAGCGCAGCCACGTCAGCGGCGCCGATGAGCCCCTCCTCCAGCAGCCCTTTGACCTGGTCAACCGACGGCAACGGCGAGGGCTGTCGTACGATGTCTGCGGAGGCGGATGCCTCTCCTGCCGGCGCCGCTGCTGCAACGTTTGACGCCGCTGCATGCGGTTCCGCGGCGGCCGCCTCCGTCACCCCAAGCACCGCCAGCACCAACCCCTGATGCCGCATGCCCGCCGCCGCCAGCGTCCTCAGCGCCTCGATAGCGACCGGACAGGAATCAAGGCTGCTGCAGCTTATGCTGGCGGCGTTGCTGGCGGCGGCGGCGGCGGTGACGCCAGGCTCGGCCACATCGTGTGGTACATGTGCACGCGCCGCCGCCGTCACTGCCGTGACTGCCGCCGCTGCCTTCTGCCTCTGTCGTACTCGCTCCGCTAGCTCATCAGCTAGCGCCCATGCAACAGGCGACGGAGCGATACTCGACTTGCGCGCCCACACATCCTTCTCTCCTCCTCCTCCTCCTTCGCCACCACTGCAGCGGCTGCTAAGCCAAGCTGCCAGAGAAAGCCCCCGCAGCAACCCAAGATCCGACAACTCACTCGTACGACGCATAAGGCCCACTCCCGCAGCCCTGAGCTGGGGTTCCGGAGCCTCATCGGTGGGGAGGCACCCCAACGTGCGGACCGCTGAGAGGGTGGTAAGGGCGTCCGCCGGTCGCATGGCGGGGAGCAGACGGAGGGCGGCGGACTGGAGGGGGGTCAGCGGCGGTGGCGGCGTGGGAGCACCCGTGACGCTGTCAGCAGTGTGTCGGGTGTCGATAGCATCTGCAGCGACCGCATCTGCGGTGAGAGAGTCTGCGGTGGGAGAGTTTGCAGCAACAGCATCTGCAGTGCTAGGGTTTGCAGTGGGATCAGTGGTGGAAGGAGGGATGCCCAGATTGTTGACCCTGCTGCCGTCAAGGGGGGCCCAGCTGGGTGTCATGCTGCGGACATCGCCGTTGGCGGTGTAGGTAGCAGTGACGGGGCCGTTCGCTGTCATGGCAGGGGCAGCCGCCCGGCCGAACTCGCTCTCTTGTGATGCAGCTGGTTGCATGGTTGCAGCTGTTGTGGTTGTCGGGGCTGCTACTTCAGGGTGTGAGGAGGAGGAGGAGGAGGTGGCTGCTTGACGTTGCCGTACAGTTTCTTGCAGCAGCAGTGCCGCTGCAGCTGCAACATCCTGCAGAGGATATGGTACGGAACGTCAGCATGAGCAGCCGTACAGTACGGTAACGCATAGCGAAAACGTCCGCAGAGCTGTACAATGCTGCGAGCAACAACACCAGCGCAAGCTGCGTTACCCACAACGTATTAAGAGCGCCCCGAAGCCATCGATCACTCGATGCTCGGAAAACGCCCCCAAGGTTCACAGTTCACGTGTTGCATAATGATTGTGTCTGGCTTGAATTATTCCCCCCCATGCGTCTAGCCATCATGCCCCAGATTCACGCCCCACCCGGGCCACCCCCAGCACGCTCACCTGCTGTTCCGGCGACCATGAAGCCCCCATCGCTGCTCCGACAACCCCGCCCGCTCTCCCTCCTCCCGCTGCCTGGCTTGCCGCCTCGCCTTCAACCGCAATGGCTGAGTGTGCAATCGAAGAGGACGGAGGCGGCGACAGTTGTGGTAGTGTTTGAGCGGCGGTTGTTCCTGCTGCTGCTGCTGCTACCGTCGCAATGCTGCCTCTGCTGCTTCGCGGCTGCGTCTGATCCACCAGCTGCTGCTGCTGCTGCTGCAAAGGAGTAAGAACACTTGCATGAGGAGAACGTGCGGTCGCGCCGCCCGCCGGCACCTGCGCCGCAGCTGGGGAGGCAGATGTGCTGCTGCTGCTGCTGCATGTGCCGGGCGGTGGTGCGCGCTCCAGGATGTGGTGCTCTAGAGTGGCCTGTGCACACGGCAGCAACACGGAAGCACACGAAGCAAGTAACATGCAAGCGTGTACCCACCACAAGTGCCGCATGGCCCCGTCCGCAACCCTCCCTCATGCCGCAAGGTTACCCCCGCTCTCATGCGGCCCCCGCACATTGCCCCTCCGCACTACCTCCACTCAACCCTCACCGCACTCCTCCTCACCGATCTCCTAATCCAAAACACTACCGGTAAACACACCCTGGGCCCAGGATCCAGGCTCTCCCCCAACCCAGCTCCCCTCTGTCCCCCACCTGCAGCGGGCCGCACAGCTCCGACTCCAAGTGTGCCGCCACTCGGCCGCACCGGGGCAGCCGGGACAGCTGCACAGCCGCCTGACGGCATGCGGACAGCAGCCGAGCGGCCTGAGGGGGGCGAGGAAGGTGTAGGCGGGAGGCGAGGAAGGTGTAGGAGGGGTTGTAAGGTGCAACACGGCAACGGCAACACCAGTCTTTAGCGGTACGGAAACCATGCCAGCCAGTACGTTCTCCGCGCCCCGCCCTATCAATGCAATTTCGCGTGTCCTTACGGTGGTGTCCTTAAGGCAACCTCTGTGCCACACGATTGCACCCTCACTCGCGCCGCTATCACCTGCAGCAGCGGACTAACCGGAGGGGGGAGCGCCGGCGGCTGAGCCAGCCAGGCACTGAAACCTTCTGCCCCTCCCTGCAACGCAACAATGCTGCTGGCGTCAGCACCACCACCACCAGCACCGCCTTCGCGGCTGCCACCGCTCTCGCCCTTCCGCGCTTCCTCCGTCGCTGATACTGCCGCTGATGCTGCCGCGCGCTGCACCCGCTGCGACTCCGTCCCTCCTACCGCAACCAAACCTCCTGACGACGGCGCCGCCACCGCCGCCTCCGCTGCTGACGTCGCCGCTGCTGACGTCCCCAGCGGCAGGGATAACCCAGTCGCCGCCAGCTGCCTCCTCGCCAGCTGCACCCCCCGCATCTGCGCCTCACCCAGCTGCACAAATACCATGGGCGCACGCACCGGCACCGGCAGCCCCTTCCCTCCCCCTGATGACGACCCCGGGGCCCCGGGCAGCCCCCGCAGCACCGCCGCCAGCGCCTCCTCCGCCTCCGTTAGCACCCCTAGGCTGAGCAGCGCTGGGTGGTGCTGCGGCGGCAGCGCGGCGGCGGTTGCGGCGAGTTTAAACGCCGCCTGCACCGGCCTGAGCTGCTCCCTGAGGTGGAGCTGCGGATGAGCGGGGGCAGGAGAGCTGGAAGCAGCAGCAGGCGCAGCAGCAGCGGTGTTGCTGCTGCCGGTGCTGCTGTTGTTGATGTCCTCAGAGACCGAAGGCTTGGACGCACCTTCCGTACATTGTAGCTGCGTGGAAGGTGTAGCGTCATGCGCCGAGGGTGCGTCATGCGCCGAGGGTGTTGCTGCGGGCGTTGCTGATTGTGGGAATTTTGATCGCTGCTCGGCAGTGGCAGCAACAGGAGAAGAACCAGGAAGCGGTGGCGTCGCTGCCTCCGTCGTCTCCGCTGGTGTGGCTGCTGCCTCCGTCGTCGATTGTTCCTGCCCCCTCCCCATAACGGAGATGGACGACGCGGGCTGGCTGCTGCCCGGCATGCCGTGCTCCCCAGCAATGCCAGAAGTGTTCCTGTATTCGCCCGACATGTCGTACATGCTGTTGCCGCTGTTGCCGTACCTTGCAGCCACCAAGAGCCGCTCAGCCAGGAACACGGGCGGCCGGGGGGGTGGCCTGCGGGACGGCAGTGTTTGAAGGGCGGGGAGGGGCGGGGTGAGGGTTTGGGCTAGGGCCGAGAGCATAAGACAGAGACGGGCTCTGGATCTGGCAGGCGCAGGGTTGCCTGTCGGCCTCCGGGCTGGAGGATGCGACACCGGGGGGCATGTGCTGCAGCGGCTGTACTGCCAGAAGTACTGCCTGCATGACACGACATGGCATGACACCGCACGACACCGCACAACACCGCACGACACCGCACAACACCGCACAACACCGCACGACACCGCACGACACCGCACGACACCGCACAACACCGCACGACACCGCACGACACCGCACGACACCGCACAACACCGCACGACACCGCACAACACCGCACGACACCGCACGACACCGCACCCGCATGCAACAACCGGTACTTACATAGGTGCAGAGCCCCTCCCTTTCCCCCTCAGGTGAGGCGACGGCGTCAGCAGCTGCTGCAGTCCCATGTCCCCCAGGAGGGGCGCCCCGGTGCCCTCCCCCCTGCGCCCGCCCGCCGCCAGCAGCCCCGCCAGCAGGGGCCCCTCCTGGTAGTCCAGCCGCAGTAGCGCCCGCAACACCAGCCGGGCCAGGGAGGGCAGCTGGGAGGGGCCAGGCGGCGGCGGTGATGAGGCTGGCGGCAGCAGCTGCTGCTGCTGTGATAGCTCCCCCCGCTGCTGCTGCATGGGCCCCTGCAGCCCCTGCCCCTGCATCGTCATCATCGTCGTCAGACCCCTCCAGCCGCCCAGCAGCGCCCCCACCAGCGCCCGCTCCTGATGGCTGCTGGCGCCGGAGAGGGAGGCGGAGGCGGAGGAGGCGGCGGCGGCGGCGGCGGCGGAGGAGGAGGAGGAGGCGGCGGCGGCGGCGGCGGAGGAGGAGGAGGCGGCGGCGGTGGCGGCGGCGGCGGTGGAGACGGAGGTTACGGAGGAGCCCCCCAGCCGGAGCCCCAGCGAGTCCAGCGCCACCAGCAGCCCAGCGGACAGCTCCAGGGGGAAGAGCAGGTGGGGGGTGGCGACATGATGCGTATCCCCCAGCTGGGGTGACTGGCAGGGTTGCTGTAGCTGCGGCTGTGGTTGCAAGCCCCCATGTTGTTGTTGCTGCTGCTGCTGCTGCTGTTGCAAACCCGAAAGCTGCGATGACTGGTTGGGTTGCGGCGGCGGCAGCAGCAGCAACGGCGCCAGCAAGTGGTGCTGGTGGGGGCCGCCCAGGGGACCCGCCAGGCAGCCCGGCTGGGACCGCTCCGCCTGGCTGGCAGCGAGCAGCAGCTGACCCGTCCAGCGCCTAATGTCGGGGGAGGAGGCGGTGAAGGAGGAGGAGGAGGAAGGGAAAGTGGAGGAGGGTGAGGAGGTGGCGGCGGCGTTGTTTTGGCTAGTGCTGCTGCTGCTGCTATGGTGGCAGTTACTGCTGCAGGTGCTGCTGTTGTTGTCGCTCTTCGGGCTAATAATACTATTCCTACTGCTGCCGCTGCTCTTGCGATTGCTGCTGCTGCTTGCGTCTTCAATCCTGCTGCTGCTCCTGTCTACTCGATCGCTGCTGCTGCTGCTGCTCGGCTGCCTTCTGGAGCCGACACCGTACCTGCCGCTGCCCTCCTCAGGCCCTCTGCTGCTGCTACTGTTGCTCCCCACACTGCTGCTGCTCAGGCTGCTGCTGCTCGTTCTGTTACTTGAGCCGTTGCCGCTGCCAGGATTCCTAACAGGACCGCGATGCAGGTCGGGGTCTTCCTCCGGCCGGACTACTGGCCCGCGCACACCCCCGCCTCCTCCTCCTCCTCCTCCTGCTGCCGCCCTCACCGCATCCATCCCCTCCGCCTGCAGGTGCTGCAAGGCGCGCACGCAGGCGGCGAAGGCTCTTAACTTGGGGGATACGAATTGATGGAGGAGGTGGTGCTGCTGCTGCTGAAGATGGTGCTCATCCGGCTGCAGGTTACACCCCGGCTGCTGCTGCTGCTGCTGCTGCTGGTACCGCTGCTGCTGCGGGTTCGCCTCCAGGGCCGCAGAAGCAGTCTGCTCGGTTGCTGCTGGGGTTGCTGCTGGGTTGGGCGTCATCGCTATTGCTGCGGATGCGGGTGCTGCGTTGCTGTCTTGCATGTGGTCGATTGAGGAGGAGGAGGAGGAGGAACACAGTGCCGAGGTAGGTTTCGAGGTGTGGGTAGTGGAGGCAGCGGTAGTGGAGCCAGGGGCGGGGGCAGGGGCGGAAGGCGAAGCGGCAGAGGAGCAGGAGGCCGGAGGGAGCGGCGGAGGTTGGTGTCGCTCCGTTGCATTCTGTAGCACGCCCGCAAAACCCTTCCGACCCACTCGCGGGATGAAGAATGACAGCGCAGGGACTAGGGAAGCGTGCAGGATGTCCCATGGGACGTCCGGCGTCGGGATGCCACCCTCTCGCGCCATCCCATTGTGCCCTATCTGCTGCTGCTGTTGCTGGTTAGGGCTCCCTGCCGTATCCTTGCCTTTCTGCTGCACCTGCTGCTGCTGCTGTTCCTGCCACTGCGTTCGCGCCAGGGGCGATAAGGATGGCGCGGGTGGCGACTGCTGCGGCGGCGGCGCCATTGACGGCGGCGGCGACGACGGCGGCGGCGGCACTGGCAGCAGCAGCGGTGGATCCGCGAACTCCTCGCAGCCCGCCAACCGCCGGGCCACAGCAGCAACCTCAACATGCGGGGACAGACCCGCTGCGCCGTACACCTCCTCCACCAGCCGCCGTACGGCCTCCCCATGCTGCTCGGCAGGTAAGAAGCGAAGTACCGGACCCAGCGGTTGCACCAACGCCTCTACAACCGCGCGAACAGCCACTGCCGCTGCTGCTGTGCCTTCTGGGGTTGACGTTGAGGTCAAAGTAACGACTGAACTGCCACTGCTGTCGCTGCCGCTGTTGCGGTTAGCCTCACCGTCTGCCGTGGAGCTCGTAGCTGTCCCGCCCACCACGCCGGAAACGTGGCTGCGCATGTCCGAGTGACCCATGGGTCGCACCGCAGCCCTCAGGACATCCATCAGCGGCGGCACTGCCTTGCCTGCGCCCGGCAGCCCCAGCACCACTCGCTGCACCGCCGACACGCAGTCCAAGCCTAGGGGGGTCAGCTTGGCCCTCGCCGCAGCCAGCACGGCCGCCTCCTGCTGCTGCCGCCGCTCAACAGACTCCTGCTCCTGCAGCTGCCGCCCCGGCGCCCGAGTGCCTCCGCCGCCGTCATTCGACCTTCTGCGAACCGCCTCTCCACCTTGTTCGCCCTCAACCCAGCGCTTGTCTGCACCGCTGCTGCGGTAATGACGACCACGAAGACGGCCCGCATCCTCAATCGCCACATCTTCCGCCGCCATTCCCGCACCCTTCCTACGAGCGGGGCTACCCCTACTGCTGCTGCTGTCATCGCGGCGGCTGTCGCTCCTGTCATGCCACCCCCAGCTGCGGCCATGTGACGACCCCCCAGGCTCCACGCGCCGCCAGCCGACCCGTGGATCTTCAGCCTCAGCCACAGCAGCACCATCCAAGACCCTTGAGCCGTTCTGAGTTGGATGCGGTGGTTGGGAGGGAGGGCGATCGGACAGGGTCTTCCGGCTCCTTCGCTGCCCCGCTTCGCTGCCCGGTGTCACGCTGGGGGCTCCCCCCACCGCCGCCACCGCCGCTGCCACCGCCGCTGCACCCTCCGGACGGGGCGACGCTGATACTGCTGCTGGTTCTGCTGCTGCTGCCCCTGTTTCTCTTTCTGGTGCTGCTCCTGGTGCCGTACGGCCAGATGCGGATGCGGATGACGCAGCAGTGGCGGAACCAACGCACCCTCCGCCCGCAGCAGCAGTTCCCGAGTGGCAGCCCCTAGCATGCAGGCCCGCGCGGCCCGCAGCCCAGCTGCTCGCCAGCAGCGGCACAGCAGCAGCAGCTGAGTGACAGCCCCTTGTTGTTGCTGCTGCTGCTGCACCGCCAACCCGCAGGTGCGGGATCAATGCAAGCTGATGTTGACGGTCAGGGTCCGGGAGCTGCTGGTGGTGGTGGTGGTGGTGGCTGTGCTGCTGCTGGTGCTGCTGCTGGTGCTGCTGCTGGTGCTGCTGCTGCGGAGGCGGGGGTCGCAGCGGGAGGTGGTGGTGTCCGGCGCTGCGGAGGCCGCCCAGCCAGCGGCGGAGACCGACCGCCCTGCAAGGGGTTGCCGTACCGACCATGGGAAAGGGAGGAGAGAGGTTACCGGTAGCAAGGTGAGGGGAGACAGGCCGCATGTCTGGTGATGGCTAGGGCGGCAGTGGAATCTCCAGGGGTAGGAGAGATACTACAAGGGAGGAGGACAGCCTGTGCCGAATCGATACCCCTGCTGAGGACTGCTGGCACACTGCCGTACACGCCCACCCCGCCCACCTGCCAGCCAGGGGCTCCAGCGCGCCTGACAGGGGCGCCAGGGCGGTGCGCCAGGCCCATTCCCATGGCAACACGAGGTAGCCTGTGGAAATCGGTGCGGACAGGGTCGACTGAGACGGATGGATGCAGTGATCGAGCCGAAATGCGGAATCCAGTAAAGAGGGAGTCATGTCGGTCTAATAATAATTGCTAATGATAGGAATGGGATGTTATCTTGCCCAGTGGCTCAGCAGCCCGCCGCATTGCATGACCTTACCAAGCGCCTCCTCGACCAAGCGACGCATACCACACTAGTTGTTTTCAAAGAGCAAACCTATTAGCATGTTGTGATCTGTTTTGCAGGTCCAAGTGAGAAAAAATCCTTGCAAACTTGTTTACAACGTAAACAAATATAGGCGTTTAGGCCTTACGTGTATTGCTTACACTATAGAAGTTACACATTTTGCAACCAGTGCTAGCTGAACGCTATAGCCAAGCATGCTTCTGATCGACAGCGTCTCCGAAACCTGATGTGTCTCAAAAATATAAGCTCCATGGCTTCGTGTGACACATCAAATCATCGCCAAGCGTTGCTGCTTCGTGTGGTAGTCGAACTAATATCAAGGCTGTTGTTTTGTCAAGGCCTGGCCATTGTGGTCGTTGACTACCGGTAGTACCTGGACACTCAGTGTAATCCTCGCTTCCTAAACACTCCTGCGCTGGTCAATGGACCTGGTCCTCAAACTCGCTTTACGGCAACTCATGCTTGACGGGGGCTTCTGGATTCAGTGTGCGCGTTGACACCACGCCCGGCAAACGTCGTGATCAGGGTGTTCAACCGTGATCAGAGCCATTAGCTTTATGCGAAGCACAGGTATAGGAGCGCAACAGCCTACCACGACAATACTAACACAGTTGATAATAGCTTTACACGGGTTGTAGCATGTTAATCACACACACAAACCGGTTTTCCGGTGTTGCTCATGATTGCAGTGTCATAAGTGATCTGCATGCATGTAACCACCATGTGGTGCTCCCTACAGGTACTTGCACGGCCAAAAGAAAACACATCATTTGACACCTGCCTAGTGAAAGCCAGGGCGCCCCTATGCGGGTCATGGCTCTTGCCGGGCCACCGGTGTTGGTCATGGGCAGGGGAGTCTCACATACTGACGAAGATGCTCATGCGCAGCTCACGACGCTGCTGTCGTGATAGGATCCTACGCACATGTACACCAGCAGTGCCCACGTAAAGTGCAGCCACAATATCCGATGGAGTCTCTGCAGCACCACCTGCGCACCCTTATCACACCACATGCCAATCTCCCGGGGGCGTCGTGGCTTCCCACACTTGACGATGCGCGGAACCCTGGCAGTTTACAGCTTGGCGCATGTTACAAGCTCAAGGAAGGCGTCTATCGGCGCTTGCCACCTTCCTAGCCGGTACCCTGATTCCCTCCTCCCTACCTCAGCAGCAACGTGCGCTTCAAGGAGTCACAACGCGCCCCAAAGACCCATGGGTCATCACTCCGGTAGGAAACCAGGCAGGCGATACACCACCTGGTTCGCCCCTTCGAACTGCAACTTCGCTACACCCGCACGACCCACAGCCCCGGAGAGCCGCTGCTGGGACGACAACAGCCGTCGGTCCTGCTGCCGCTGACCCGTTTGCGTGTCCGAACCAGACCTATCACTGCCGGCATTTACCAGCAGGCTCCGCCCTTGCTTCGTACAACTGGAATCGCCCTGCTGCACCTGTTCTGAGGCCTGCTGGGATGGCGGCATCGGTAGCGGTTGTCCTTCCCTTCCCCTGGCCTCCTCACCGTCCTCCTCCGCAGCATCCCTCTCCGCCCCTTCCCACACCGCTGCCTGGGCTTCCAACCATCGCACTGTGCCCTCAACGCCCTCCCTTGATGTCCTCGATGTCCCTTCTCCTGCTGCAGATGCTGCTGCTGCTGCCGCTGCCTCTGCTGCTGCCTCTGCTGCTGCCTCAGTAGTTGTTCTTACCGTCCCAGTCCCGGTCCGACCCGCCGCTGCTGCCGCTGCACCTGTTGCTGCTGTTGAACAGTCTCCCGCTGCCGCCGCTGCCGACTCACGCGCTGCCAGCCAGAGCTGCTGCAGCTGCCGCCATCTGGGCTGCTGCGGCCTCACGGGCTGCGCCCTGCTCCCATCCTCCTCAACCGGACACCCGTAGCTGCCAGCGCTGCCGCCGCTACTGCCACTTGGAGGTCCGGCAACACCAGCACCACCAGCATCGCTTCCACTGCCCTGCAACCCCGCCGCCCCCTTGTCCTCGATGTCGTACATCTTCGCCCCGTTGCCTCCGCTGTCGTACACATTCGTCCCCTTGTCCTCACTGCCGTACATCGCGGCCCTCTGCACCAGGTACTGCAGCAGCTGGGGGTAGCTCTCTACGGGTACCCACCCGCCGCCGCCGCCGCCGCTGCCGCTGCCATTGGTGTTGCCATTGCTGCTGCCGCTGCTGTTGCTGTTGCTGTTGCCGCTGCTGCTTTCCGACTTGGCTGCAGCAGCCACCTCAGAGCCGGTCGCAGCCGCATCCGGGAGGTCCGTTGGGGGATCCGTCGGCAGAGGAGCTGACGTCAGCGGTGGTTGTAGCCTCAGGCGGCGGTGCGGGAAGAGTCGCGGGAAGACGCAGCAGGGCACGATGGCGAAGGGCTTGCCGAGGGCTAGCGCGAAGTCTAGGATGGACTCGGTGGCTTGGTCGGGATGCAGACCCACCACCTGGGGGGGGCATGGGGGGGGCATGGGAGGGGCATGAGAGGGGTCAGGGAGGACTAGAGGCAGCGGACCTGCGTCAACGACAAGTGGACTGTGGTGTCTGCTGCACTGATGTGATGCCTGCGGGCTGCAAACCATCATGAAGGCAAACAGGCAGTCAGGCAGGTGTGCATGCTGAACTATCACAGCGTCTACGGGTGACCCACGGGTCGCACCCACCAGCGAACATCCCCTCAGCAGCTCCTCCGCGCCCTCCTCCCCATCGTCGTCGCCGCCGCAGTCATCGGCTTCGTCCCCACCGCCCTCCTCGGCCCCCGCGTTGTCATCGCTGATGCTGCCCCCGCTGCCGCCTGCAGCACCGCCTCCACCCCCTCCGATGCTCCTGCCACAAGCCTCCCCCGCCCCACTACCCACCACTTCTCTCCCTGCTCCTCCCTGCCTCCGCTGCTCCCCCCGCAATAGTCCCCGCCATAAGCCCGGCTCGAAGCGCCTTCGCAGCTGCGGCAGCTCTAGAACCCCGTCCCCACTTTCCCTGCCCTCTCCTTTCCCCCCTCCTCCTCCTCCTCCATCTAAGGCTCCTCCTCCAGCTCCTCCTGCCAGCCCCCCACCACCGCTGCGGCTGCCAACGCCCGCCGCCGCCAGCTCCCGGTGCTGCCTGCGCCCCAGCCGCGCCGCCCGCGGCTCCAGCAGCGTGCTGGCCACCCCGTGGTGCAGCAGCAGCTGGAAGGTGAGGGCGCCGCGACCGCCTGGGGGGCGGGTAGTGGCGCGGAAGGGCGGGTAGTGGCGCGGAAGGGCGGGTAGTGGCGCGGAAGGGCGGGTAGTGGCGCGGAAGGGCGGGTAGTGGCGCGGAAGGGCGGGTAGTGGCGCGGAAGGGCGGGTAGTGGCGCGGAAGGGCGGGTAGTGGCGGGGAAGGGCGGGTAGTGGCGCGGAAGGGCGGGTAGGGGCGCGGAAGGGCGGGTAGTGGCGGGGAAGGGCGGGTAGTGGCGCGGAAGGGCGGGTAGGGGCGGGGACAAGAGCATAGGCATAACGGTGATGTGCAAAACGTGTTTGCACCCACAAGTCTCCTCTTCCGCCACCACCCGCCTCCTTCTCCTCCGCCCCCTATCACCCACCTCCGCCCCCTATCACCCGCCCCCCTCACCCGCCACATCCAGCACGCCGGTCCCCGAGTTCAGGAAGTCCCTGCCGTACGTGTCCACCAGCCACTGCGTCAGTACAGCAGCCCTCCGGGTCTTGGCGGCGTCACCGGCCGCGTGCATGAAGCCCTGCTCCGCTGCCGCAGCTAGACGCTCGGAGCGCCTGTGGTGGCGGTTGTGGTGGTGTCGGTTAAGCGCGAGTTTATTCCGCTGGTTCAGCAGGTTCAAAGCACACGCAACCTGCCATCAACGTACTGCTTTCCTCCCGCGCACGCACAATATGTGTACGGCACTCCGTGTACTGCTTGCCGATGTACGGCAACCCTCCTCCCCCCCCTCCTCCTCCTCCTTCTGCAAACCCTCACCTGCTCCTCACGTACTGCTGCTGCGGCCCCGCTGCGCCGCCTCGTTGGGGCGGGTGGTCGTACCGACAGCTACCTCCTCCACCACCACCACCACCACCTCCACCTCCACCTCCACCACCTTTGGGACAGCGACCGGTGGCAGCCCAGTACTTGCAAATGGGCGGTCGTACGGCAGGGGTGCATGTGGCGGCGGCAAACGCGGATGGGGTAGTCGTTGAAGCGGATGCGGGCAGTGCGTCGTTGGCGGCGGCGACGACGGTGGCATGTGTTGTGGCAGCGGCGGCGTCATCGCGATCCGGCCTTGATTCAATCGCTGCGATACCCGTGGCCGCGTTGCCAGCGGCGGCAGCAGCGGCAGCAGCAGGCGGCACACCACCTCGGGGAGCTGGTTGCGGCAGGAAGGGCGTGTGCGGGTGCACATCCCGCCATCGGGACGTCACATGGAGCGCGTGTACGACAAAGGTCACGTGGACGGTATGCCCGCCCAAGTCACCTTTGTCGTACACGCGCTCCATGTGACGTCCCGATGGCGGGATGTGCTGGTGTCCGCGTTTTGTGCTGGTGTCCGCGTTTTGACTGTTGTTGTCGTTGGAGTTGCCGCCGCTGGCAACACAGCTGCCGCCGTTGCCGTTGCCGTTTGCGCCGTTGCTGGTTGTAGCATGACGTTCGTACACGCCTCTAACGCGGACCTCGTCTCCCAGCCTGAGGATGGACGGACGTCATGGGAAGGGACAATAGTACGGCAAGAATGACATCAGTGCCGTACAACGCGTGTTGGAAAGGAGAGGACAACTATCGGTACGGGAGTTCATGCTGGCCTGGAATAGCAAGAACGTAGCGGCTTAGGGCCCCCGGTGTGCGTTGAGTCTTTGGAAGGGCCCATGCTAGATAGGTCGTTGCTGGGCTGGAGGTACGGTAAGAGCAACTGACTCACTTGACATCGTCACGGATGGCTCTAACGTCCTGGAGACTCAGCGGGCCATCCTGGGTGCGAACGGGAGTGTCAAGGGCAAAGCGTGGAGGCATGAATGTGTGAGGGGCGTTCGCCAGGCAAACGCACATGACGAATAACGCTCTTTACGCTTACCGCTTTAACTAACAACTCAATCCAGCTCCGTTGTCCCTCAGCACCGTGATAGCACGCCAAGTCGAAGAAGACCTGACGCGATGGGACATGCAACGAGTAATTACCGACTGAACGTTTGCTAACTAGTGTCGCGGTATTTCGCATTAGCTATGGGTACGTACCAAACGTTTGCTGAGCGGTCTGCGAAAAGTCACTTGGCCTGAAAGCTCAACTGCCATGTCGGCCGGAGAAGATTGACAGCTGACTGTTAATGTTACATACTACACAAGGCAGTCACTAAAAGTTATGATGAAATTTAAGTGTTAATCGTAGTAATTCATCTCGAATAGAACCGCTGAGCACGGAACCGCGTTGAGGCACCCCGCGCGCTAGCCGTACAGAGGTCCTTGTTCCGTGCCCCACAAAAGGCACATAACCCCCCACAGCCCCGGCGCCTCACTCCTTACCCTCTCTCCATGCTCCATATACCGTACGGCCGCCTCCGCAGTAAGGCTCATCATTCCCATCTACCGCTTCCCCTCCGCAGTCCCGCAGCCCGCGCCCGCGATACTCAACACCGCTAGAGGAAACACCCGCACTAACCCCGCGCGCCTTTGGCTTTAAGAATCTCTCTCTCGGCAGGCGTAGGTACCACATCACAACGCGCGCAATGCGGTATGCGGGAGCACGGTAAAGATCACGATGCCAGCATCATCACAGGAACCCCACAGCAATGTCAAGTATGATATTGCTCAGCTGCACAGTACCGGCACAGTCATCGAGCGCACCCACCCACACACATGCAACCGAAGGGCGCTAGCAGCGCGCTTCATGCAAAGTACTACCCCCCCCCCAAGACGCCTCCGTGCCGATGCCCCCACCCGTGTCGCCATGTAGCATATTCCCGCCTAGCACATTCCCCACGGTAGGTAGTAACGCCAAGCACCACACAACACAATTGAGGCCAAGCGGAATATTATGCAAGCGAGTGTCTTGCGATTCACAAATGTGTGTTCACATACCCTGTATACCCGGGCCAGCAGCACATCCACCACAACCATCCTCCCCTGCTGCCCCTCCTCCTCCTTCTCCCTCCCTACCCCCCCCTCCTCCTCCCCCTCCCCCTCCTCCCTTCACACCGGAGGGCCGCCACTGCTGCCGCCTGCCGCCCGCCCCGCCCAGCCATCTGATCTCTCCACCCCCCCTCCGGCCCCCGCCAGCAGCCCGGTGGTCTCACTCAGCTGCAGCGCGGCGGCGGAGGAGGAGCGACCCAGCGACCCACCCCGACTGACACCACCACCAGTACCGGTACCGGCACTGCCACCGCCGAAGGGACGGAACCTGAAAAGGGGAGAGGAAGGAGGTGGTGATGGTGCGGTGTGGAAGAGAAGGGGTGGTTAGAGGAAGGGAGCAAGGGGTGGAAAGCGAAGTCAGCGCAAAGTCAGGGGTACAGGAGGATCCCCCTTTTCTGTTTCTTTCACCAGTCTGCTAGGCTTGTGTGTCTCATTCTTTTCCTTCTTTCCCCGCCCCGATCCCCACCCATACCCTCTACTCTCCCGCCCGCCCCTGCACCCTCCCTTCCCTCCCCCCTCACCTGCTAAATGCCGAGAACGACGACGACGCCTCCGCACCCGCCGCATACCCTCCCCCTGCACCCCCGCTGCTCCCTCCACCTCCGCTTCCAAACCCGCCTCGCTCCCTCACCCCTCCTCCTCCCGCCCCCACAGGCGACCCCGGCGGCTGCTGCTGCTGCTTCGAGGCGGACGGCATGGGGGGCAGCGGGAAGTGCACCGACCCCGATGCGGTGGACGAGGCCGCCCCCGGCATGTGCGGGTAGTTGGCTGCGGAGGCTCGCGCCAGTCCGCCCGTCAGCATGTGTCCCACGGACCTCCACATGGTGGTCATGAGGCCGCGGCGCGGGGCGGGGTCCATGACGGGGAAGTCGGCCAGCAGCACCGAGCGGTCGGTGGGGGGGAGCAGCGGGTTGGAGCCGGGGGCGGAGAGGGAGGCGGCGTGGGCGGTGCAGGCTGGGGGCGGGATGGGGGGGGTGGAGAGGGGGGTGGAGAGGGAGGTGGGAAGGTGGGAGGAGGAAAGGCGCTGGCATGCAGGTATGTGTGGCGCTGACCCACGGAGGCTGCTGCGCACCGCCGAGGGCAGCCGCCCCTGCTAACAGAGTCGGCTGCTGCCTGACAAACTAACCAACCAACCAACTAGCTTCCTAACCGCTCAACCCAGTCGGAGCCCCCCCTCACCCCGCCCCCCCCCCCACCCCCTCACCCGGCAGCGGGCTGCTGCTCAGCCCCAGCAGGTCCGCCAGCTCCGGCTGCAGCGCCAGCAGGTGCTCCAGCCCCTCCCGCCCCAGCCCGTACAGCTCGCAGCAGTTGCGCGCAATGACGGTGGCGGGCCACACCCCCCCGTGCAGCACACCCGCCTGGCCGAACAGGCAGCGCGGCTTCAGGCGGCCCTGGGGGGGGGCCGGGGGGAGGGGGGAGGTTAGGGAGGGGAGGGAGTTGGGGCCAACGACAATTATACCCCCTTCCCTTCTCCTGCCAGTTTGTTCCTCTCACTTAGCTCACCCGCCCCCCCCCCCCCCAGTCCCCGCCTCACCTCGACCGAGTAGGGCATGTGCCTCAGCTCGTCCTTGTGCACCGCCTCAAAGATGCGCCAGGGCTCCACGTCGGCCGGGAACATGTAGGTGCGAACCTAGTGGGGGGGGGGAGAGAGGGGAATAGAGGAAGATGGATACCTAATCAATGGAAGGAAAGGAAAGGGGGGCCAAAGACCATATCAAACCATAGGAGACCACAAGTTAGGGCAAAACAATGGGGATAGGAGTTGGCTGGGTGCCACAAGACAAAGGGTTGGTTAGTATTCCCTACCGAGACCGGGTCCGCGTTGCTGATGAAAGTTTGACACTCCAGCGAGCGGGCCGAAGAAAGCTGGCTGTTCTAGTTGTCTATTGCTGGGAATGCTGTCAAATGTCGGTCACCAAGGCCCCACATGTGCTCGGCGTGACAAGGAGGCAGGGCCGGAGAAAAAACGGGGATTAGCTGTAAAACAAAAACTAAGCAAGAAAAAGAAATAAAGGGGGGCGGGATAGCGCACACGCATGCATGCATGCATGCAGGCCGGCAACCACACCGCGACCCAGCCACCGTGTGTTGTGACGCCCCAGCCAACGTGCAACCCCCCCCCCCCACCTCCAGCAGCCCCTCCGACACGATGTACAGCCCGTCCACATAGTCCCCCTGCATGGCCACGATGTCACCTGGGGGGGGGGTGGGGGGTGGGGGGAGCGGGGATGGGGGTCAAATGTATAGGGAGGAAGAGGACGTGAAAGGGAAGGGGGTACACGCGCACTCTATCCCCATTGCTCTGCCCTATCCGTAGTCCTGGTAAATCTTAAGACCACCCTCCCCCCCACCTCCACATCCCCCCCCTCACCCTCCACAAAGTACGCCGGCTTCAGCTGCGACACCAGCTCTATCAGCACGTGCGGCGGCAGGCGGCTGATGCCCGGCACCCGAGACAGCAGGTCGGCGTGGAAGGCCGCCAGCATGCGCGAGCGCAGCTTGAAGGGCAGCTCCGACAGCAGCGCAGCCTCCTCGCGCTTGATCATCTTGCCTGTTTGGAGGGGAGGCGGGGAGCGGAGAGGAGAAGTGACGGGCGATGTGGGGCTGTCCGGGTGAGGAAGGAGGGATAGGGGGAGCCGGGGTGGCGCCCTGCACCCAGTCATGCAGGGGGCTGCATGGGAGCCCTAGCCCCCAAAACACACCCCACAGCTCCACCCCAGCACCAACGCACTACCCGACTTGTCTTCCCCATGTCCCTCCCTGGACGTATTCCCAGCCCCCCCCCCCCCCCCAGCGACCACCCCCTCCCTCACTGGACACGTAGTCGAAGAAGTTGTACACTCGGCGGCTGAGCTCGGAGGGCACGGAGCGCGACTTGAGCACATCCATTACCTGGGCGTTGTATGGGGCGGGAGGGGGGGAGAGGAGGGGTAAGGGGCGGGGTACGGCGGGGCGGTAACGTGGAGGGATGGAGGCACAAAGGTTGGAACCGGCATAGGAGGGCTTCCAGGACTCCCAAGTACCGGTAAACCTGCATCAGCCCAAGCCAACCAAGCACTCAGCCCAACCCAACCACCCTCATCCCCCCTCACACACCCCCTCACCCCCCCCTCACCAGCTGTTTCTTGTTTGCAATGGCTGTCTGCTGCGCGTTCTTGATGGCCATTATGTTGGTGATGGAGGAGGTGACGTAGCCCACCAGCGACACACCCAGACACATCACGAAGATGGCCAGGATCTGCAGGGGTGGGGTGTGTACGGAAGGTGGGGGGAAGGCGTACGACAGGAGGGTTCCGGAAGGGTTAACCGAGGGGCGTAAACCCCTAAGTAATACCGTCTCTCCGCTAAAGCGCAGTGCAGTTCTCCGCACAGCCCTCTCAAGACACCCGCACAACCATCCACCTCCTCCCCAACACCCACCTACGCCCACCCCCCCACCTTTTCCTTGTCCGTCTTGGGAGTGATGTCACCGTACCCCACCGTGGCGGTGGTGGTGAAGGCCCAGTAGAGCGAGGTGAGGTACTGGGTGGCCAGGTCTGGGGGGAAGGGGAGGGAAGAGAGGGAGAGAGGGAGCGGGAGGGCGGGGGGGAGAGTTGTACCGGCCGTGCGCGCTAGGAAGGAGCCGGGCATGTTCATGGAAGTGCTGCACCAATTGCTCCACCCATCGCCCCCTCTTCCCTCATGCGTGTTGCTCCCCTCATGCCCCCCATGCCCCATCCGTACACCCGCATTTTGTCACCACACGACACACCTACCCGGCCCCCCCTCCCCGCTCCCCCCCCCTTCATGTCCTCCCCGCTCCCCCCCCCTTCATGTCCTACCCGCCTCCGCCACCCCGTACGCCGCCACCCATGTGTGCGGCCCCAGCCCGTCCAGGTACGCCATGTAGAAGAAGATGCAGGCGGACAGGTGCGCCAGCAGACCCACCGACATCACGAACGCCATCACCTGCGGGCGGGGGCGGGCAGGGAACAGACAGGTCGGTACCGGGAGGAGGAGGGGCAGGGAAGGGGCTGGAACAGGTAGGGGGGTTGGAACAGGTAGGGGGGTGGAGGCAGGGCTGGTTGGAGGCAGGGCCAACCGGGTGTGAGACGTCACGCTATCTGCAAGCGGGCAGGTGCCCCCCCTCCCCTCCCCCCCCCCCACGCCTTATCCCTCAGTCCTTTACTCTTCACACTCCTCCCCCTCCCCCGCACCTGCAGCGCCCCCCTGTCAATGAACATCTCCATGCGCTCCAGGATGCGCGGCAGTCGTATGACCCGCAGCAGCCGGTACATGCGGATCATGCGGAGCACCTTGCCCACTCGCATCACGCGGAGCAGCTGGGGAGGGGGGGGGGAGGGAGGGGGGGCCGGGTAGGTAGGTGGGCTTTGGTAGGGAGAAGGATAGGGAGGATAGGGAAGGGATGGGGAAAGGGAAGCCGACGATCAAAATGGGAGCGACGCAAGGGCGTAACCCCCCAACCCCAACCCATGGTGAAGCCTTGTCACACAGCTTGTTACGGTAGTTGCCTCGTTAGTTGCGTGCCTCATCACCCCCCCACACACACACCTCCTCACTCCATCTTTCGGCAATCACAGTACGTTTCGCCTCGCGGCCAGTTATTTTAACACACACCTTGAGCATGGACAGGAAGCCCATGGTGCCCGCCGTGATGAGGTCGTAGGGGATGACGCAGATGAGGTCCAGCAGGAACCAGGTCTGCAGGTAGTGCCGCGCGATGCGCCAGCGGGCGGTCACCAGGTGCCCCTTGCTGTCGTAGTAGGCGGTCCTGGAGGGGGGGGGAGCGGGGGAGCGGGGGAGGGGGTCAAAGACCATACCGAACCATAGAAAGCCACAGGTTGGGGCAAGACAATGGGGATAGGAGCGGCAGGGTGCCACAAAAAACAAGTATGAGTTAGCGGGGGAGGGGGGGGGGGGGGGAGGGGGGAGAATTAGATGAAGTGCAGCAAGGGAACTGGGGGGACGGGGGAGGGGCGAAGAAAGAGGACCCAAGGTGTTGAATGAGAATGGCAAGCCAGATGACAAGCCCCTGGTGAATGGAGCCAACCCACCACCGCAACCCTTGCCAGCCCCCTCCCCTCCCCTCCCTCTAATCCTTTCCACATAACCCCCTCCCCCCCCCACCTGAAGTTGAGGTATATGTCCGCAGCGAACACCAGGTCCACCGCCAGCTCCACAATGTCCACCCAGTCACCGCGGAAGGCATCACCCTGCAGGGGGGGCGGGTGGCGGGCAGGGGGGGGTAACAGGGATGAAGGGGGCAGGGGGGGCAGGTCTGAGGGCGGGTCAGGTTAAGAGGCGGGCAGGTCAAGGGAGTTGTTATTGTTGTTGGGGCAGGGGGGGTACTGCATGCGGCTACGGGGATTGCGACTCGTTGCAGTACATGGCGGTGTGGGGCGACACAGGTTGCACCGCTGAGTTGGAGTAGTTGGGTCCGGGGTTGCGGACTTGCTGAGCGGGGCTGTGATCACATTGGGCGACAAGATACGGTAGGCAGGAGCAACAGAAAGAATAGACAAGGAAACAGCAGGACGGCAGGAGCCCGGAGCCAGGGGCGGCAAGCTACCGGTACCCCCCGCTTCCCACCCACCGAGAGTCCGAAGCAGATGATGACCGGCGAGGCGAAAAGCACCCACAGCAGCAGCACCAAGATGAAGAGATCCCACTTCGTACGACCCTCGGGTCGGATCAAACCCATGCCGTACAGTTTCAAACGCTCCAACAGCGTCAACGGTCTGTCGTACTCGTCGTCATCGCCAATCATCCGCGGGTGCTCGTACGGCAGCTCGCCGATCGAACAAAACGGCGACACGTCCTCCTCATACCCCCCGCCCCCTCCTCCGCTTCCGCAGCCTCTTCCTCCTCCCACGTACCCCCTGCCACTGCTGTTACCCCCCTCGTAATGCTGCCCCCCCTTGCTGCTGCTGCTTCCCACGTAGTGGGCCTTGTTCAGCAGCGGCGTACGAGCTTCGGAACCCCCCGCAGCGGCAGCAGCAGCAGCAGCCGTAGCCGCCGCCATGGAGGTAACGGGCGGCGCGGATTGCCGAGCGAGACCCATGGGTCGGCTGGCCGCCAGGTTTTCAATGCTGCCCCGCCTGCTTGTGATGCGCGAGAGGGCGGCTGTGTCGGCGGCGAGGGCCCAGTGGGCGGACTGCGCTCGCCGGCGGTACATCTCCACCAGGCGGGGGGGGATGCCCTTGAAGTGCCTGGAGGGGGGGGGGGAGGGGGGAGGCCGGGAGGGGGGGAATGGAATGATTATTGAGAAGCAAGATGAGGAAGGGAGAGGTGGGGGAGCGTAAAGAGAGCGGTGAGTGGTATGTGCAATGTATGAATGTGGGCCTGTGCAAAAGCTCATCTGGAAGGCATCCGTCCACGTAGGCAACTCAACCAGGCACCTGCCATGCACCGCACGAGCCTTGCCTGTTTCTCTCTATGCCCCCTCCCCAAAGCCCTCCTACTTGACACTGGCCGTCTCCACTCGCTCCGACGTCCCCCGCTCGCTGCTGCTGCTGCTGCTAACCGACCGAACCGACCGCAGGCTCTCACGCGCCAGGGAGGGAGCTGCGCCGCCACCACCGCCACCACCGCCCCCCATGCCACTGCCGTTGAGTGACAACCCCGCCAGCTGATCCAGTTGCGCCAGTCCGCCGGGGCCGCCAATACTGCCAGCGCCACCCCCACCCCCACCCCCACCCCCGGCAGCAGCAGCAGCAGCAGCAGCAGCCCCGCTGGCGGTGTAGAGGGGTGAGGTGCTGCCGCTGGTCAGCCGGGCGTCATTCGGGGGCGAGGGCGGAGCCGTCGCGCCGTCGTCCGTGCCGTTCCGGCCTGGGAACAGCATGGCGACGCTGCCGAAACCGCCGCTGGCGACGCCGAGTGACCCGTGGGTCGCGCTGTGGCTGTGACTCCGAGCATGCTGGAAGAAGGGGTGCCCGTGGCCGTGTACATGATGGTGATGATGGTGGTGGTGGTGGCCGGAGTGGCTGTGATGATGCCCCCCCGTGAGGCTGCTGTAGGGGCCACTGTGCGTCAGGGCGCCGCCGTCAGCGCCGGGGAGGGCGGGGGGGACACCGCCGCTGTGGTGGCTGCCGTCTGGATCCTGACCGTACGGCAGATTGGCAGCCTGGCTGTACGGCAGGCTAGGGCCATGGCTGTACGGCAGGTCTCCTGCTCCAGTGGAAGGTCCGTGGGAGCTCCATGGGAGGAGCGCCGGGGCAGCGGCAGCGGCAGCGGGTGGGGCAGCGGGTGGGGCAGCGCTGGTAGGGTTGCTGCTGCTTGCGGGGTTGCCGGTGGTGGCTGCTGCTGTCGCCTGCTGCTGCAGCCGTGCAAGCGCCCCCTGAGGTGCCTCTGAGGCGCCAGATACCCCGCTGCTTCCAACGCTTCCACCGCCACCACCGCTGCTGCTGCTTCCGCTGATCTCCAACAGGTCACGAGCCGTCGCCACTTGCGCTGCTGCGCTTGCAAAGGCCGACATCCCCTTCCTGCCGCCACCACCTCCTGCACGCGCCTCCAACCCACCACTGCTGCCGCCGATGCCACCTGCACTCCCACCGCCGCCCTGCTCCTCACCCCCGACCTCCACCAACGCCGCCGCTCCTGTCGTTGCTGCTGCTGCTGCTGCTGGCGGGGCTGCCGGGGACCCGGAACTGCGGCGCAATCGTGCGCGTTGCAACCTGGACCTGTCAGAGGGCAGGTCATGGCAGTCGGGAGCGATGTGATTACATACATGCCGTACAAACACGTGCGGCCACATGCCTGCCCGCCGCGCGTCATGGTAGCGCGGAGCCCCAGCCCAGCAAGTACCAGTACCCGGTACCGGGACGCGAGGGCGCCACCGGCACATAACTCCCCCCCCCCACACACACACAACCATGGTACACATCCCCCTGGCCCTACCTGGCAGCCACGGCAGCACGGCTCATGCAGCCGGCGCCGCCCTCCCCCTCCAGCCCCGCGTGTGCCGCCGCCGCAGTCGGGTCACCCACACCACCCGCTGCTTGGAACGCAGCGCCTCCCTCTCCACCGCCGCCCACGTCTCCTCTGCCATCGTCACTGGAGGGCGGAGAGGGCTGCCGGAAACGCCCACGAACGGGACCGCAGGAGCCGCCCACAGCGGCAGCTGGTGGAGCTCCATTCGAGCTGGTGCTAGCAGCAGGAGCAGCAACAGCGGCAGCAGGGCTACTACTGCTGCCGCCGCCAACAGGCTCATGTTGTACGGCAGGGGCACCCAGGTCTCCGGGGGGACTCCCGCCGGGGCTGCCGCCGCCGTTTAGTGAAGAACAGGCGAGGCGGGTGAACTCAAAGGAGGGCATTCTGACGAGAGGCTGTACGGCAGCCATCCCAGTGGCTGAGATGGAGGGAGATCGGGGCGAGGCGGCGGCGGCAGCAGCAGCGGCAGCGGTGGTTGCGGCGGTGGCAGCGGAGCTCGCAGACGCGGCTGGTTAGGGTGATGCGGGGGGTGGAGGTAGGGCGGGATGGGGTGGGTAAGGTTGAGGGGTGGGTGTGTTGCAACAAGACGTCGACCTCACATCCGGCTAACGGGGACTGGAAACTGCAAGAGGTTTGGTAGCAGGCGGGTGGCGGAAGGGAGCCAGGGCTGGGGAAGGGTGAAGGACAAGAGCTTACCAGCGGCGGAGGCGGAAGCCGCGGAGGCAGACGCGGCTGCAGCGGCTTCCTGGACTGTGTGCTCCAGCGTGTCCAGGCGCTGCTTGACCCTGTAAGCCATTGACGACGACCGTAGATGGTTCAGTTTTGCCTATCAGATAAGCGCTAATGACAGCGCTAGCGGTGCCTGGCAGACCGTGGTAATGAAGCAAAACTAACCATTCCCTGTGTTCGTCCTCCTCCCTCCCTTGGTCTGCAAGCTGCTGCAAGAGGATGCTTTGCTGCTGCCGCAAGCCCTCCAGCTCCTCCATAAGCTGCTGCATAAGCCGCTTCATGCTTATGATTGGAGAGTCTCCATCATGTCGGTGAAGCAAAGCTTCCCGTCGAGCTGGACTCGCGGCGGCCTCCATTACTGTTTAGGTAGCTCCGATTGGTCCGGTGTAACTTTCACTACGCATTCTGTATGACATACATGTTTTTACGATGGCTGTGCATCTTTGGGGTCATCATAAGCTGAGCAACAGGTCCAAATCACATAGGAAGTACAGTGTTTAAAGATGCTCGTGTACGCAAGTAGCAGTGCCACAGCTACCATGATGCAGTGTATAGGCTGTAGAGTCATCATTGCAGCTCGAGCCTATTGTTGTCCAGATGGAACCACTGTGGGACGAGCAACACTACTAATTCAGGCGCTACCACCTTGTAGTGGTCAGTGATCTTCCAGTTGCGTAGCCCGTTAAAGGACAAGGATCAATGCATACGACTCAAAGACTGCACCGTGTGCAGCAGCTGCTAAATGCTATAACATCCATTCTGCAAGGTAGGTCAGTTCAGAGCTTCACTAGGTTAATTTCCTAGGCACTCGCCGACAGTTTCTTCTCGCGCAGATGCCGCGTTGACTTCGTCTGGAGCAACGCAAGCAGCAGCTGTCATTGGCGGCGCCACTGCTCCTCTGCGCTGCAAAAGATCACTTGCAACTGCTTCAAGGTACGTTACCTTTACCGAATCATCCTTTTAAGTCGTCGTTTTGACGATTCCGCGCGAACAACCCCGCTCTGCGATCCCCGGCACATCCCTCCCCAGGTCGCCTCCACCTGTCCATGACACTGCCGTACCAGCTGCTCTGAAACCGGTAGCCTTGCCAACCCTGCTTTCCAGCGGGACGTCTGGCAGCGGGGTGTTGCTCGGACACAGCTGCAGACGTGCGTTGGACGCCCGCTTCCTGCCGGCTTCCGACCTGCCCGCGGGCCAGGGGCCGGAGCAGCAGCTGGGATTGCTGCAACACCCATTTACGGCACAACAGCTCCGACACAGGCAACAGAAACGTCGTCGCAGGGCGGAAGAGCAGCAGCAGCAGCAGCAGCATACACAACAGGCAGCACCAGGACCGGATCCAGAGAAGGGGGTGCCACATGCACGAACGGGGCAGGGGCAGCAGCAGCAGGGGCAGCAGTTGGAGCCGCACGCAGGGAAGATGCTGCATGCGGGTGACGGCGCTGGAGGGCTGTCAGCGCGGGCGGGCTTGGAGGCGCAGTGGATGCAGCAGGAGCAGGCCGATGCGGACTGGGTGAGGGAGAGGATACGTCAGCGCCAAAGTACTACGCATAGGCAGATGAAAGATCTTAAGAAGGCATACTCGCTGGACGAGTTGCGTGAATGGCTGCGTAACGGTGTCAGCAGCGGCAGTAGCAGCGGCGGTGGAGGCAGCAGCAGTAGCAGCGGCGGTGGAGGCAGCGGGGACTCCTTGAAACATGACCAACGGGAGGGCCAGCGGAGCGCAGCTGTAGCAGCGTCCCCCGAGGGGTGTATCGTTTGGGATCAAGCAATGGCGAAGACCTTTGTAACTCGCGTGACGGAGGCGCATGCGGACTTGCGGCACACGCACCCCCTCAAGCGTGAGCTCCTAGCGGAGGCCTCGGAGCAGTGGTTGCGGGTGCCTCACCCCGACTACCCGCACCTCCCGTCACCCGCATCATCATCCGGCCAACCACCACCACGGCCCCAGCAGCAACAGCAGCAGCAGGGCAACATGCAGAACGCACCACTGCAACAACAACAACAGCAGCAACAACAACAACAACAACAGCAGTGTAGCAGCATCGCACTTCCCGGCACGGGGGCGGCAGGCGTCAGGCCGCCGCCGCTGGCAGTGGCGCCCAGCGCCCAGGCAGCTGCTAGCCTTCTGGTGCAGCTGCAAGACTGCGGCTTCGTCCCCAGTCGCGAAGTGGTGTACGGGCTGGTTGCTCCGCACCTCTTGTCCGGACCCGTCGCGTGCCCAACCGCATTCGCTCGCATGGGTGCCTCCCTCGCCCGCGCCGGGTTGCTGCCGCCGTTGCTGCCGGCCGCATCGGTTCCCAAAGGTGGCCGCATGTGGGAGGGCGTGGCAGCCGGTGTGGCGCAAATGCGAAAACGCGTCTGGGGGTCAGGCAGGATGAGCGTGGAGGATGCTCGAGCGCTGCTGGAATTGAGGGTTGAGCTGGAGCTAGCGCTGGCCGAGGCGGTGCAGCGGCTTGTCACCGGCGGCGGCGGCAGCGGAGGCAGAGCTGTGTACGGCAGCAGCGGCGGCGGCGGTGGCGGCGGCGGCGGAGATACGGGTGCTACGGATTTCTACTACTGGAAGCTTCCGGAGTGCATCCAGCAGGTTCACAGCGTCGTACTGAGGGTTACGGGCGCCGTGGAACGGCTGAGTCAGCACCTGCCGAGCGAGGTGTTGCGTGAGGCGGCGTTGCGTGTGGAGCAGGCGGAGGAGCGTGCTGACGGTGCTGGCGGCAGCGGCTGCGAGGGTGGCAGCAGCGGGGCTTGGAAAGCGTTGGGCTATGACGTCAGCGGCAGCAGCAGCGGTGGAGACTTGGAGCTGGCTGCTGCTTCCTACCGCGGAGACCTGCGGGTAGGTTGGCTCCTCAGTACACCGCATGTCCAAGGGTTGGGGTTCGGGTCGCATGCGCAGTGCTGCCCGAAGCAGTATGTGAACGCCCCGGGCAAGCCCGTGGCACGACGCAGCGCCCTGGGTCACTGTGAATGGGTTATACCTTGTTGCGGATACCGGTAACGGTATAACGTAGCAGTTGGGCTGATGCATTGCTTTGCAAGGCAAGCTGCTAAAGCTTCTAATGCTCCTCGTCCTGGCTCACCATTCTTGCCTCTTGCACCCCACCCCGCAGCTCTGGCTATCGCAGCTGGTAACAACCAAAGCCCGTTTCCTACTGCAAGATGAGGATGTGCATTGGGCTGCTCAACAGTATACGGCGTCTGGGCAGCAGGGGCAACAGCAGCAGGGGCAACAGCAGCAGGGCCCGCAGCTGCCGCCGCAACCCAGGTCGCGGCCGTCAGACGACGAGGGCGGGCAGTATGATGAGGCAGCCGACCTGCTGGCGTTGGCACGGGCATGCCTGGCTCTGGAGGAGCGGGTAAGGGGGGTTCGCTTGGGGAAGGGAATGCGGGGGTGTTGCAGTCCTTTGCAGTATGGTAGGTCGTCACGGGGGGTACCGATGTCAGGTGAGGACACCACGATGCGCCTCATCGGTGACCTCGCCGTGATTGCAGCTCATGACGTGTTGCGGCGTGCGGGTGTGTGTGTTTCAGCAACCGTGTTGACCTACCTGTTTAAACCGTTATTCCATAGACTTCAAAAGAGTCATTGACCCCGTTTGGCTTTCCCAACCTTCCCGTCCCATCCAATGCCCGACTTGCCTGCACCCAGATACACCGAGCGGGCGACGACCCCACCGGGTTGCGAACGCTGGGAAGGCGCCTCCAGGTGAATGGCGGTTGGCAGTTGGCGGTTGGGAGCAGGGGGCGGTGGTTGGATTCCGGCATGACCGTTGGCTGGGCTGGGGTGACTGTGCCGAGGTTTGCGCACCATGTTTCGGGAAGCGAGTCATTTGGTGGGTTCAACAGCCCACACAAAGCCGCACACCTGCCTTTGTCGTGTCGGCAGGGGTTAGGTAGGCGGCGTTTGGTGTTGAGGCTGGAGCCGCTTCCTGCCATGCCCTTGACGCGCCTTGTTACACTAACCAGTCATGTTATACGAGCCTTCCTTCCTCCTCTTCTTCCTCCTCCTCTTTCCCGCAGGACGCCCTTGGCGGGCTTCTGCTGCGACAGCAACAGCAGCAACAGCAACCGTTAGTACACCTCTTTCAGCAACACCATCAACGGTTACAGCAACAGCGACAACAGGGTCCCTTCCTAGCCCCCAGCCCCATACTAACCAAAAACGCAGACCCCCTTTTGGAGCTCCTGCTGCACCCCCGCAACTTGCAACCGCCGCTGGCGTTACGGCAAGCTGTCGTACACCTCCTAGCCCCGTCCCATTCCTTTGCATGGCGGTCGGTTCCCAAGGAAAAGTACGACACATTGCTTCGGCGGTTAATGGCACGAACGCTGTGGTGGAAACGGATACCTCATCTCTCACCTTCGCCGTCGCCGTCGCACCGTGAGGGGCGTACGGCAGAGGTAGCTGCGGCGGCGGCGGCAGCAGCGGAGGCGGAGGCGGAGGTGCTGGAGGAAGCGCTAGCGGCGGGAGTGCTGCCGTCGGAGGCACCCCCGTTGCCGTCGGAGCTGGCGAAGGTGGTGGCGTGTGTAACTCGGGCGGCGGTGGACGCGGAGGAGGATCTCAGGTCGGGTGCAGCTGCGGCCGCCGCCGCCACTGCCGCTAGCTGGGGCCGCGGCGGAGGTGACGGCGGCGGGCTGCATGGAGATCCCGCCCCGGCATTCCAGGAGGCGACACTCCTGGCTAAGGCGGCGTTTGGGTTGTTCCAGGTGTCGGCGGATCTCCTCCGCCGGACATCCGCTTCCGCCGTCGCCTTGGCGCCGCCGCCGCCGTCAGACATGCAGGCGCCGGCGCTGGCGCTGCTGAGCGCCTCCGCGAAGCTGGTTGTACGGAGTACGACAGATTTTGACTTGTCGTACGCGCACGCGTTTGCTCGGCAGTACGCGGCGTTGGGTCAGGTTGCCGCCGTGGATTCGTCCGTACTGACGGCGATGGCGAGCGCAGCGGAAAGCGGCGCTCGTGCGGCGTTGCATGGACTGGAGGCGTTGCGCGGTTCTGCAGGGGGTCAGAGCCATCAAGATGGAGCAATGACCCATGGGTCAGAGCCGCCGTCCGGGGGAGGCCCGACGCTGCCGGAGGAGGATATGCTGTCTGCACAGCCGCCGTCGTTAGAGGATCAGCCGCCTCCGCCGCCGCTAGTGGAACAGTTACATTACCACCACCACCACCATCAGCAGCAGCAGCTGCATCATGAGCATGATGAATCTCATCTACAGCAGCAGCTGCATCATGAGCATGATGAATCTCATCTACATCAGCAGCAGCAGCAGTTACTGCGGCACCAGCTCGCCGAGCAGCAGCAGCAGCTGGCGGCGGTGGCGGAGGTCCTCGCGGAGAACTGGTACATGCCGCCCCCGGGGTGTGGCTTGCTAGCCGCCATGAAGGAGCTCGTCAACCACCCCCTCATGCAGCTGCAAAGCGGAGGCGGAGTCGGACCATCAGGCGGTGGCAGGACGTCTTCGCCTGATGCTGCATGCATCGCCTCTTCGCCTGCATTGCCGGCCGCCACCGGAACCGGTGATGTTGCTGCTGACGCGGCGTGTGCTGACGCGACGAACCTTATACACATAGGAACTAGCAGCGACGTCAACAGCAGCAGCAGCAGCCCAGGGAATGCGACGGCCGCGGCGATCGCTCCAGGCCACCGAGGTTTGGTGGGGTTGCCGCTGGACTTGCGGCTGGCGTGTGCGACCGCTTGGCTGTCCAGCATTCCACTTGCGGGCAATATGCTGCAAAAGGAGCAGGGAGAGTGGACCAGCGTCGATGTTGAAGGCACGCGTGCAGTGGCCGGCGGCGGCGGCGGTGGAGTGCATTCCAGCGTTGACGGCGGCGGCGGCGGCGGCGGAGGGGCGGAGGATGTCGTACAATTGGTTCAGCTGACGGAGTCGTGCATCAAGGTACGTCTGGCGGAGGCGGCGGCTGTCGGTACGACATGTGCTAGTACGACTGCTGTTGCCGCCGCCGCCGCCGCCGGTGCGGAGGTGGAGGTGGAGAAGGGCCAAGCGTTGTCGTTGCTGCCGCCGACGTCTGGAGCCATGACTTCGGCGGCGGCGGCGGTGACATCGAGCACTCCGGGGATCCCAACTGTGCCAGCTGGCGGACAGCAAACAGCATCGGCAGGCGCTGCTGCGAGCGGTGAGGGAAGACAGCCGTACATGGCAGCAGGCAGCGGAGGCGGTGGAGGTGGAGGTGGAGGCGGGCTGCTTAGCTTGCGTTCCGCTTACGCGCTGACGGCGGCCTGTTGGAACGTCGGCCGGATGCCTCCGGTGCTGAGGAAGGCCATTGCGGATGACGTGCGGGCAGCGGCGGCGGCAGCGGCGGCAGCTGACACTCCTGCTGCTGCTGCTGCTGCTGCTGCTTCCAACCCCCGGAAAAGAAACCAAGTACGACGACTGGTACGGCAGCTTCTGATATCACGTGTGCTTGGGGGGAGCTCGCAGCCCACATCTCAGTGCTTTGTCGACCTAGTTGGCGGCATCAGCGGCAGCGGCAGCAGCCGTACGGAGGCTGCAAGCGTGCCGTACGAGGGCCGAATGCTGATGGCGCTACAGCTGCTGGATATGCACGTCATATCGCCGCAAGAGGCCGTTGAGATGCTGCAGGAGAACTTGGCTGCCATCCTGCCCAGGTTACGAGATCCGGAACGACTTGAACGGCTGGTGCGGTTGATGGTGGGACAGGACATCCAAAGCGGCTTGGGCAAAGCCGGCGGCGGCGGCGTCAGCGGCCAAGACCCGCACCCGCAGCCGCCGTGTCATGCATTGGAGGCGGCGGCGTTGGGTCAACCAGTGCTGTTGAGCTCCTCAGACTCCACCTCCGCTGCAACCACCACCGCTGTGACCGCCACCACCACCACCCCCGCCGCCACCACCCACCCCGCCACCGCCGCCACCCCCGTCCCTGCTGCCGCGGATGCCACCGCCGCCCCCCGCGCTGCCGGCCGGCTGGCGGTGCTGTGCGGGGCGCTGCCGGCACTCGCGGCGGAGCGGACAGTGCCGCTGGAGGTGCTGCGGATCATCTGCGCGGGCGTGCACCGGGCACAGGTGGGTGGGTGGGTGGGTGGGTGGCCGGGGGGGGGGGGTAAAAGAAGAATCCCAAGGTGTTTAATGATGCTAGCAAACAAGCCGGGGGGTTGGGGGGGCTGCTTGCCTGCAGTGGCTGGTGTTGGGGCCGGGGTGTTGTTCGGGAAAGCCCGGAACACCTGGAGAGTGAAGCGCCGGCAGCCAGCTGCTGCTTTCCGCTCGCCGAGGAGGGTGCTGGGAAGGAAAGGGGGTCGCCGCGGCGGGCACCGCTTTCGCACACCGGCAGCAATGCGGTGCCAATCCGTTGTCGGTGTGTGGGAGGTGTTTGTTCCCGATGAGCTGCTTGCAGCCGCCACACACACACACACACACACACACACACACGCCCCTCCGCACGTGTCATGCGCCACACCAACCAACCCACGGCGCTTCCACCTTGCTCTCCCGCCCGCCTTCCCGCCCTCTCCCCCACCCCACCCCACCCCTGCCCTCCGCAGATGAAGCTTCCCGAACCCGCTCTCATAGCGCTCACCAGGCGCCTTGCAGCCGAACTGGATCTCTTGCCATCTCCATCACCATCGCCATCCGCATTAGCCTCTCCGTCCCCACCTCCCTCCTCCTCCCCCTCCTCGTCTTCTTCTCCTCATCAGCTTTTACAGCCCAGCGACCACTGCCCCACCCATCATCACCACTCCGACCCGCATCCCTGCAACATGGAGAAAGCCGTCGGCGGCACGGCTGGTGACAGCAGCAGCAGCAGCGGGCACCAGTTGGGATCGCGACCGGCTACGCTAGCGGCGCTGGAGGCCGTATCGCAGCACAGCGAGCGGGAGGCGCTGCTGGACCAACTGATCCAGGTTTGGTTGCACCAGGTGCACGGCTGGGCGGTGCGGAGGGCCGCGACGCCACCTTCGCCGCCGCTTCAACATCAGCAGGTTGCTGGTGCTGCTGCTCCTGCTGCTGCTGGTGGTGTTCCCGACGGAAGAGGCGGCGGCGACGGTGGCGGCGGCGGCGGCGACGAGGACGACGGCCGCATGGAGGAGCAAGGAGCTCGTTCTTTCTTATCCTCGGTACGACAAACCTAGCAAGCCTAGTAGAGGGGGAACTTGTGCTGTGTGGGGATATTGACAGCAGCTGCCTTCCCTACGCCCCCTCCCCCCCCGCATGTGAGTGTCGCAAGGGGGTTAACAAGCCCATCCCTGCGTGTGACCACCAGGTGTGGTTGATCCTGCGGGAGACCGTACGGCGCTACGAGACCCGTCCGCTGCGTGTGGCCGCGGGGGGCGATGTGGGCGCCTTGCCCCTCGTTGTGGGCATTGCGATACGGTCAGGTGGGTGGGTGGGTCCCGATCGGTGCCGGAACAGCTATAGGTTGGGTTTATCGCGATTTTGGATTGGGAGTTGACTAAAAAACCGAGTTTGTTCGACGTGCGTAGGCCTTGTCGCCCGAACAGCGGCGGCAATAATACAGTGACCCTTGCATTGTTAGACCTACCTACCGGTATAAGCCCTAGCTTCGACCTACCGGTAACCTCCTCCTCCTCACCTCCTGTGTCCCTACAACCCTCACAAACACCCAACGCCCTCAATCCCGTCCTCCCATGCACAGAGGGGTCCAACAAGCGCCACTACTACTTCCGAAACAGCATCCTCAAGGTGCTGCCCCCGCCACCACTCTCACCACCACCACTGCCGCCGCCGCCAACCCACCTGCAACAAGCACCGACGCCGCCCGAGCTGCACCTGCCGCCGGACGCACAGCCACCGGCTGCCCCGGCTGCACCCGCTGCCGGCTTCACCAGAGCTGTTGGTGATGGTTATACCGGGCCGCAACAGCACCTGCAGCACGGGGAGCAGCAGCAGCAGCACCTGCAGCACCAATCCTCCCTGGACGTGGCACGCATGATTGTGACGTGTCTTTCGGCGCACAGCCAGGCTCTGGTGGCGCCCAAGGAATGGGATATGGTGCTGGAGCGGCTGCTGCAGCTGCTGGCAAGCCAGCTGCGGGAAACGGGTAGAGGAGCAGCGGGAGCAGGAGGAGGAAGCAGCAGCATGGAGGGAGGAGGAGGAGGAGGTGGCGGCAGTGTGGTTACTGCTGATGATGTGGAAGCAGCGGAGGCAGGGGCAGGGGCGCGGGTGGAGGCGGCGGAGGCTCGGTCGCTGTTGGTGTCTCAACACCTGTCCCAGATGCTGATGATGCCGCAGCAGGAGGAGGTAAGCGTGCGGCTTTCCGCGGCGCTGCTTTGTTCCTACTGGGTTGCTCGTTTGGGTTTGCCTGGCCCGCACAGCCTGCATGCATGTCAGCTCGGCCGCTCTGCATGCGCTGTCCGGACCCAAACCGAGCCCATGCATGCTGTAACGAGGCCGCTCTCAAAGCGATGTAGTTATGGTTCCTGCTTCGCTTGGCATCACCGTGGCCCGCTGCCCATTCTTTGCTTGTTTCAGCTTTCTCTCCCGTACCTCCATCTCTGCTGTCCCTGCACCCTCACAGGCCATATCGTGTGATGGCGGTGCCGGCTGGGGTAACGCCGCCTCCCTCACCGGACCTCAAGAAGGCATCACACCCGCCGCCGTCGCTCCCACTCCCCTTCCCCAGCAGCAGCAGCAGCAGCACATGAAGCCTGGAGGAGGCAGCGACGGCGTCAGCAGTGTCAGACGCGGTACCGCGCACGGCGAGGGCGAGTGGGCCCCGACCGTGCTGGCGGCACTGCTGCGCATCCTGCCCTCCCATGAGGCCTGGGCTGCCGTACCGGCCCCGCGGTACGCCCTGACAGCCAGTGTGTCACAGCTGCCGGGCTGGCAGGGCCTCAGGGCCCATGCCAGGGATGAAGCCGTCGATAAAGAGGCAGATGACGTAAAGCCGTACGGGCCATGCCTCATGAAGCATTACCCAGGCGCTATCCAGGACATCCTGTCCGCCCTGCTGCATGCTGCTGTGGAGTCGGCTTCAGCGGCGGCGGCGGCGGGGGGTACGGCACCGCTCACGCCGCCCCTGCGGACGGCAGCACCGAAGACGTCAGACATGTCGACCTCACTCCAGCAGCGGCAGCAGCAGTTGACACGTCAGTTGGTGTTGGACATCGTACATTCCGCTGCCGAGCTGCAACGCCGTGTTTCCCTAACCACCACCACCGCCGCCGCCGTCGCATCAGCTGAGGGCCGCGGCCTTTCCTCCTCCAACCGCCAGCATTCTTTCGCCGCCGCTCCTGCCCGCTCCACGGCCGCATCGGCCCCTCCAGTCAGGCTGAGTGCGAGGATGCTGGAGGGCCTAGCAGCAGCACAGGGGCTTGTGGACCAACATTGGGATGAGATTCCCATGCAGGGGTTGCTGCAGTACGGCTCCGATATGGAGACGTTGTGCGGCAGTGTCCCACGGGTCGCTGCGCTCGCGGAATGTGCCATGCTGCTTCCTGCTCTGAGAGATGTACGGCAGGGATTGGAGGTACGGCGGTTTTTGGTTGGCGCGCGGGGTGTTGGCACGTGTCTACCAGCCCTGTGTTTTCTTCCTAACGTGATGGTAATGATATCGCAATGCTCACGTCTCTTGTGTTTTACTCGATGCCTTACCTCCTTTCCTTCCCCCTCCCTCGCCCGCTCTCCTGCCCCTCCTTCCGCCAGCAACTCCAACAACAGCTAAGCCCCCTGCAGCAACAACAACAACAAGCCGCAACGAAGGCCCCCCTCTCCGCCGCCTCCTTCAACCCTGACTTCAACTCCGCCTCCGTCGGCAAATCCTGGCAACAGCAGCAGCAAGGGCAGCAGCAGCTGCTGCAGGCTGGACAGCTCCCGTCGTCAGGGCACTCCCCGGATGCCCTGTTGTCGACTGCGGAGGGGGCGCCAGGAGGGAGGGACCGCAGGACTGCGCTGCTGCTGGGGGCGGCAGTGGCGTGGGGGCAGCAGTGGAGGCAGCTGCTCGAACTGCTGAGGAAGGTGGGGGCGAGGGCTGCGCAGCCGGGGGGTTCGGGTCAAAGACCAGACCGAACCAAAGGGGGTGGGATGGTAACGGGAACGGGAGGGTTGGGACGGGGGCTGCTTTGGGGGGCTGTGAACTGGGGGCTTTGGGGCTGTTTGCTGGCGGCTTTCGGTTTTGACCTGCCCTGAACTCTCTCCCTGCGCTGCACCGCACACCGCGCAGACCACCACAGCCCTGAAGCGGGAGGCAGTCTCCAGCCGGCTACCGGGGCAGCAGCAGCTGGATAGCCCGGAAGAGCAGCGGAGCGGCTGTCAAGGGGTGGCCGCGCCGTGTGCCACGGACCTAGCTCGCGTGGGACTGCTGCAGGTGCGTTACAACAGTACCGGTAGCAGAGCCCCCTTGCGGCGGGTGTTTCGGTATTGTGTAGTGGGGCAGCCTAGTCGTGTAATCAGTTGTGAATCATAATAAGAGGATGGAGTGCCGGAGGCCTCCCAGCAGTTGCACCCGGTTGTTAGTTCTCTCGGCAGCTTAGGCAGCAGGCAGCTCTTGTACCCCGTTTCCTCGTTCGCACGCCGTTTTGCTGTTGTTTCATGTTGCGCACATCCGTCCCTGACCCGAACGCCGTACATCCACATGCCTGCCCTCCCTCCTCACCCCATGTCGGCAACCCCAACTACAACCCCAACTACCACAACCACTCCAGGTGCCGGCGGAGGTGGTTGACCATGCAACGGCCGCTTGGTCCGCGTGCGAGTCCGTTCGGTTGGAACTGTACCGCAGAAGGGACGAGCTGAATGAGGCGGCGGCGGCGGCGGTGGACGTTTTACCTGACTTTGTGACCTCAGGTGAGATTGGACCGGAGGGCGAGATGGATATCCTGTTTGTGCTTGTGGGTGGCTGCGAACGTGCCATGTTAACTAACGCACTGGACTAAAACGTACCCCATCCCCCTCTGCTGCATGCCGCCTCATGCCGCCCCCCTCCCCCAGCGGAGCTCTTGAACCGCCAGCGCGACGCGCTTCAGGACTGGCGGCAGCAGCAGCCGCCGGCGCTGGTGCGGGAGCTGGCGGCAGCGCTGCCGGCGCTGGTGGCGGAGGCGGAGGCGGCGGAGGCGGCAGAGGCGAGCCGACATGGGTCATCATCGCCGTCGGCAGCGGAGGCAGCGGCGGAGGCGTCAGGGTCGCTGGCCTGTGCCGGCGCCACGGCCTCGGCCCTTTCGAGGCTGCTTCTTATGGAGACGACGGCGCCAGTGTCGGAGGCGGGGTCGACGGCGGCAGCGGCAGCAGCAGCAGCCGAGGGGTCAACGGATCTCGAGCGCTTCTCTTCCGCGTTGAAAGGAGCCGAAGCCTTTGCCGAGCGAGGTGTCGTACATGACGGTTTGACGTCGGCCGTACTGCGTTTGGCGGGTCCAGCCTTCCTGGAGGCTGTTAACAGTGGCGGCGGCAGCGGCGGTGCCAACACAGCAGCAGCCGTGACCGCGCCGAGGGCGAGAAGGGTGGTCGGAAGGCCGCTGCAGGAGGGCGGCAGTGATCGCGATGCGGACGGCTTGCGTCGCGTTGTGTTGCCGGCCTTGCGACTCTTCACTATGACGGCGGGTGGGGGGTTTGTCGGATTGCCGGGTAGCGACGGTGATGGCAACGGGGGCTGGTACGATGTAGGGAGTCAGCACCCGCTAGCGCCGCTGCTGCTTTGCTTGGAGCGGAAGGCGGCATCCATCATCACCACCCTCGGAACGCAGCCGTCGCCCTTCTCGACACGGCATCGCCAGATGTCGGCGCCGCCGCCGCCGCCACCACAGCAGCAGCAGCAACAGCCTCCTGGACAAGAAGGCCCCGCAAGGGCCCCTGCCTCTGCTGCTGCCGCCACCTCGGCTCTGGCGGTTGATCTTCTCCTCGCCCTTGTTAATGCGGGGTATCTGCACGGCAGATTGCCGTACGCACTCGCCGATGTCCTCATAGAGCGAATTGAATGTACGGCAGGCGCAACGGCGGCGCCGCTGCGACCTCTGGACAGCGGTGGCAGCGGCGGCGGACCCACTTGTGGTCTGACGGCGGGGCAGCTGGAGGCTCTTTTGCTGGCGGCACCTGCGCTCGTGCACGTTGACCAGGCCGCTCGGGCACACCGCCCCGACACGATGCGTTACGCTGCAGGTAGCAAGAGCGGCGGCAACGACGACGGCAGCGCCAGTGGTTGTTCGAACTGCGATGACACGGGAGGACTGCGGGCTCCACTTGCACTACTGCGGCTTTCCAGGTCTGCTGACGGCATGTTTTGGCGCAACAGCGGCGGCAGCGGCGGCTGCATTGGCGTCACCGGCAGCGGCCCCACCGCTTCCAACCTGGTGGGCTTCCGGCTGGTGTCAGAACTGGTTGGGACGGTGGCGGAACACGGCGTGCTCAGTACCGATGGAGGATCCACTGTCTCGCGCCGAGCGCTATGTTGCCTTGCTTACGCGCTTTCCAAGCGGCAGGGTCACATGCCTACAGCCCATGTCACCAGCCTGTTTGGACGCTTGTACGGAGGGCTCCTGGAGGAGGTTGGAAAGGCCGAATCAGCGGCAGTTACAGGGAGGTCTTCTCGTCTTTCTCCAACGGAGGAGACGAACGATATGAACGCCGCGCCGTCACCGTCACTGACAGCGGCACTTTCGTGGAACACCTTGAACCACTCGGGAGGAGAGGATTTGGATCTGGTGTTGGATCTTGTACGGCTGGCGGCGTGCGGCCGCAACATGTACGACACGGCGTTGTACGAGCTTGCCGAGCGGCGGCTGCTGGAAGCACTTAAGCGTGTTGCAGGTAAGAAGCCGGTTGCGATTTTGGTACGAGAGAGAAAAGTAGGGAAAGGGTTGATAGCACGACGCGCATGTTTGGTGTGACGGTGGGAGAGGAAAGGGCACTATGCAACGTATAATCATCATGAAGATGGAAGGAAAACCCCATCCTTTGTTTGATCTTGTGAATTGCGTGTGACTCCCCTGACTACACTTTGACGTCGTTCTCCCCGCAGCCTCTGGAGATGCCCAGCAATGCGCGGCACTGGTCTCCGCCCTGGACGACGCTGTCTGGGAGGCAGACGGCTGGTTCGGACTGGAAGCCGCGCCCATGCACAACCGCTACAGCGGGGGCAGTAACGGCCGCATGCCAACGCCGACGTCACATGGCGGGGCTGTCGGCGGCTTCGCTGGTGCTGCTGCTGCTGCGGCGGTGGCGCAGAATGCAGGGCCAGCACCCCCCGGGGTGTACAGATTGGGCTGCGGCCCTGCATTGGACGTGGTTTCGGTGCTGGTTGGCGGCTGCTGGGATAGTTCCAGAATGCAGGGCGGCAACGACCACACTTCGAGTGGCAGCAGCAGCAAGCACGGCAACAGCCACCAGCAACAACACCAGCAACGTCAGCTTGCCGAGGTCTTTGCGGGGGTGATTGCTGCTGCAGCACCCGCGCTGCCGTACCACCGCCTGTCCCGAGTACTCGCATGGGCAGCTAGCGGACCGCACGCGCACACCACGAACACGGGCAATAGAGGTGTGTTTGAGGCAGCGACGGCGGCATCGGCCCCCGGACTGCCCCAGTCGTCCGCTTCTTCTGTTGCTGCGCCTTCAGACGGTGCGGTGGTTCGACGCCATCTGAGCGATGCATGGCGCTGCTTGATTGACCGTTGCTTGCTAGGAGCAGGGCGGAGGAGCAGTAGCCGCAACGGTAGCGGCGGCAGTAATACTGAAAGCAACCTAGGAGGTATGCGTGGAGGCGGCATGGATGCGGGTGCTGACTGCTGTCAGAAGGAGGGCAGTTGGGGGACAGCGGCAGCAGTGGCGGGGCAGGCAGCAGGATGGAACACGGCTAGACAAGGGGGGCTTGTTGGGTGTGAGGGCGGTATGGAGGGAGGGGGGCAGGCGGTGCCGCCGGAGGAGGAGGGCGAGATGCTGGATGCGCGCACCGCTGTGCTGTTGATGGCGGTGGGGGAGCAGCTGGGGTGCAGTGACCCACGGGCCACCCAGGCTCTGTCGCTGTTGGTGGAGGCGGCGTTGTTGGGTGAGGCTGAGGCTGGCGGCGGGGTGGTGGGGGTGGAGGTGGGTGCGGTCGTTTAAGAAAACATGGGAGATCACATCCGGGTGATGATCGCAGTTAACATCATGGGGTTGTTTGAGCAATGAACATTGTGAACGCTGGTTGGCATACATTGCTGGCTGTTGGCACATTATTGGGCGTACGGTGCTGCTTCCAGGCTGTGTAATAACTATTTAGGAAACTGACTGAGGTGCCAGTTCTCCGCCGGCCAAGAAAAAACCCTAGCTCCGGCCTGCAACAGAGGGTTTAGGCAGCCCATCTGGGCATTATTACTATATCATGCATTACCTAGTGTGGTGCCGGGATCAGGGTCGGGTTTTGCTCTTTGTGGGCCCTGTTCGCCGTGGCGATGTTGCTGGGGGTTGCTGGGGATACTCGTCGGCTGCTGCCTGGAGGTGTTTTTGGCTTTCTTGGTCGCCTGCCAACGTTAGATACAGGCCGGAGCTGCAGCTGCGGGGTTTCCGCCCTTGCGGCGGTCTTGCCGTGATTGTAACGCATGACATGTTCATATTCGTACCATTAACAGCGACCCACAGCATTCATGCTTTACATGCGACTCAACTGTACGGCTGGATGGCATGCATCCTCCCAAGTAAACACTACACACGCATGTACGTGCACAAATGCCACATTTGCCCCGTTTCATTCATCATATGCCCTGCGTCCAGCAGGTTGTCTCTACCCCCGCACACCTCTCTCTCTACCCCCGCATACCCTCAGGTGCCATTCCTCCCCAATGGGCCGCCCAGGAAGACCGCTAGCTGCAAGCTCTGGCCCGCATCAGAGGGTTTAAGCAGCCCATCTAGGTTTTTATTATTATATCATGCATTAGGTGCCGTACGGCAACTCGCCCTCCCCCCCCTCACCTCGGACCCAAGAGGTGGTCACTGCTCAACCCGCAACCGATCAACAGTCCAACAACGGACTGCCCAACCGAATGCAATCAACAGCCCAACAACAATTGTAACAAAACGCCATTATTACCATGCATGTGTGTGTAGTTGAGTTGGATGGCGCATCAACAGCGCGCATCAACAACATCCTCCTGCGACCCGTGGGTCATGTGTAACGTACCCGAGTCACTGCCGCTGTGCTCCCCCACCCCCTCGTTCATCAACCCACAGCGGGCAGATCCAAACCCGCAGCTAGCTAGGACCTCTACGCAAGCCATGTAGTCCTCAGCCCTCAACCACAAGGGAGACATGGCTGCTGGTACTGCCGCCACCGTCGCCACCGCCTCCGCAGCAGCAGCAGCCCTCTCCGCTGCCTCCTTGCCTTCACAGCTTGAGGTCGAGTTGGGCTAGCTGGGCGGTACTCGGCGGGGTCTGCATGTGGGAGGGGAGGGGAGGCAGGGGCAGGGGGCACCCGGGTCACCGGGCAGCCCTTCCCTGTGTAGCCGCCCACCACCACCTCACCAACCCACACCCCTCCGCATCTGAACCGCACTGGCATTCATCCCCACCCAGCCAAGCAACCGCGGCCCCCGGTCCCCGCCCGACCCACGGGTCATCACCTCCCGTCCTCCTCCCTACGCACCTGCACCCTGCCCAGCAGCTCCCTCACTCTCGCCGGATCCCCCGTTGGTGCCTGGCAGGTGAAGCACTGGCAGATGAAGGCGGTGGCGGCGGGGGGGATGGTGCTGGAGGCGGCGGCAGAGGCGGGTGCTGCGAAGTGTGCTGCCACCATATCGTGCACGGAGGGGTTGTGTGCCGCCCAGAACTGCATGTCCCGTGGGTCGGCCGGATCCAAAAGCAGCACCACCTGGGCGGGCAGGGGGACGGGGGGGTGGGAGAGGTGGCGGGGGGGATCGGAGAGGTGGCGGGTGGTGGCGGGGAGGGGGGTGGGAGACGAAGTGGGAGAGGTGGCGGGAGGTAAGGATGGTATGACGGGGCGGTATGACGGGGCGGTAGGGGGCTAGGTGTAAAGCGGAACAAGAACCCTCCTATTGCAGACGTTGCAGTACGTGGTGCAGCAACAGAGGGTGCGTGTAGGTCCGATGCACATGAGGGTAGCGGTTGGAGGCGGTTGGGCGGTTAGGCATTGTTGGATGTACGGCACATACCTTGTCCGGGCAGTAGCACGAGTGTACGGCATCCAGCAGGGCGGAGGTGTCTGGGGCGCCTGGCTGGCCGGCGATGATGACCTGTGCGTGTATGGGGGGGAAGCATGGGAGCGGGGGGGCGGGTAGAGGGGGTGGGTGGAGGCGGGAGAAGGGATGCAGGGGGTATAAGAGATAACCCACATCATCTGATGATGGGAGTGACATCACGACAGCGGCGCACTACCGTACGTGGGTCCTTGGGTTTGGGTAATCGTAATTACACAATCTTGTGCGGGTTGTGCCATGCGACACGTGTAAGCACGAGGGGCTCGCAAGGCTGGAACTCCTCCCGTGCGGAGTGCAGCTGGCAGAGCAATGACGGGAGCACTTAAAGGGTTCGTGAAGAAGTGGCGTCCACATGGCATCGGCAATTCGAAGTCACCGAAGCAGCAATCGCCTCGCTCCCAAAGCAGCATTTGCTTTCTCTCGCGCCGTGACCCACGGGTCACTCGCCATTCTGCATGTCAACCACCCCACCTGGCGAAACGGGCGCTTGCTGAGGCTGTGCGCGGCGCAACACAGCTGAGGCACCGACAGAGGCGACTGAGCCAGGCGGGAGGAGAAGTCAGCCAGGGTGCGGTTGGCGGTTTCATCGTACGACATCAGCTGTTCACCGTGGGGGTGTTGCTGGGGGTTGCTGGGGATACTCATCGGTTGGTTGCCTGGAGGTGTTTTCGGCTTTCCTTGTCGCCTGCCAACGTTAGGTACAGGCCGGAGCTGCGGGGTTTCTGCCCTTGTGGCGGTCTTGCCATGATTGTAATGCATGGCGTGTTCATATTCGTACCATTAACAGCGACCCACAGCACTAATGCTTTGCATTCGACTCAAGTGTACGGCTGGATGGCATGCATTCTCCCAAGTAAACACTACACACGCACGTGCACAAATGCCACACTTGCCCCCTTACTTACAGCAGATGCCCTGCGTGCAGCAGGTTGTCTCTACCCCCGCACACCTCTCTCTCTCTCTACCCCCGCATACCCCCATCCTCCCCAATGGCCGCCCAAGAAGACCGCTAGCTGCTAGCTCTTGCCCGCATCATAGGGTTTAAGCAGCCCATCTAGGTTTTTATTATATCATGCATTAGGTGCCGTACGGCAACTCGCCCTCACCCCCCTCACCTCGGACCCAAGAGGCGGTCATAGCTTGACAGGCAACCGAATGCAATCAACAGCCCAACAACGAACTGCCAACGAACTGCCCAACTGTAACACAACGCCATTATTACCATGTATGTATGTATGTGTGCATATTGTATTCATGTATGGGAGTCGGATGGCGCATCAACAGCGCGCATCAACAACATCCTCGTGCGACCCGTGGGTCATGTGTGTCACATACCCAAAACACAGCCGCTGTGCTCCCCCACCCCCTCGTTCGGCAACTCACAGCGGCCAGAGCCAAACCCCCAGAAGCTAGGTAGGACCTCTACACAAGCCATGCAGAGCCAACCCCCCATCATGACAGCTGCCTCCTCAGACCTCGCTCAACACGTGGTTGCTTTCACTGCCGCCACCGCCTCCGCAGCAGCAGCAGCAGCCCTCTCCGCTGCCTCCTTGCCTTCACAGCTTGAGGTCGAGTTGGGCTAGCTGCGCGGTACTCGGCGGGGTCTGCATGTGCATTGGGAGGGCAGGCAGGAGCAGGGCGCACCCGGGTCAAGGGGCAGCCCTCAGCTGTGATGTCGTACAATGGAACCGCCAATCGCACCCTGGCTGACTTCTCCTCCCGCCTGAGCCAGTCGCCTCTGCCGTACGGCAGGCAGCAGTACCAGCAGCGGTAGCAGCGGTAGCAGTAGCACCCCCCGTTGCAGCAGCAGCGGCTGTAGCAGCAGTGGCAGTGGAGGAGGTTGTTGTTGGGACGGTTGGTCGTTGCGGTAGCATTTCCGCTAGTCTGAGGAGGTTGGCGGCGGCGAGGGAGGAGGCGGCGGGTTCGGCTCCGTCGTAGTCGTCCTGAGAGGGGAAGGAGGAGGAGGGGCAATGAGGCAGTGAGAGGAAGGCAAATGAGCGGATTGGTAAAGTGGGAAGCCGCATTGGGGGGGATAATAGATACCTACAACAACGCAGAGGGGCGTACAGAGGCGGAGAAGAACAATTCAACAAACACAGTACGTTCGACTCGCAGCCAGGGTTCTCAACAGCACGCCACCATCCTGCCCCCCCGCCCACCTTGATGCGGATGCGTATGGACGGGTCGGCGCCAGGGGAGGCGGGGTGCGGGGTGGCGAAGTAGCCGCCCGACTGCTCGTCCCAAAACAACTCGTCCTGGACCGCCTGGGGGGAGCAGTAACGAGGGGAGGGAGCGAGGGAGGGACGTCAGGTAAGCGTTTCCATACAAAAACACACCTGGAATGCAGCTGTACCACACCCCACAGCTGTACGACATTCTGTTGTCCCAAACCCCCCCCTCCCCTCCCGTCCCCTCCCCCTCCCCCCCACCTGCAGCTGTACTGCCCACTCCAGCCACTGCCGCCCGCCGCCGCACTCGAACAAGTCCAACAGCCCCGAAACGAGGGCCGCGTAGTCGTCAGCGAACCCTGGGGGTGTGGGTGGGGTGGGGTAAGGATAAACGGGCCGGGAGCATTGTATTGGTGGGGTGCGGTGGAGGGCTGGGGCCTCGCACCTTGCCGTTCCCTGAGGGCCTGTTTTAGGGGACCCACACCACCGCTCGCATCTTGTGAGCAATACATACCGGTATCTGGACAGCTGTCCATGCAGCCGAACAACCCCACTCGTCACCTCCTCCCCCTTCCTCCCCCCCCTGCCGCCTCCTACCCCCATTGCTTTGCCCTGACCTGTGGATTCACTTGGTTTGGTGTGGTGTCTTTCTCCCCCCCCCCCTCTCCCCCCTGCCGTACCCTGTACTGCGGAGGGCTGTCCCCGGCAGTAGCTCCGCCGCAGCCTGCCGTCCAGCCACAGGTGCTGTCGTACGAAGCCCGCGATCCGCTGTGCGGTGGCCAGGTAGTGGGCGGGGGGGCGGCCCTCGGAGGGGAAGAGGCGCTGGACCTGCGAGGGGGTGGGGTGGAGGGGGGGGGCATGATGGGGGGAAGAGCCTGATGAGGAGGGGTTTGAAGTAAGGAGAAACTGACGAGGCAACCAACGAGCTCTATGATGCGGGGGGGGAGATACGAGTGAATGGCGTGGTTACGGCGTAAGGTCCCAACCCTATGTACGGCATTACTGTGTATGGCATTGCATCACCACACATGTACGGCATTGCTGGCCAGTACGGCCCCGTACTGGCCAGCAATGCCGTACATGTGTGGTGGTGCAATGCCGTACACAGTAATGCCGTACATGTGTGGTAGTGCAATGCCGTACACAGTAATGCCGTACATGTGTGGTCAGAATGTCTTTCTGAGCTTTCTAGAACTGGACAAGCCCCCAGGACCATACTCGTATCCCCAACCCACTACTGTCGGCCCTCCGTCGCAACATCAAGACACGCAACTCCTCATCGGCGAGCATGTGAGCGGGGGTGGGTAGAGGGGGTGGGTGGAGGAGGGAGAAGGGAGGGAGGGGGTTGCAGGGCGTTATAAGAGACAACCCACATCATCCAATGACGGGAGTGACATCACAACAGCGGCACACTACCGTACGTGGGGCCTTGGGTATTCGTATTTACACAACCGTGTGCCATGCAAGACGTGTGAGCATGAGGGGCTCGCAAGGTTGGGACTCCGTGACCCACGGGTCACTCGTCACTCTGCACGCCAACCACCCCACCTGTCGGAACGGGCGCTTGCTGAGGCTGTGCGCGGCGCATTTGGTTGGTCGGTTGGTCGTTGCGGGAGCATTTCCGCTAGCCTGAGGAGGTTGGCGGCGGCGAGGGAGGAGGCGGCGGGTTCGGCTCCGTCGTAGTCGTCCTGAGAGGGGAAGGAGGAGGAGGGGCAATGAGGCAGTGAGAGGAAGGCAAATGAGCGGATTGGTAAAGTGGGAAGCCGCATTGGGGGGGATAATAGATACCTACAACAACGCAGAGGGGCGTACAGAGGCGGAGAAGAACAATTCAACAAACACAGTACGTTCGACTCGCAGCCAGGGTTCTCAACAGCACGCCACCATCCTGCCCCCCCGCCCACCTTGATGCGGATGCGTATGGACGGGTCGGCGCCAGGGGAGGCGGGCAGCGGGGAGGCGAAGTAGCCGCCCGACTGCTCGTCCCAAAACAACTCGTCCTGGACCGCCTGCGAGGGGCAGTAACGAGGGGAGGGAGGGAGGGAGGGACGTCAGGTAAGCGTTTCCATACAAAAACACACCTGGACTGCAGCTGTACGACACCCCACAGCTGTACGACATTCTGTTGTCCCAAATCCCAGCCCCCCCACCTGCAGCTGCACCGCCCACTCCAGCCACTGCCGCCCGCCGCCGCACTCAAACAGGTCCAACAGCCCCGAAACGAGGGCCGCGTAGTCGTCAGCGAACCCTGGGGGTGTGGGTGGGGTGGGGTAAGGATAAACGGGCCGCGAGCATTGTATTGGTGGGGTGCGGTGGAGGGCTGGGGCCTCGCACCTTGCCGTTCCCTGAGGGCCTGTTTTAGGGGACCCACACCACCGCTCGCATCTTGTGAGCAATACATACCGGTATCTGGACAGCTGTCCATGCAGCCGAACAACCCCACTCGTCACCTCCTCCCCCTTCCTCCCCCCCCTGCCGCCTCCTACCCACATTGCTTTGCCCTGACCTGTGGATTCACTTGGTTTGGTGTGGTGTCTTTCTCCCCCCCCTCTCCCCCCTGCCGTACCCTGTACTGCGGAGGGCTGTCCCCGGCAGTAGCTCCGCCGCAGCCTGCCGTCCAGCCACAGGTGCTGTCGTACGAAGCCCGCGATCCGCTGTGCGGTGGCCAGGTAGTGGGCGGGGGGGCGGCCCTCGGAGGGGAAGAGGCGCTGGACCTGCGAGGGGGTGGGGTGGAGGGGGGGGGGCATGATGAGGGGAAGAGCCTGATGAGGAGGGGTTTGAAGTAAGGAGAAACTGACGAGGCAACCAACGAGCTCTATGATGCGGGGGGGGAGATACGAGTGAATGGCGTGGTTACGGCGTAAGGTCCCAACCCTATGTACGGCATTACTGTGTATGGCATTGCATCACCACACATGTACGGCATTGCTGGCCAGTACGGCCCCGTACTGGCCAGCAATGCCGTACATGTGTGGTGGTGCAATGCCGTACACAGTAATGCCGTACATGTGTGGTAGTGCAATGCCGTACACAGTAATGCCGTACATGTGTGGTCAGAATGTCTTTCTGAGCTTTCTAGAACTGGACAAGCCCCCAGGACCATACTCGTATCCCCAACCCACTACTGTCGGCCCTCCGTCGCAACATCAAGACACGCAACTCCTCATCGGCGAGCATGTGAGCGGGGGTGGGTAGAGGGGGTGGGTGGAGGAGGGAGAAGGGAGGGAGGGGGTTGCAGGGCGTTATAAGAGACAACCCACATCATCCAATGACGGGAGTGACATCACAACAGCGGCACACTACCGTACGTGGGGCCTTGGGTATTCGTATTTACACAACCGTGTGCCATGCAAGACGTGTGAGCATGAGGGGCTCGCAAGGTTGGGACTCCGTGACCCACGGGTCACTCGTCACTCTGCCCACCAACCACCCACCTGGCGAAACGGGCGCTTGCTGAGGCTGTGCGCGGCGCATTTGGTTGGTCGGTTGGTCGTTGCGGGAGCATTTCCGCTAGCCTGAGGAGGTTGGCGGCGGCGAGGGAGGAGGCGGCGGGTTCGGCTCCGTCGTAGTCGTCCTGAGGTGGAGGAGGGGCAATGAGGAAGAGAAGGAGAGGGATAGTGGAAGGGCAAGGGAGGTACGAGGCGAGCAACGTAGGAGGGAGGCAGGGAGATCAGATCAAGTCGACCCGGGCGCACGTCAAAGTCGCGGACAGAGCTAGGCAAGAAAATTGGCAGCGAATTGCGGCGGGATCCGGCGGGCGCACGTAGTTGTCACGGACCATGGACAAAGCTAGCTACCGTAGTATTCATCTTCAGCCCATATGGCTAGCAAGCGAGCATCGGAATGGGTTCTTACCTGGAGGGTGATCGGGCGGGCGAGTTCTAGAGGTATCTGAGAAGTCTCCCTGGGCGATATAATAAAGACGTCTTTTCAGAAACTGCAGATATCAATTACAACTTCATAGCATACTATACCACCCAGTACCATTTCCGCTTTCAGCACTATACCACCCAGTACCATTTCCGCTTTCAGCTGAAGTTGTTATTGATATCTGCAGTTTCTGAAGAGACGTCTTTATTATATCGGAATGGAGGTGTAAAGGGTGTAAAGGGTGATGGAAATAAGGAAAGCTGACGAACTGGATGACGTGGCTTCACCATGAGGAAATAGCAAAGGGGAAGCACCCACCTTCACGGCAGCCGAGGGTCAGACCCACAGACCGTGAAACTACAAGTTCTTCTGCAGGCCTTCTCCTGCTGTGCAGCCAGGTGGATTCGTACGCAAAATGTTAGCTACTCCTAAGCGCCGCATGAAGACGCAGAATACTTTGTTGAATGTGACGGCGGGAGGGTGTTTAAGGGTGAGGATGCCCCTCTCCCGCCGGGGCGATTGCCAGCCATAGCTCACCGGCTGGGATCAGCCGTGACAAGGCCCTTTGTACTGCCGTAAATAATAGGTGATTGGAATGGACACATGGGTCATCAAGCCAGTTCGCGACGACGGCAGGTCCTCCTCCTTCGGTGTAGTTGTTGACTATGGGTTCATTCTGCCTGTTTTTTTTACGCTGATGCACCTGCCTATCTCAACCCCCGCATACCCCCGGTGCCATTTCTCTGCCGGCCAAGAAAAACCCTAGTCCGGCCTGGTTTAGGCAACCCATCTGGGTATTATTAATATATCATGCATAGATGCATTACCTGGTGTGGTGCCGGGATTTGGGTCGGTTTTTGCCTCCTTGTGGGCCCTGTTCACCGTGGGGGTGTTGCTGGGGGTTGCTGGGGATACTCATCGGTTGGTTGCCTGGAGGTGTTTTTGGCTTTCCGTGTCGCCTGCCAACGTTAGGTACAGGCCGGAGCTGCGGGGTTTCCGCCCTTGCGGCGGTCTTGCCGTGATTGTAATGCGTGACGTGTTCATATTCGTACCATTAACAGCGACCCACAGCACTAATGCTTTGCATTCGACTCAAGTGTACGGCTGGATGGCATGCATTCTCCCAAGTAAACACTACACACGCACGTGCACAAATGCCACACTTGCCCCCTTACTTACAGCAGATGCCCTGCGTGCAGCAGGTTGTCTCTACCCCCGCACACTTCTCTCTCTCTCTACCCCCGCATACCCCCATCCTCCCCAATGGCCGCCCAAGAAGACCGCTAGCTGCTAGCTCTTGCCCGCATCATAGGGTTTAAGCAGCCCATCTAGGTTTTTATTATATCATGCATTATTAGGTGCCGTACGGCAACTCGCCCTCACCCCCCTCACCTCGGACCCAAGAGGCGGTCATAGCTTGACAGGCAACCGAATGCAATCAACAGCCCAACAACGAACTGCCAACGAACTGCCCAACTGTAACACAACGCCATTATTACCATGTATGTATGTATGTGTGCATATTGTATTCATGTATGGGAGTTGGATGGCGCATCAACAGCGCGCATCAACAACATCCTCGTGCGACCCGTGGGTCATGTGTGTCACATACCCAAAACACAGCCGCTGTGCTCCCCCACCCCCTCGTTCGGCAACTCACAGCGGCCAGAGCCAAACCCCCAGAAGCTAGGTAGGACCTCTACACAAGCCATGCAGACCCAACCCCCCATCATGACAGCTGCCTCCTCAGACCTCGCTCAACACGTGGTTGCTTTCACTGCCGCCACCGCCTCCGCAGCAGCAGCAGCAGCAGCCCTCTCCGCTGCCTCCTTGCCATCACAGCTTGAGGTCGAGTTGGGCTAGCTGCGCGGTACTCGGCGGGGTCTGCATGTGCATTGGGAGGGGAGGCAGGAGCAGGGGGCACCCGGGTCACCGGGCAGCCCTTCCCTGTGGAGCCGCCCACCAGCACCTCACCAACCCACACCCCTCCGCACCTGAACCGCACTGGCATTCATCCCCACCCAGCCAAGCAACCGCGGCCCCCCGGTCCCCGCCCGACCCACGGGTCATCACCTCCCGCCCTCCTCCCTCCTCCCTCCGCACCTGCACCCTGCCCAGCAGCTCCCTCACTCTCGCCGGATCCCCCGTTGGCGCCTGGCAGGTGAAGCACTGGCAGATGAAGGCGGTGGCGGCGGGGGGGATGGTGCTGGAGGCGGGTGCTGCGAAGTGCGCTGCCACCATATCGTGCACGGAGGGGTTGTGTGCCGCCCAGAACTGCATGTCCCGTGGGTCGGCCGGGTCCAAAAGCAGCACCACCTGGGCGGGCAGGGGGACGGGGGGGTGGGAGAGGTGGCGGGGGGGATCGGAGAGGTGGCGGGTGGTGGCGGGGAGGGGGGTGGGAGACGAAGTGGGAGAGGTGGCGGGAGGTAAGGATGGTATGACGGGGCGGTATGACGGGGCGGTAGGGGGCTAGGTGTAAAGCGGAACAAGAACCCTCCTATTGCAGACGTTGCAGTACGTGGTGCAGCAACAGAGGGTGCGTGTAGGTCCGATGCACATGAGGGCGGCGGTTGGAGGCGGTTGGGCGGTTAGGCATTGTTGGATGTACGGCACATACCTTGTCCGGGCAGTAGCACGAGTGTACGGCATCCAGCAGGGCGGAGGTGTCTGGGGCGCCTGGCTGGCCGGCGATGATGACCTGTGCGTGTATGGGGGGGAAGCATGGGAGCGGGGGGGCGGGTAGAGGGGGTGGGTGGAGGCGGGAGAAGGGATGCAGGGGGTATAAGAGACAACCCACATCATCTGATGATGGGAGTGACATCACGACAGCGGCTCACTACCGTACGTGGGTCCTTGGGTTTGGGTAATCGTAATTACACAATCTTGTGCGGGTTGTGCCATGCGACACGTGTAAGCACGAGGGGCTCGCAAGGCTGGAACTCCTCCCGTGCGGAGTGCAGCTGGCAGAGCAATGACGGGAGCACTTAGGGGCTTCGTGAAGAAGTGGCGTCCACATGGCATCGGCAATTCGAAGTCACCGAAGCAGCAATCGCCTCGCTCCCAAAGCAGCATTTGCTTTCTCTCGCGCCGTGACCCACGGGTCACTCGCCATTCTGCATGTCAACCACCCCACCTGGCGAAACGGGCGCTTGCTGAGGCTGTGCGCGGCGCAACACAGCTGAGGCACCGACAGAGGCGACTGAGCCAGGCGGGAGGAGAAGGCGGCCAGGGTGCGGTTGGCGGTTTCATCGTACGACATCAGCTGTTCACCGTGGGGGTGTTGCTGGGGGTTGCTGGGGATACTCATCGGTTGGTTGCCTGGAGGTGTTTTCGGCTTTCCTTGTCGCCTGCCAACGTTAGGTACAGGCCGGAGCTGCGGGGTTTCTGCCCTTGTGGCGGTCTTGCCATGATTGTAATGCATGGCGTGTTCATATTCGTACCATTAACAGCGACCCACAGCACTAATGCTTTGCATTCGACTCAAGTGTACGGCTGGATGGCATGCATTCTCCCAAGTAAACACTACACACGCACGTGCACAAATGCCACACTTGCCCCCTTACTTACAGCAGATGCCCTGCGTGCAGCAGGTTGTCTCTACCCCCGCACACCTCTCTCTCTCTCTACCCCCGCATACCCCCATCCTCCCCAATGGCCGCCCAAGAAGACCGCTAGCTGCTAGCTCTTGCCCGCATCATAGGGTTTAAGCAGCCCATCTAGGTTTTTATTATATCATGCATTAGGTGCCGTACGGCAACTCGCCCTCACCCCCCTCACCTCGGACCCAAGAGGCGGTCATAGCTTGACAGGCAACCGAATGCAATCAACAGCCCAACAACGAACTGCCAACGAACTGCCCAACTGTAACACAACGCCATTATTACCATGTATGTATGTATGTGTGCATATTGTATTCATGTATGGGAGTCGGATGGCGCATCAACAGCGCGCATCAACAACATCCTCGTGCGACCCGTGGGTCATGTGTGTCACATACCCAAAACACAGCCGCTGTGCTCCCCCACCCCCTCGTTCGGCAACTCACAGCGGCCAGAGCCAAACCCCCAGAAGCTAGGTAGGACCTCTACACAAGCCATGCAGAGCCAACCCCCCATCATGACAGCTGCCTCCTCAGACCTCGCTCAACACGTGGTTGCTTTCACTGCCGCCACCGCCTCCGCAGCAGCAGCAGCAGCCCTCTCCGCTGCCTCCTTGCCTTCACAGCTTGAGGTCGAGTTGGGCTAGCTGCGCGGTACTCGGCGGGGTCTGCATGTGCATTGGGAGGGCAGGCAGGAGCAGGGCGCACCCGGGTCAAGGGGCAGCCCTCAGCTGTGATGTCGTACAATGGAACCGCCAATCGCACCCTGGCTGACTTCTCCTCCCGCCTGAGCCAGTCGCCTCTGCCGTACGGCAGGCAGCAGTACCAGCAGCGGTAGCAGCGGTAGCAGTAGCACCCCCCGTTGCAGCAGCAGCGGCTGTAGCAGCAGTGGCAGTGGAGGAGGTTGTTGTTGGGACGGTTGGTCGTTGCGGTAGCATTTCCGCTAGTCTGAGGAGGTTGGCGGCGGCGAGGGAGGAGGCGGCGGGTTCGGCTCCGTCGTAGTCGTCCTGAGAGGGGAAGGAGGAGGAGGGGCAATGAGGCAGTGAGAGGAAGGCAAATGAGCGGATTGGTAAAGTGGGAAGCCGCATTGGGGGGGATAATAGATACCTACAACAACGCAGAGGGGCGTACAGAGGCGGAGAAGAACAATTCAACAAACACAGTACGTTCGACTCGCAGCCAGGGTTCTCAACAGCACGCCACCATCCTGCCCCCCCGCCCACCTTGATGCGGATGCGTATGGACGGGTCGGCGCCAGGGGAGGCGGGGTGCGGGGTGGCGAAGTAGCCGCCCGACTGCTCGTCCCAAAACAACTCGTCCTGGACCGCCTGGGGGGAGCAGTAACGAGGGGAGGGAGCGAGGGAGGGACGTCAGGTAAGCGTTTCCATACAAAAACACACCTGGAATGCAGCTGTACCACACCCCACAGCTGTACGACATTCTGTTGTCCCAAACCCCCCCCTCCCCTCCCGTCCCCTCCCCCTCCCCCCCACCTGCAGCTGTACTGCCCACTCCAGCCACTGCCGCCCGCCGCCGCACTCGAACAAGTCCAACAGCCCCGAAACGAGGGCCGCGTAGTCGTCAGCGAACCCTGGGGGTGTGGGTGGGGTGGGGTAAGGATAAACGGGCCGGGAGCATTGTATTGGTGGGGTGCGGTGGAGGGCTGGGGCCTCGCACCTTGCCGTTCCCTGAGGGCCTGTTTTAGGGGACCCACACCACCGCTCGCATCTTGTGAGCAATACATACCGGTATCTGGACAGCTGTCCATGCAGCCGAACAACCCCACTCGTCACCTCCTCCCCCTTCCTCCCCCCCCTGCCGCCTCCTACCCCCATTGCTTTGCCCTGACCTGTGGATTCACTTGGTTTGGTGTGGTGTCTTTCTCCCCCCCCCCCTCTCCCCCCTGCCGTACCCTGTACTGCGGAGGGCTGTCCCCGGCAGTAGCTCCGCCGCAGCCTGCCGTCCAGCCACAGGTGCTGTCGTACGAAGCCCGCGATCCGCTGTGCGGTGGCCAGGTAGTGGGCGGGGGGGCGGCCCTCGGAGGGGAAGAGGCGCTGGACCTGCGAGGGGGTGGGGTGGAGGGGGGGGGCATGATGGGGGGAAGAGCCTGATGAGGAGGGGTTTGAAGTAAGGAGAAACTGACGAGGCAACCAACGAGCTCTATGATGCGGGGGGGGAGATACGAGTGAATGGCGTGGTTACGGCGTAAGGTCCCAACCCTATGTACGGCATTACTGTGTATGGCATTGCACCACCACACATGTACGGCATTGCTGGCCAGTACGGCCCCGTACTGGCCAGCAATGCCGTACATGTGTGGTGGTGCAATGCCGTACACAGTAATGCCGTACATGTGTGGTAGTGCAATGCCGTACACAGTAATGCCGTACATGTGTGGTCAGAATGTCTTTCTGAGCTTTCTAGAACTGGACAAGCCCCCAGGACCATACTCGTATCCCCAACCCACTACTGTCGGCCCTCCGTCGCAACATCAAGACACGCAACTCCTCATCGGCGAGCATGTGAGCGGGGGTGGGTAGAGGGGGTGGGTGGAGGAGGGAGAAGGGAGGGAGGGGGTTGCAGGGCGTTATAAGAGACAACCCACATCATCCAATGACGGGAGTGACATCACAACAGCGGCACACTACCGTACGTGGGGCCTTGGGTATTCGTATTTACACAACCGTGTGCCATGCAAGACGTGTGAGCATGAGGGGCTCGCAAGGTTGGGACTCCGTGACCCACGGGTCACTCGTCACTCTGCCCACCAACCACCCACCTGGCGAAACGGGCGCTTGCTGAGGCTGTGCGCGGCGCATTTGGTTGGTCGGTTGGTCGTTGCGGGAGCATTTCCGCTAGCCTGAGGAGGTTGGCGGCGGCGAGGGAGGAGGCGGCGGGTTCGGCTCCGTCGTAGTCGTCCTGAGGTGGAGGAGGGGCAATGAGGAAGAGAAGGAGAGGGATAGTGGAAGGGCAAGGGAGGTACGAGGCGAGCAACGTAGGAGGGAGGCAGGGAGATCAGATCAAGTCGACCCGGGCGCACGTCAAAGTCGCGGACAGAGCTAGGCAAGAAAATTGGCAGCGAATTGCGGCGGGATCCGGCGGGCGCACGTAGTTGTCACGGACCATGGACAAAGCTAGCTACCGTAGTATTCATCTTCAGCCCATATGGCTAGCAAGCGAGCATCGGAATGGGTTCTTACCTGGAGGGTGATCGGGCGGGCGAGTTCTAGAGCTATCTGAGAAGTCTCCCTGGGCGATATAATAAAGACGTCTTTTCAGAAACTGCAGATATCAATTACAACTTCATAGCATACTATACCACCCAGTACCATTTCCGCTTTCAGCACTATACCACCCAGTACCATTTCCGCTTTCAGCTGAAGTTGTTATTGATATCTGCAGTTTCTGAAGAGACGTCTTTATTATATCGGAATGGAGGTGTAAAGGGTGTAAAGGGTGATGGAAATAAGGAAAGCTGACGAACTGGATGACGTGGCTTCACCATGAGGAAATAGCAAAGGGGAAGCACCCACCTTCACGGCAGCCGAGGGTCAGACCCACAGACCGTGAAACTACAAGTTCTTCTGCAGGCCTTCTCCTGCTGTGCAGCCAGGTGGATTCGTACGCAAAATGTTAGCTACTCCTAAGCGCCGCATGAAGACGCAGAATACTTTGTTGAATGTGACGGCGGGAGGGTGTTTAAGGGTGAGGATGCCCCTCTCCCGCCGGGGCGATTGCCAGCCATAGCTCACCGGCTGGGATCAGCCGTGACAAGGCCCTTTGTACTGCCGTAAATAATAGGTGATTGGAATGGACACATGGGTCATCAAGCCAGTTCGCGACGACGGCAGGTCCTCCTCCTTCGGTGTAGTTGTTGACTATGGGTTCATTCTGCCTGTTTTTTTTACGCTGATGCACCTGCCTATCTCAACCCCCGCATACCCCCGGTGCCATTTCTCTGCCGGCCAAGAAAAACCCTAGTCCGGCCTGGTTTAGGCAACCCATCTGGGTATTATTAATATATCATGCATAGATGCATTACCTGGTGTGGTGCCGGGATTTGGGTCGGTTTTTGCCTCCTTGTGGGCCCTGTTCACCGTGGGGGTGTTGCTGGGGGTTGCTGGGGATACTCATCGGTTGGTTGCCTGGAGGTGTTTTTGGCTTTCCGTGTCGCCTGCCAACGTTAGGTACAGGCCGGAGCTGCGGGGTTTCCGCCCTTGCGGCGGTCTTGCCGTGATTGTAATGCGTGACGTGTTCATATTCGTACCATTAACAGCGACCCACAGCACTAATGCTTTGCATTCGACTCAAGTGTACGGCTGGATGGCATGCATTCTCCCAAGTAAACACTACACACGCACGTGCACAAATGCCACACTTGCCCCCTTACTTACAGCAGATGCCCTGCGTGCAGCAGGTTGTCTCTACCCCCGCACACCTCTCTCTCTCTCTACCCCCGCATACCCCCATCCTCCCCAATGGCCGCCCAAGAAGACCGCTAGCTGCTAGCTCTTGCCCGCATCATAGGGTTTAAGCAGCCCATCTAGGTGTTTATTATATCATGCATTATTAGGTGCCGTACGGCAACTCGCCCTCACCCCCCTCACCTCGGACCCAAGAGGCGGTCATAGCTTGACAGGCAACCGAATGCAATCAACAGCCCAACAACGAACTGCCAACGAACTGCCCAACTGTAACACAACGCCATTATTACCATGTATGTATGTATGTGTGCATATTGTATTCATGTATGGGAGTCGGATGGCGCATCAACAGCGCGCATCAACAACATCCTCGTGCGACCCGTGGGTCATGTGTGTCACATACCCAAAACACAGCCGCTGTGCTCCCCCACCCCCTCGTTCGGCAACTCACAGCGGCCAGAGCCAAACCCCCAGAAGCTAGGTAGGACCTCTACACAAGCCATGCAGACCCAACCCCCCATCATGACAGCTGCCTCCTCAGACCTCGCTCAACACGTGGTTGCTTTCACTGCCGCCACCGCCTCCGCAGCAGCAGCAGCAGCAGCCCTCTCCGCTGCCTCCTTGCCATCACAGCTTGAGGTCGAGTTGGGCTAGCTGCGCGGTACTCGGCGGGGTCTGCATGTGCATTGGGAGGGGAGGCAGGAGCAGGGGGCACCCGGGTCACCGGGCAGCCCTTCCCTGTGGAGCCGCCCACCAGCACCTCACCAACCCACACCCCTCCGCACCTGAACCGCACTGGCATTCATCCCCACCCAGCCAAGCAACCGCGGCCCCCCGGTCCCCGCCCGACCCACGGGTCATCACCTCCCGCCCTCCTCCCTCCTCCCTCCGCACCTGCACCCTGCCCAGCAGCTCCCTCACTCTCGCCGGATCCCCCGTTGGCGCCTGGCAGGTGAAGCACTGGCAGATGAAGGCGGTGGCGGCGGGGGGGATGGTGCTGGAGGCGGGTGCTGCGAAGTGCGCTGCCACCATATCGTGCACGGAGGGGTTGTGTGCCGCCCAGAACTGCATGTCCCGTGGGTCGGCCGGGTCCAAAAGCAGCACCACCTGGGCGGGCAGGGGGACGGGGGGGTGGGAGAGGTGGCGGGGGGGATCGGAGAGGTGGCGGGTGGTGGCGGGGAGGGGGGTGGGAGACGAAGTGGGAGAGGTGGCGGGAGGTAAGGATGGTATGACGGGGCGGTATGACGGGGCGGTAGGGGGCTAGGTGTAAAGCGGAACAAGAACCCTCCTATTGCAGACGTTGCAGTACGTGGTGCAGCAACAGAGGGTGCGTGTAGGTCCGATGCACATGAGGGCGGCGGTTGGAGGCGGTTGGGCGGTTAGGCATTGTTGGATGTACGGCACATACCTTGTCCGGGCAGTAGCACGAGTGTACGGCATCCAGCAGGGCGGAGGTGTCTGGGGCGCCTGGCTGGCCGGCGATGATGACCTGTGCGTGTATGGGGGGGAAGCATGGGAGCGGGGGGGCGGGTAGAGGGGGTGGGTGGAGGCGGGAGAAGGGATGCAGGGGGTATAAGAGACAACCCACATCATCTGATGATGGGAGTGACATCACGACAGCGGCGCACTACCGTACGTGGGTCCTTGGGTTTGGGTAATCGTAATTACACAATCTTGTGCGGGTTGTGCCATGCGACACGTGTAAGCACGAGGGGCTCGCAAGGCTGGAACTCCTCCCGTGCGGAGTGCAGCTGGCAGAGCAATGACGGGAGCACTTAGGGGCTTCGTGAAGAAGTGGCGTCCACATGGCATCGGCAATTCGAAGTCACCGAAGCAGCAATCGCCTCGCTCCCAAAGCAGCATTTGCTTTCTCTCGCGCCGTGACCCACGGGTCACTCGCCATTCTGCATGTCAACCACCCCACCTGGCGAAACGGGCGCTTGCTGAGGCTGTGCGCGGCGCAACACAGCTGAGGCACCGACAGAGGCGACTGAGCCAGGCGGGAGGAGAAGGCGGCCAGGGTGCGGTTGGCGGTTTCATCGTACGACATCAGCTGTTCACCGTGGGGGTGTTGCTGGGGGTTGCTGGGGATACTCATCGGTTGGTTGCCTGGAGGTGTTTTCGGCTTTCCTTGTCGCCTGCCAACGTTAGGTACAGGCCGGAGCTGCGGGGTTTCTGCCCTTGTGGCGGTCTTGCCATGATTGTAATGCATGGCGTGTTCATATTCGTACCATTAACAGCGACCCACAGCACTAATGCTTTGCATTCGACTCAAGTGTACGGCTGGATGGCATGCATTCTCCCAAGTAAACACTACACACGCACGTGCACAAATGCCACACTTGCCCCCTTACTTACAGCAGATGCCCTGCGTGCAGCAGGTTGTCTCTACCCCCGCACACCTCTCTCTCTCTCTACCCCCGCATACCCCCATCCTCCCCAATGGCCGCCCAAGAAGACCGCTAGCTGCTAGCTCTTGCCCGCATCATAGGGTTTAAGCAGCCCATCTAGGTTTTTATTATATCATGCATTAGGTGCCGTACGGCAACTCGCCCTCACCCCCCTCACCTCGGACCCAAGAGGCGGTCATAGCTTGACAGGCAACCGAATGCAATCAACAGCCCAACAACGAACTGCCAACGAACTGCCCAACTGTAACACAACGCCATTATTACCATGTATGTATGTATGTGTGCATATTGTATTCATGTATGGGAGTCGGATGGCGCATCAACAGCGCGCATCAACAACATCCTCGTGCGACCCGTGGGTCATGTGTGTCACATACCCAAAACACAGCCGCTGTGCTCCCCCACCCCCTCGTTCGGCAACTCACAGCGGCCAGAGCCAAACCCCCAGAAGCTAGGTAGGACCTCTACACAAGCCATGCAGAGCCAACCCCCCATCATGACAGCTGCCTCCTCAGACCTCGCTCAACACGTGGTTGCTTTCACTGCCGCCACCGCCTCCGCAGCAGCAGCAGCAGCCCTCTCCGCTGCCTCCTTGCCTTCACAGCTTGAGGTCGAGTTGGGCTAGCTGCGCGGTACTCGGCGGGGTCTGCATGTGCATTGGGAGGGCAGGCAGGAGCAGGGCGCACCCGGGTCAAGGGGCAGCCCTTCCCTGTGGAGCCGCCCACCACCACCTCACCAACCCACACCCCTCCGCACCTGAACCGCACTGGCATTCATCCCCACCCAGCCAAGCAACCGCGGCCCCCCGGTCCCCGCCCGACCCACGGGTCATCACCTCTCGCCCTCCTCCCTCCTCCCTCCGCACCTGCACCCTGCCCAGCAGCTCCCTCACTCTTGCCGGATCCCCCGTTGGCGCCTGGCAGGTGAAGCACTGGCAGATGAAGGCGGTGGCGGCGGGGGGGATGGTGCTGGAGAGGGGAGCGGTGCTGGAGGCGGCGGCAGAGGCGGGTGCTGCGAAGTGCGCCGCCACCATGTGGTGCACGGAGGGGTTGTGTGCCGCCCAGAACCGCATGTCCCGTGGGTCGGCCGGGTCCACCAGCAGCACCACCTGGGGGGAGGTGGGGGGGAGGGAGGGGGGAGGTAAAGGGGGAACTGACGAGCTGTATGACGGGGCTTGTAGGGGGGTCAGGTATAAAGCGGAACAAGAACCCTCCTATTGCAGACGTTGCAGTACGTGGTGCAGCAACAGAGGGTACGTGTAGGTCCGGTGCACATGAGGGCGGCGGTTGGAGGCGGTTGGGCGGTTAGGCGTTGTTGGATGTACGGCACATACCTTGTCCGGGCAGTAGCACGAGTGTACGGCATCCAGCAGGGCGGAGGTGTCCGGGGCGCCTGGCTGGCCCGCGATGATAACCTGTGTGTGTGTATGGGGGGGGGGGCAGGTAGAGGAGGTGGGTGGAGGAGGGAGAAGGGTTACAGGAGGTTGCAGGGGGTTATAACTTATAAGAGACAACCCACATCATCTGATGCCGGGAGTGACGTCACAACAGTGGCGCACTACCGTACGTGGGTCCTTGGGTATTCGTTTTTACACAACCGTGTGCCATGCAAGACGTGTGAGCATGAGGTTGGGACTCGAGCAAGGTTGGGACTCCGTGACCCACGGGTCACTCGTCACCCTGCCCACCAACCACCCACCTGGCGAAACGGGCGCTTGCTGAGGCTGTGCGCGGCGCAACACAGCTGAGGCACCGACAGAGGCGACTGACTGAGGCGGGAGGAGAAGGCGGCCAGGGTGCGGTTGGCGGTTTCGTCGTACGACATGAGCTGTGGTGCCGTACGGCCGGCAGTAGCAGTGGTAGCGACAGTGGAGGAGGTGGTTGTTGAGACGGTTGGTCGTTGCGGTAGCATTTCCGCTAGCCTGAGGAGGTTTGCGGCGGCGAGGGAGGAGGCGGCGGGTTCGGCTCCGTCGTAGTCGTCCTGAGAGGGGAAGGAGGAGGAGGGGCAATGAGGCAGTGAGAGGAAGGCAAATGAGCGGATTGGTAAAGTGGGAAGCCGCATTGGGGGGGGATAATAGGTACCTACAACAACGCAGAGGGGCGTACGGAGGCGGAGAAGAACAATTCAACAAACACAGTACGTTCCGACTCGCAGCCACAGGGTTCTCAACAGCACACCACCGTCCTGCCCCCCCCCCTTACCTTGATGCGGATGCGTATGGACGGGTCGGCGCCCGGCGAGGCGGGGTGCGTGGTTGCGAAGTAGCCGCCCGACTGCTCGTCCCAAAACAACTCATCCTGGACCGCCTGGGGGGAGCAGTAACGAGGGGAGGGAGGGAGGGAGGGACGTCAGGTAAGCGTTTCCATACAAAAACACACCTGGACTGCAGCTGTACGACACCCCACAGCTGTACGACACCCTATCGTCCCAAATCCCAGCCCCCCCACCTATCACACCACACTTTGGAATTTCTTTTTTCCCACCTGCAGCTGCACCGCCCACTCCAGCCACTGCCGCCCGCCGCCGCACTCAAACAGGTCCAACAGCCCCGAAACGAGGGCCGCGTAGTCGTCAGCGAATCCTGGGGGGGGTGGGTGGGGTGGGGGGGGGTAAACGGGCCGCGAGCATTTAGGTGCGGTGGAGGGTTGAGGTGTCACACCTTGCCGTTCCCTGAGGGCCAGTTTCAGGGGGCCCACGCTAACGCTCGCATCTTGTCAGCAACAACCCGGCCTCTGGACAGCTGTCCTTGCAGCAGAACAACCCCACTCGCCACCTCCTCCCCTGCCGCCTCCTATCCCCATTACTTTGCCCCAACCTGTGGATTCCTATGCTTTGGTGCGGTGTCTTTGACCCCCCCCCCTGCCGTACCCTGTACTGCGGAGGGCTGTCCCCGGCAGTAGCTCCGCCGCAGCCTGCCGTCCAGCCACAGGTGCTGTCGTACGAAGCCCGCGATCCGCTGTGCGGTGGCCAGGTAGTGGGCGGGGGGGCGGCCCTCGGAGGGGAAGAGGCGCTGGACCTGGGGGGGGGGTGAGGGGGGGGGGGGGGTGGAGGGGGGGGGGGGTGGAGGGGGGGGGGGGGTGAGAGGGTGGAGGGGTGGAGGGGGGGGGGCATGATGGAGGGGAGAGCCTGATGAGGAGGGGTTAGAAGTAAGGAGAAACTGACGAGGCAACCAACGAGCGCTGTGATGAGGGGGGGGGACGAGTTAATGGGTGTTTTCTGGGTGCTCTGGGTTGAGTGAAGGAGAGGTGCAATACACACACGCACAGAGCACACGGCGTCTGTCAGTCAGCCCGTGTCCTACCAACACACGCCACCAGGGTACGTGCTCCCACACCCTGCCAGCAGACCCTGCAGAGTGCGAGTTGCGACCAGAGACTCGCACGCATGCAGCCACCCCACCCCACCCCACCCCACCCGCCACATGCAGCCCCTCCCCCGCCCCCGCCCCCACCTTGTCCGGCCGCTCCCCCGCCAGCACTCGACCCGCCAGTGCGAATGCGCCGATGGCCAGTCCGTTCCATGCGGTCACAATCTGGGGGGTGGGGGGGGTGGGAGGGGGGTACAAGGGGTAAAGAAGGGCGGGGCCGGGGTAGGGAGTAGGTAGAATGATGGGGAGAGGCGGTTAAGGAGAGGTACCCCCAGAGCTCTCCGACTGCTATTCCCATGAACGCTGCCCCCCGCCTTCACCCGCCACCCCCCTCTCCACCCCTCCACCCCACCTCACCCCCCCCCTTCTTACCTTGTCGTCCAGCGCAGGCCGGGGCCGAGCCGCCCTCACCGCGTGCAGCGCCTCCCGCGCCTCCGCCAGCCACCTCTCCACATCCACCTCCTCCCCGCCTGCCTCCCCTTCCTCCTCCCCCTTCCCAGAGTACGACATCTCCCCTCCCCCTTCCCCTCCCAGTCCCAGCCGCCGAGCCGCCTCCCCGGGCGGTACGGCAAGGTACGGCACATTGAGTCCCTCAAACTCGCCATGCGGGTCGGAGCGGTCGGAGCGGCTGCAGTTGCCTGGGGGGCGGGGGAGGGGGTTGGGAGGAGGTGGTGGTAAGAGGAGGTGTCAGTTGTTGGGACTTGCTTCGCCCTGTTGTGTTATCAAGGAGGGAGGGGGCAGTGGTGGCTTTGTGTCATGGAAACGACACACGTACTGTGTACCAACAAGAGCCAAGCGGGCACAGTCCTAAACCTTGCTGACTGGATGTACTACATACGGTAAGCCGTACAGCTGCCGTACCACCACCTCCAGCCCCCCCCCCTCACCCTCCTCCTCAATGCCGTACACCAAGCAGAAGAGGGCGCCCAGATCCGGACCTAGTACGGCATGGATCTGATGGGGGAGGAGCGGGGGGGGGGGGAGGTGAGGTGGGGTGAGGTGGGGTGGGTTAGGAAGTGAGAGTGGAGAGGTGAGAGAGAAGGAGAGGTCGGCCTTTCAGCCCCACGTTGCGTGCATCCCCCCTGCCTACAGCCCGCCTCCCTCCCTCTTTCCCCCTCCCTCCCCCCGGCATCTCACCTCCCCCACGTCCCATAGGTAGAAGGCGCCCTCCTTCCGCTCCGCCTCCCCCTCCTCCCCTCCCCCTCCTGCTCCTCCTCCCACCCCCACACCCTCGTAACCCCCCGGCTGCCCCTCTTCCTCCTGCAGGCCTCCCCCCTGCCGGCTGGCGACCCGCGGGTCGGGGCTGTCCGCGTCCTCCGCCGAGTAGAGACCGCCCTGGAGAGGGGAGGGGGGAGGGAGGTGAGGTGTGTATCGAGGAAGTGCAGGGGAGTACGGCGGTCTCACAGCACGTTCGGAGCTGCTGCCGGCGCCTTGCACCCCCCTGCCGCCCCTTATTACACCCTTTCATACACTCTCACCCCTCTGCTCCTGCCCCTCCCTCACCCCCTTGCTCCTGCCCCTTCCCTTTCCCCCACCCACCTGCGGCGAGGAGAGGTCTCGTAGTAGGTAGTCCAACACCCCTCGAGCCACCTGGGGGGAGGGGAGGGAAGGGAGTGGGGGCAGGCAGGCAGGGAGTGGAGGCGTACGGATGTAGCGCATGCTGAAGGCCGCCGCTGAATAGCCACGAGCCAGTGACCCGTGGGTCACCCGGCAGACCCTTGCAAACGAACGAACGGACCAACCCCTTTGTATGGCCCCAAGTGAGCCCCTCTGCTGGCCCCCTCTCTGCAGTTGTTGACACAAGCCCTGCCAGAGCACATGCACTGCCACCCCACCCCAAAACACACACACACGCACCCCCCACTCCCCACTCCCCCCACCCTCACCCTGGCATACTGGTCCTCCCCCGTCAGTTGGACTGCCGCCAGGTAGGTGGCGGCCAGCTGGGGGTTGTCGTACAGCATCTTCTCAAAGTGCGGCACGTGCCTGTGTATGGGGGGAGGGGGGAAGGGGGGAGGGGGGAGGGGGCGTGTGTATGTCTGTGTGTGTATGTTGGAAACTGGCCGCGAGTAGGGACGTGTGTATGTGTGTGTAGTTGAGTAGGACAAGAGCAAGCAGTTGGGATAGGTTCGCATGTGAACCGCGAGTACAGGCAAACCAGACAAAAACAGAGGTGACCGAACCTGTTCCATAATTCAAGAAACTGGATGCTGGATGTACGAAGAGTGGCAGGTGACGAGTGACGACGCATGTCGGTGATGCTGATGGTGTCGGAAAAAACTAAAATACTACCGAGAACTAAAGCCCGCTGACCAAACTCGACGCCGGGAGCCCCCGCTCTGGTCACGCGGACTAGACACCACAATGCTGTGCGTGCGTGCGTGCAAACGCGCATGGCGTACCCGCCAATGTCGCGCCGTGTGTATGTGTGTGTATTGCGGGAGTAGGGGGGTGCTAGGCCGTTAACCCGCCCATACGACAGCTGCACTCCCCCTCGTCTCCCCAAACCCCAAACCCCAAACACACACAAACACAAACACACACGCACACGCCAGTTTTCTTAACCCCCACCCCCACCCGCCCACCCCCACCCCCCCACCCACCACAGCTCATCTACTGAGTAGCGGTGGAAGCCGCCCCCAATCTGGTCGTACAGCCCCCCCGCCGCCATGGCGCCCAGCGAGTGCAGCGCCATGCGCCGCAGCCGGCCCGAACCCGCGGTGTCACCCAGCTCCTGGGGGGGATGGGGGAGGGGGGGGGGGCATTGGGGGAGGTGCACAACTTCCGCCGGCAGGAGGGGGGCGAGGGAGAAGTAAGGGCGAGGGAGGAAGGGTGCACATACTGGGCTAAGGGGAGCAGAGGAGGAAGGCTTCCTTGGTTGACAAACGTGCCCTCCCAACCCTAAACCCAGTGTGTGTTAGTGCCGGGTAGCCCCGATGCAAGGTTCGTGCACACGCACACGCGCACTGCTCCCCACCTCCTGGTTGCTTCCCTCTTCCCTCCCCCGCCCCCCAGGGGCAGCACCTCGCCTTGCTTTCCCCTCCCTCCCTCCCCCCCTCCCTCCTCCCTCCCTACCTGGTGCCTCAGCTGCGCGCGCAGCAGCAGGTTCAGCTCGGAGGGTCGCGGGAACTTGGGCGCCCCCCCGAACCCGCCCCACTCCGCATCGTACCGCCGAGCCAGGTCGGCTGCACACGCCTCCACAGCAGCGGCTGCCAGAGCCGGGGAGAAGGGGGTGAAGGTGGAGGAGGAGGAGGAGGAGGGGGAGGCGGAGGAGGAGGGGGGAGAGAGGGGCGCGGCGTCGACGGAGGAGGTGGCGGAGGCGGCGGAGGCGGCGGAGGCGGCAGCGGTGGAGGGTCCGGCGGGGGACGCTTGGTGGTGGTGCTGGTGCTGCTGTTGTCGTGAGGTGGAGGGCTTGTGGGGTGGGTGGGACGGTGGGTGGGGAGCGAGGGCCTCGGTGAGCTGAGCCATGGTTAGGGCGGCCTGCAGGGAGGGGGGGAGGGGAAAGGAGGCGGAGGAGCGGGTTTCGAAGAGCGTGTGTTTTGTTGAGGGGACCGCCAGCCCACAAGCCGTGGAGCCGAGGGCCGCAACCCCGCACCTGTCGTGCGCGGGCCCCCCTCCCACCACCCACCAGGGTGATAGCCAACCCTTACCCCCCTACCCTGTAGCAAGGGTCCCTAAGGGCCTCTCGAGATATCGTAAGGAGCTTTCCCTTTGGGACCCTCTTGTGCACTGGAGGACCCTCCTACACTGCTGCCTTGCTAACCCCCCCGCCCGCCCCCCCCCCACCTTGCCCTTCGGTCAGTTAGTTGTTTCCTCTCCCCCCACTCCTCCCCCCCCACCTTGCCCTTCGGTCAGTTAGTTGTTTCCTCTCCCCCCACTCCTCCCCCCCCACCTTGCCCTTCGGTCAGTTAGTTGTTTCCTCTCCCCCCACTCCTCCCCCCCCACCTTGCCCTTCGGTCAGTTAGTTGTTTCCTCTCCCCCCACTCCTCCCCCCCCACCTTGCCCTTCGGTCAGTTAGTTGTTTCCTCTCCCCCCCCCACTCCTCCCCCCCACCTTGCCCTTCGGTCAGTTAGTTGTTTCCTCTCCCCCCACTCCTCCCCCCCCCACCTTGCCCTTCGGTCAGTTAGTTGTTTCCTCTCCCCCCCCCACTCCTCCCCCCCACCTTGCCCTTCGGTCAGTTAGTTGTTTCCTCTCCCCCCACTCCTCCCCCCCCACCTTGCCCTTCGGTCAGTTAGTTGTTTCCTCTCCCCCCCCCACTCCTCCCCCCCACCTTGCCCTTCGGTCAGTTAGTTGTTTCCTCTCCCCCCACTCCTCCCCCCCCACCTTGCCCTTCGGTCAGTTAGTTGTTTCCTCTCCCCCCCCCACTCCTCCCCCCCCACCTTGCCCTTCGGTCAGTTAGTTGTTTCCTCTCCCCCCACTCCTCCCCCCCCACCTTGCCCTTCGGTCAGTTAGTTGTTTCCTCTCCCCCCCCCCACTCCTCCCCCCCACCTTGCCCTTCGGTCAGTTAGTTGTTTCCTCTCCCCCCACTCCTCCCCCCCCACCTTGCCCTTCGGTCAGTTAGTTGTTTCCTCTCCCCCCACTCCTCCCCCCCCACCTTGCCCTTCGGTCAGTTAGTTGTTTCCTCTCCCCCCCCCACTCCTCCCCCCCACCTTGCCCTTCGGTCAGTTAGTTGTTTCCTCTCCCCCCACTCCTCCCCCCCACCTTGCCCTTCGGTCAGTTAGTTGTTTCCTCTCCCCCCACTCCTCCCCCCCCCACCTTGCCCTTCGGTCAGTTAGTTGTTTCCTCTCCCCCCCCCACTCCTCCCCCCCACCTTGCCCTTCGGTCAGTTAGTTGTTTCCTCTCCCCCCACTCCTCCCCCCCCACCTTGCCCTTCGGTCAGTTAGTTGTTTCCTCTCCCCCCCCCACTCCTCCCCCCCACCTTGCCCTTCGGTCAGTTAGTTGTTTCCTCTCCCCCCACTCCTCCCCCCCCACCTTGCCCTTCGGTCAGTTAGTTGTTTCCTCTCCCCCCCCCACTCCTCCCCCCCCACCTTGCCCTTCGGTCAGTTAGTTGTTTCCTCTCCCCCCACTCCTCCCCCCCCACCTTGCCCTTCGGTCAGTTAGTTGTTTCCTCTCCCCCCCCCCACTCCTCCCCCCCACCTTGCCCTTCGGTCAGTTAGTTGTTTCCTCTCCCCCCACTCCTCCCCCCCCACCTTGCCCTTCGGTCAGTTAGTTGTTTCCTCTCCCCCCACTCCTCCCCCCCCACCTTGCCCTTCGGTCAGTTAGTTGTTTCCTCTCCCCCCCCCACTCCTCCCCCCCACCTTGCCCTTCGGTCAGTTAGTTGTTTCCTCTCCCCCCCCCACTCCTCCCCCCCACCTTGCCCTTCGGTCAGTTAGTTGTTTCCTCTCCCCCCACTCCTCCCCCCCCACCTTGCCCTTCGGTCAGTTAGTTGTTTCCTCTCCCCCCCCCACTCCTCCCCCCCACCTTGCCCTTCGGTCAGTTAGTTGTTTCCTCTCCCCCCCCCACTCCTCCCCCCCACCTTGCCCTTCGGTCAGTTAGTTGTTTCCTCTCCCCCCCCCACTCCTCCCCCCCACCTTGCCCTTCGGTCAGTTAGTTGTTTCCTCTCCCCCCACTCCTCCCCCCCCACCTTGCCCTTCGGTCAGTTAGTTGTTTCCTCTCCCCCCCCCCACTCCTCCCCCCCACCTTGCCCTTCGGTCAGTTAGTTGTTTCCTCTCCCCCCACTCCTCCCCCCCCACCTTGCCCTTCGGTCAGTTAGTTGTTTCCTCTCCCCCCACTCCTCCCCCCCCACCTTGCCCTTCGGTCAGTTAGTTGTTTCCTCTCCCCCCCCCACTCCTCCCCCCCACCTTGCCCTTCGGTCAGTTAGTTGTTTCCTCTCCCCCCCCCACTCCTCCCCCCCACCTTGCCCTTCGGTCAGTTAGTTGTTTCCTCTCCCCCCACTCCTCCCCCCCCACCTTGCCCTTCGGTCAGTTAGTTGTTTCCTCTCCCCCCCCCACTCCTCCCCCCCACCTTGCCCTTCGGTCAGTTAGTTGTTTCCTCTCCCCCCCCCACTCCTCCCCCCCACCTTGCCCTTCGGTCAGTTAGTTGTTTCCTCTCCCCCCCCCACTCCTCCCCCCCACCTTGCCCTTCGGTCAGTTAGTTGTTTCCTCTCCCCCCCCCACTCCTCCCCCCCACCTTGCCCTTCGGTCAGTTAGTTGTTTCCTCTCCCCCCACTCCTCCCCCCCCACCTTGCCCTTCGGTCAGTTAGTTGTTTCCTCTCCCCCCCCCACTCCTCCCCCCCACCTTGCCCTTCGGTCAGTTAGTTGTTTCCTCTCCCCCCCCCACTCCTCCCCCCCACCTTGCCCTTCGGTCAGTTAGTTGTTTCCTCTCCCCCCACTCCTCCCCCCCCACCTTGCCCTTCGGTCAGTTAGTTGTTTCCTCTCCCCCCCCCACTCCTCCCCCCCACCTTGCCCTTCGGTCAGTTAGTTGTTTCCTCTCCCCCCCCCACTCCTCCCCCCCACCTTGCCCTTCGGTCAGTTAGTTGTTTCCTCTCCCCCCCCCACTCCTCCCCCCCACCTTGCCCTTCGGTCAGTTAGTTGTTTCCTCTCCCCCCCCCACTCCTCCCCCCCACCTTGCCCTTCACGTCCTGCCGCTTGGCGCCCCACAGCGAGGCGATGCGGCGCAGCACGGTGGGGAAGCCAGGCTGCACCAGCACCCCGCCCGCGAACCGGTCCTAACACGGGGGGGAGGCGGGGAGACAGGGAGGGGAGGCGGGCGGTAAAGAGGAAACAACTAACTGACTGAGGGATAAGGCGTCAACATGGGAGGCGGGGGGGGGGGGGGGAGGAGGTGTGGGAAATCGTAGCGGTGGTGTAACAAGGGCGCCGCACGAGGAGGGCGGCGGAGGGAGGACGCGCCTCCGGAGGTGTCGGGAGGAGGGTTGCCTTGGGGACTGTCGTACTGGTGCCGACTGCGAGCTGTCGTACATCCCCCCACCTCCACAGGTGTGCCAAGACTACTCGCGAGCTGGCTGGCTGACTGGAGGACCCGTGAGAACAGACCCAATCATGCATGGTGGGGTGCCCACCCACCCACCCTGCCAACTCCCCGCCCCAACCCCTAACACCCTAATACACCCTCCTTTCCTACCACTCTCCACCCCCCCCCGCCCGCCCCCCCTGCCCACCTTTGGCGGGAAGTATGTCCCCCCGTAGAAGGGCTCCAGGGAGGGGGTCAGCCACACGCTCATGGGCCAGCCGCCGCTGCCGCTCACCGCCTGCACGTAGGTCATCTGGGGGGGGGAGGGAGGGGGAGGGAGGGGGAGGGAGGGGGAGGGAGGGAGGGGGAGGGAGGGAGGGGGAGGGTGACGGGAAAGCGGAGGGGGGGATACAGCGGATGCGCCCTCATGCTGTGATGTAGGATACATGAGGATGGAAGGGAGGCGTGAAGGCTGTGGAGCTGCTGACGTGAACGTGAACCTGGGAGCGTAGCGCGCACCAGAAGGCCGCTGCTAAGCTTAGCAACGGCCTTCTGGTGCGCGCTACGCGTCCAGGTTCACCTTCACGTCAGCAGCTCCCCAGCGCTCGCCTGCAGGCACACAGCCGTCGCAGCCGCACCCAGGGGAAGGATGCTGCCCCCTTCATACGACCCTCATAACGACCCCGTTCCGCCGGCACGCTTTCCGCTGTGCAGCTGAGCGTACCGGCGCATTGGAGAGGACTTGCACCCAACACCCTTTCCCCCGCCCTTCCTTGTCCTAACCCCCGCAGTGTGCTGCCCCCCTCCCCACTTTCCCCCCCATCCGGGGTGCCCCCACTCACGTACAGTCGGTCCACGTCGGGGCGCTCCTCGCGGTCTACCTGCGGGGGGGGGGGGGGAGGGGAGGCAAAGAGGGGGAGGTGGTGAGGAGCCAAGAAAATCGAGGAGCCAAGGAAATCGAGGAGACGAAGGCACACGAGGAGACGGAAGACAGTGTCAAGAGGGAGTGCAGGCAGCGGTACCCCCTCCCCCTCCGCCGCCCCCCCTCTGCCGTACCTTGACGGCAATGAAGTGGCTGTTCAGCAGCTGCGCCACCTCCTCGTCCTGGAAGCTCTCCCGCTCCATGACGTGGCACCAGTGGCAGGTGGCGTAACCCACACTCAGGAAGATGGGCTTGTCGGCGGCTGCGGCGCGGGAGAAGGCCTCCGCGCCCCAGGGGAACCAGTCCACCTGGGGGGGGGAGGAGGGGGGGGAGGGGAAGGAGGGCGGGGAGGGAGGTGGGGAGGGAGGTGGGGAGGGAGATCGGGGTAGACGAGGGGTAGACGGGGGCACCAGCCACCGTGACCCCGCAGGTGAGTGAGGGAGGGGAGGGGAAAGGGGACAGTGGAGGTGGAAGGGGGAGGTGGAGGGGTGGGGCTTGCGGTATTACCCCCCAACGTGGGGCTGGGGCAGCAGCCCGAGAGCGCCCGCCCCGTCCCACCACCGCCCCCCACCCCTACCCAGCCCTACCGGGTTGTGCGCGTGTTGCAGCAGGTAGGGAGACTGCTCCGCGGCTAGCCGGTTGGGCGGCCGCTGCTGCTGCTGGGGGTGGTGGGGTTGGTGGGGGCGGTGGGGTTGGTGGTGGGGTTGGTGGGGGGGTGCTGCATGGGCCCTATGTGGGTGCAGGGCCTGCTGCTGCTGCTGCTGCTGCTGCTGCTGTGACGGGTCGGGGTCAGGGTCATACGAGTGAGGCAGCATCCTTCCCCAGGGTGCAGCTGCGGCGGCTGTGATGGAGGCGGAGGTGGAGGTGGTGAGTGTGGGGGCGGTAGCAGGTGTGGTGGAGGTGGTGGGGACTAGGGGGCAACGAAGGGGGTGCGGTACGGCAGAGCAGGTGGTGACAGCTGTACGGCAGGTGAGAGGAGGAGCCGTACGGAGCTTCCTAAAGCTGCTGGTGCTGGTGCTGCTGCTGCAGATGATGATGTCGCAAGAACGGGGTAGGAGGTGCGATGGTAGAGGTGGCTGATGCGTTAACGGGGAGGAACAAGTGATGGCCGCGGTAGCGGGCCGAAGGGATGATGTCGCCAGCGGGGTCGTTGGCAATGGATGCGGCGCCGACCAGCCGGTCTGCGTCGCTGTGCGCCTGCAGGCGAGCGCTGGGGAGCTCCTGGCGTGAAGGTACAGCTGGGAGCGTAGCGCGCGCCAAAAGGCCGTTGCTAAGCCGGAAATGGACAGGACCTTATAAAGCGGAGTCGAGGACCCCGCGCGACAGCCCAGGGAGGGCATGAGTCACAAAGGCCAAAGTATCCTTGTCACGTGCTACCTAATCCGACCAGGACTTTTTGCATTTTGTTTGCACTCGGGGTCTCCGTCGCTAGACCTAAGCGCAATTTAATGATAATGGTTTGTAGCCTTATGTGTGGCCTGGTAACAAAGGCATTCAAACGCGCTTGGCTGAGGGCTTGCAGGATTCAGCGATCATGGAGGCGAGTCATCAAGCCGTTGGAAAATCGTTGAGATGCGCGCCCACAGCGCAATCTACGTAACTTTGCTTCTAAGATATAGAGCTTTTACGACCCTATGGATTTGCTGGAAAATTGCTGGGAGGTCATGGTTGCTTGCGTGAAAGGCAAAGTAGCTCGGCGGACGCAAGGCAGTTTTCGCAGCATACGCAGCTGTCCTTTGTAATGCTAAGTGCCCGGGTAACATAACGCCGATGGTTAGCAGGAACACAAATGCCTACAATGGACCGTCCATTGGCGACAGCGATGTTCTGTCCCGATCACGTTGACTCATGACAAAGGGCAGGGAGTTGGTAGCATGTCATAATACCCCCGCTGTCTCGTCCTTTGGCTGCTTGGCAAGTCGCCCATGCAGCCTTTCTTTCCGGCCCGCTGTACAGCTTCCGCCATCCGACTGATCCGAAACTCATTATGTGCTCATTCCTCTACGACATAACCCTATCAGATCAAGAGCTCATTCCCAATTCCTAAGCCACTCAAAGTACCGACAATACAACTGCTGTAAGACTGCTGGATAGCAACAGGCATTACCGGTACTCCTATAGGAGCGTAGTTCATAGTTCCCACGAAATCGCAACAAGGCAGGCCAATTTGTCGTCAGCCAATTAATCACCAAAGCAGCATCAAGCCAGCATGCTCCGATCTTCCGTCTCATTCCGCTCCTCCTCCTCCTCCTCCTCCATTCCGTCTTCCTCCAATCAGTTTCATCTTCGCACCATTCCTCCTCTCCCAAGCAGCAACAGCAGCCGTTTGAGCCGCTGTCGCTTCACCAGCCGCCGACCGCGCATTCTCGCATTCCGGGAGGACCCAAAGCCGCAGCCGCCCTCGCAACCTCCACAGCAGCAGCAGCAGCCGTCCATTCCCAGCAGCACCAACACCAACACCACCGCTACAGCGGGGCCTGCAGGCCGAGGCAGCAGCCGCACTCGAAGCCATGTTCCGCCCATTCGCCGAGGGGGAACGGAACCGCAGCTCTACAAGGAGCGCGGTGAGCAAGATAGGGTCGTTTCCTTGGTTGCTTGCTTTGTTTGCTGATTACATGGCGTTAAATTGCGCGTTCTAATTTTTCCTTGCTCCGCCGCAATCCGCGTATTGCGTTCGTTTGGTTGCTTTTTGCAAGCGCGCGCGTAATTCTTTCACAGCTTGTCCTTGACACTGTTGCCGCATGTTAGGAAAATGACGTAGTACAGAAGCAGCTTTCAGGCGAAAGCCGCTGTGGGCTTTGCGCCGGTGCCCAGTCCCGGCAGCTGACGCGCAATCGTGACCCATGGGTCACCCCTCCTTGCTGCCCTACCTTCACACCTACTTAAGCCCTTCCTCCGCCTCGCCCCACCCATCTTCCTCCCCCTCCCCCTCCTCCTTCCCCCAGCCACCCCCTCCCCCAGCCCCCGCACCACCACTGTGGCCCTGGTGCTGGGGGGCGGAGAGAGCGACCGGCGGCTCTTCCCGCTCACGCAGCGGCGGGCACTGCCGGCGGTACCCGTGGGGGGCAGCTACAGGTGGGGGGGCGGGGCGGGGGGGGGGGCGGGTAATGGGGAAACTATGAACTGACCGTGTGAAAAGACTTCATCATGGTTCGCAACAAACATGTGGGCGAGCCAGTCTGGCCGGGGGTGCGGGTGGTGGTGGTGGGGCAAAGGAGGGCCAGAGGAGACAGCCGCCGTTGTCGTCTCGTTCCAATCCTTCTCCTTCCAAGCAAAACCCCAACAGCTGAGTCGCTGTACGCCGGAGGCCATGATTGCTGCCTCCTCCGCCCCCGCCCACATACATCCCCATCTTGCTCCCCTGCCTCCTCCCCCTCCCTCCCTCCCCCCTTCTCCCCCCCTCCCCAGGCTGATCGACATCCCCATGTCCAACTGCCTGCACGGCACCATCAACAAGATCTACGTACTCACGCAGTACAACAGCCAGAGCCTCAACAGGTACGACAGGCGCGTGCGCATGCCGCCTCCCTCCTTCCCGTTTCCCCTCGTATTCTCACCACCCCCCCTCCCCCCCCCTCCCTCCCCCCCTCCCTCCCCCCTCCCCCCCCCTCCCTCCCCCCCCCCCCCCCTCCCTCCCCCCTCCCTCCCCCCTCCCTCCCCCCCCTTCCCCCCCTCCCCCCCCTCCCCCCCCTCCCCATCCCTCCCCCCTCCCTCCCCATCCCTCCCCCCTCCCTCCCCCCCCCTCCCCCCCCTCCCCCCCCTCCCCCCCCTCCCCATCCCTCCCCCCTCCCTCCCCCCCCCTCCCCCCCCTCCCCCCCCCACCCCTCCCCCCTCAGGTACATCACCCGCACCTACGGGCTGGGCGATGGAGTGCCGCTGGGGGGGGATGGGTTCATCGAGGTGAGGGGGGGAGGGGGGGGAGGGGCAGGGGAGGGGTAATGAGGGAATGTTGCAATACACACACACGCACGCGCCACTCCCTCTACGTTCCGACTCGCGACCAATTTTGTAACGCACCCCCTCCCAGTGACCTAGAAGGAATCCCTCCTCCCTCCCCCAACTCCTTCCCCCCTCCCCTCCCCCCCCCCCACTCCTCCCCCCCCCCCCCCCAGGTCCTGGCCACCACCCAGTCCCCGGGCGGCTACCGCTGGTCGGAGGGCAATGCGGATGCCGTACGACTCATGTCCTGGGTGCTGGAGAACCCCAAACTGAGGAACGTGAGTACGGGGGGCGGGGGGGGTGCCGTACGGGTTGGGGGGTTGGGGACAGGGAGGGGCAGGGGGGTGCCGTACAGGGTGCGGTGGACGCACGCACGCACCCTCTCTCGCACATTAAAACCCAACACGCATGCTGACCCATCACGCTGTCAACCCGCAGCGCACCCTCCGCCCTTCCCCCTCCCCCACCCCCCGACACGTTGGGTCTTCGCTTTTCCCCACCTCTCCCCCCCAGATCCGCCACGTGCTCATCCTCCCCGCCGACCAGCTCTACCGGGCGGACTTTGAGCAGCTCATCACCTTCCACCACGACCAGGTGGGGGGGGAGGGGAGGGGTGACCCATGGGTCGGGCGGTAGGGCAGGTAGGAGGGAAGGAGTGTGGGAGGGAGAGCACACATTGCATGGATTCCTTCGCGCCTGCTGCTGCAGGTTTGCGGTGATGGTGTCCCCCCTCATTCCCCGGCGGGCGGGCTGACCTTACCTCACACCCAACCTACCCTGGCCTGCTCCTCCCCCTTCCACCCCTCCTGCCCCTCCTGTTGCTGCACTTTTCAACTACCCTTCCTGTCCCTTCCCTCCCTCCCCCCCCCCTAGCGTGCGGTTGTGACGGTGGCTACGCACCCCGCGGAGGAGGCGGCGGTGGGGGACCTGGGGGTGCTCAAGGTGGGGGAGGGAGGGGCGGAGAGGTGGGAAGAGGGAAGGACGCGAGGGTCCTAAGGCATCTCCGTAGATAGCTCCTGCTCCTCCTCCTCCTCCTCCTCCTCCTCCTCCTCCGCTTGTTGTTGCTCCAGTTGTTGCGCCGGATCTTGAACTCCCCCTCCCCCTCTTCTCCCCCCCCAGATCGACCCCTGCAGTGGTGAGATGGTGGACTACGTGGAGAAGCCCAGGGGGGCCCGGGAGCGGGAGGTGAGGGGCACGGGGAAGGGGAAGAGGGGGTCGCTGACCCATGGGTCTCTCGTTAACCCTTCCTTCCTCCCTACCTCTGTACTGCTCTCGCCGCCCATCAACCCCTCCCTCATTATCCACAGCTATTCCATCTTTCCTCTTCCGCCCGGTCGTTGGCGGTTGACCCATGGGTCCATCTGCTGGGAACTACCGTACTTACAACCCGCCACACCTCCGCCTCCCCCCGCCCCGCCCCCCGCCCCACAGCTGTTCCGGCTGTCCCCCAAGGAGTCCCGGCGTCTGGGTGCGGAGGGGGCGCCCTTCCTCGCCTCCTGCGGCATATACGTGTTCGACAAACAGGTGGGGGGGGCCAGGGGTTTGGGGAAGGGGGGAAGGTGTCTTAGTGTGCGTTCATCAAACTGCCGCAGTTCATGAGTATCGGGAGATTATGTCCCCACGGGCGACGGGGCGACTGTCAGCTCCTCCAGTAGATTGTCAGCTCCCCTTTCTGCACCCTCCGCCTGCACCGAAACCACCCCTTTATTTTACGCAACGCATGTGTTACAATTACTGGCGTGTGTGTGTTTTGACACGTTTCCCCCTCCCTCCCTCTCCCCCTCCCGCCCCCTCCACAGTTCCTCCTCCGCCTGCTCCGAGACCACCCCCGCGCCCACAACTTCGGAGCCGATGTGCTGCCGCTGGTGCTGCAGGAGGCGGCGAAGGAGGCGGAGCGCGCGAGGGGGCAGCAGCAGCAGCAGCAGCAGCGGGGGGGAGGAGGGGGAGGGGGAGCGGTGTCGGCAGCAGCAGGCGGCAGCAAGGTCCCTGCTGAGGAGCCCATTCCGTACCGGGTATGTATGTACGGAAGAGGTTGTAACATGTACGGCATCGGTCGTACATCGGTTGCTTTAGTACGGGCCATGCTTTTTCCCTGCCCTCCTTCTCTCACCTGTCATATGGCACCCTCCCGCCTCCTATCCCCATTGCATTGCCCTAACCTGTGTTTTTGGTGCACCTCCTCCCCCCCTCCTCCCCCCCAGGTTCTCACATGGCGACTGCCCGGCTACTGGGCTGACGTGGGGTCCTCGCTGCGCACCTTCCTGACCGCCAACCTGGAGTGCCTGAGGGGCGGGGCGGGGGCGGAGTCGCCGTTCGACCAGTTCGCGCACCATGACCTGCTGCTGACGGTGAGGTGGGGGGGGGAGGGGAGGGGGGGAGGGAGGGAGGGATGGGAGGGAACGGGGAAGGAGGGAGGGAGGGAGGGAGGGAGGGAGGGAGGGAGGAGGCTTGTTGGGGTGGCCTTTGTGGTGGTGCTTGCATGCATGGCAAGGGTGAGGGCGGAGGTGGGACGAGGCAGCAGCGAGGGGCGGAGGGCGTCACACGTACGGCATCAGCAGCAGCAGCGTCAC